GCTGGTGATAATATTTCTGCCGTGGGGGCTTCATAGATACGTTCTTGTTCTAGTTGTGGATGAAGTGCGACCACTTACTTTTTATTGGCATCATAGCATAGCTACTGGACACTAGCGCGCATGGTCTCGATGCAGTCAAATCTCTGGTCGGATGACGATGATACGAAAAAGATGGAAATGGACGAATGTAATTGTAAACTAACGTTGCAGTAATTGCTGCCATAACTGTTCTCGCCGTTGCTGGCAGCGCTTTCTGTTGTGCTTCAGGTACTCTTTAATGCGCTTTATTTTCAGGGCTTCTCGGTGCTCGGCTCGACGGACCATTCTCGCAACGGGATGCAACATAAAGACCATTTTTGGCGGCGGCTTCCGTGGCTTCTTGGCATCAACTTCAACAACTGCCTTGTTGCCGAAATTTTGTCCTCTAGTGAGAAATTCATCAGTTGTATTCTTCATGCTCCTGTCTTCTTGTCCTTCATCTTCACTTTCAATCGACGCGTAATAAATGTCGCTGTCAACCCCCGGAGGGCGGGGATACCGCTTTTTCTCAACAGGAAGACGCTCCTCCACTTGTTCCTGTTGTTCTCGTGGTCGACCACGACTTTTTTTACGAGAACCTCTCGTAGTTGTAGATCTCTTTTGTTTTTCTTTCTCTTCTTGATCGTCCTCGTCCTGCTTGGTGCTCAGACGGTAACGAGGTTTATCCAGCATGTCCTGAGCGAAAAAACAGACGGGAATCAACTCCCATCCTTCCGATCCCAGAGAATAAAGTGGATCCACCCTGCTGGGGTGACTGGAGGAACTTCGAGCACAGTTCTTTTCCTCGTCGTTGTTGATACCTTCGTCATCTGTAGAGGACACACTCGAGGAAACATCGCTGTCTAGTTCATCCTGGAACCGAACAACGTTATTCTTGGTGGATGATTGGTTGATGTAACGTCTTTTCGCTGCAGCGTCGCACTCTCGTTTGGTTGATTTTGAAGAAGTTGAGCATGTGGTAGACCTTTTTGCATGTGGCACAGAACCTGCTCTGGCGTTTTGGCTTGTAGTTCTGCCAGCACAGCTTTTCCCTCGTCCTCGAAGACGATGCTTCTTCATCGACTTTTGGCTTCGCTCGTAAAAGGTCGTGGTGTGCGACGTGCGCGGTCTCCTGAGAAAAATAGTCTTGAGTGAGGAGAACCAAAGGAGTGTTGCACGATGCAGGGATGGCGTTGACTCGATTCTTTCCCGAACCGCACCTACAAAGTCAAAGGTCGGACGTGGTTTCTGTTCCTCCTTGCGCATTTCTAGCTCGTAGGCGTCTATCTTCTCTTTGCGCCTGTGAAGTTCGCGAGGCAGGGGCAAATCCCGCACTGCGCGCATAAAATCAAAATCCCATGGAACGATAAAAGGTAGCTCCTCAGCAGAAGAATGGATATGAGCTTCCTCCTCCTGGACCTCGTCCTCTTTCTTGACATCTTCATCATGCAGAAAAGTAGGGGAGCCGTTGACTACTTTTCTTGATGTTGGTGCTGCCTCTGTATTCGCATCGTTGTCAGGGCAGTCGCCCGACTTGTTTCCTTCTGCTTGTGGTCCCTTTCCATCCAAGTTCATTATCTTGGCCTTATCTTCCGCACGGGCCTTCTCCGCTTGAGCGCACTTCTTCCGCTCAACGTCGCAGAAGAGTTCACGGCTGCGCTCGGCCTCTCGAGTGAGGCGACGAAACTGTTTTAAACGCCAGCTGTGGACTGCTGCGCGAAACGCGGCCTTCTCCGCTTGTACAAAGAGCGCTCTGTGTCCTCGCGTGTTGATCGAGTCTGCACATTCAGAAGCACTTCTGCCACCACGTACAGCTAGCGCGGGAAGATTGGGCGACGTGAAGATTGACTCGTTTGCAAGCCGCGCTTGCGCCACAAGACTACCTTGGATGTGCTCGAGCCGCTGCTGGAAGCGCAGCGCACAGATTGCAGGCGCAAGCGGCCACGCTTGTTTCCCGCCGTTCCGCATCTTCTGCACCGTGTGTTGAAGTTCTGATGTCAGTTTCTCGTCCTCACGGTACCTTTGTCGCATTAAGCTCTTGCTCACTAGTGTCGACGTCTCCGCGATGTCGTCGTCGCCGTTGACTGTAGCCGGCAGACACGACAACGAGGGGTCTTCAATAGCGAGAAGGTCTCTTTCTGCATCCCACAGCTCTTCTCGAAGAATCCTTTTCGCGTTAGCTCCAAGCCCCTTATTTCTCGAAGGATGGCCTTTTCTTGCCTTGCGGCGATCTAACTCGACACGCACAACTGCCATTATCGATGCGTCAATCCATTCGCCAGAACCGTCTTGATACTTCACCGGCCCCTCGTCTTCTTGTTCACGCGCTGCTCCTTCATTTCTCATCTGCTTGTGTCTCTTGGTATCACCGGTGTCCCCTCTGGGATCCACGTTGCGCTTTCCCACATTCGTGGACCTCACGGCATTAGCTCCTTTGGCACTAAATCCCTCAGCATCAGCAACTCCTTCGTTTTCGTCCAATCCCAGCATGTGCATGTCTGGTTTTGAGAATAACGCAGCTGCATCACGACCAAAAACATCGTCTTTCTGATCAGCGACGCCCAAAGACTCCTTTGCGAGTGCGTTCCTCCTCTCCCTGTGCTTCGCTTCCAAGGCTTTTTTCTGCAATTTCATAAGCTCAAACTCTGCTAGAGGCACGAGCGCCCCTGTCGCTTGCAGAAACTCCTCGCCGGCCTAGAAAGGGAAAGGCGATGTATAGTGCAAACATGGGGGACTCATCAAGATTAAAAATTCTATGCACGACCACTGCGGTTACAGAAAGAATAAGAATAAAACCATGTATGTAAAGAAAATGGCTCGTGGTACTAGAAACACATCAAGCAAGAAGACTACATTTAATATTAAGTTGTCTAACAGAAATTGAAATACTAGTAGAGCCAGTGGGTCTATAAATGTTAAGACATTTTTTACTTGTTGTACTAGTAGCTACAACAACTAACGCTAGTACAACGAGCTAGAAACCACAAGCTTCACCTGCTGCCGTAGTTCGTTAGAAATCGCGTCTGACGCGATTTCTAACGAACTATGGCAAATTGAAAAATACCAGTCTGGGTGCTTCGAGAAGAGCGGCGTACTCCCAGTCATTTAGGATCTCCTTGTAGAAAATCTGTCCCACTGTTTTCTCCTCTGCTTTGAGTGGGCGTCGCAACCTCTTGCTGCGCGCTTTTTTCGCGTCCGCGGCGGCGCTCCGATCGCTCACGACGTCGACGCTGTGGTCTGCGTTTACTACAACAGCATGTTGAGTCTCTCCTTGGGGACTTAGATTTTCAGGTTGAAACACGGCCGTTGTGCTCGCTTTCCCTTTGCCGAAACCTTTCCCTTTTTCATGCGGGAAAAACGTCACTCTTTTTCCGTTACCCTTACCGAACGTTGGTCCTCGCCGATCCTCTTGTTGGCGTTGGAACTGGAAAATCACACTTGCAGTTGGCTTCGTCTCCAGTTTTCGCACGCTCTTCGAAACGACAGAGGCCGTCTTCTTTTGATCTTTGAATCTCGCTCGCGGCGTGAAGGGCAGAGCACGTAGAGAGGCACGAGGCCTTACTGTGAAGTGCTCAACTCCTGCTCTGGCTTGCTCGTCCTGGGCGGAAGACAGCCCAGGGACAGTCCATCTTTGGTAAACCCCATTCAGAAGCTCATCCGTGCACCCCTCAATCAGCACGCTGTCCGGCTTGATACAGGTGCGAATGTAGTCGGTGATGCGCACTCCACTGTTCTTGAAGTGCAAATAACTCTGCGGCAAGCTGCCTGCTTGCAGAGCGGCGCGGCCACGCTCGTCGCCCTCTCGAGGTCGTTGATGCCAATGCGTACTTCTCTCCAAGAACGAACAGGCTTCCGCCAGTCGCTTGGGCGCAAAAGGCGCAGATTCTGCAGTATCCCCCGCCTCGCGAAGGAAACTCATCATCGCGTGCTGAACGGGGTCCGCTGCCTTCTTGTTTACCGCTTCATCTTTAGGTTGCAGGGCGTGAGCGGGATCAGCTGCTTTTTTCTTTACGACCGCTTCATTCTTAGGCTGCGGCACCCCCATCTTACAGGACGTGTGCGAGGGGTCCCCCATCCCAGTGGTGCCAGCCTTTTCTTCACTAGCTGAAGCTTCACCGACCACGCGGATCTTGTTCTCACGTGGCACCAGCGACATCTTCATCGCCAGTATGCGCCGGTCGTCAAGATGAAGGAGTGGGTCAACATTTGAGGTAGGAAGACAAAATGTTGGTGTGAATGGATCGATATATTTATAGAATTTTCAAGAACTTACTCTTACACAGAAGTTTAATATTTCTGGGAGTTTTTTTTTCTTCACCAGCAAAAGGTTTGAAGTCAAGATAGGTATCTTCAATCACCAGTCCAACAATTTTATCTTTATGTTCTTTCGTGGAAATATCCGTTTAATTGTCAATCAAGAACTTCATCGTGTAGTTAAGTACCTATATTACTAATATAACCACAGCCACACGACTAGCAATTAGTTTTCAAACGTTTCTCCTGCTTTTTTTGTTGTGGTATTGCAAGAAAATTGGGGGTTTTCTGAATGGAAAGAATCAAATCATCGTCCACGCAGTTGGTGACACAACTTCCATCAAAAAGCTTTTTGCTACTTATACCATATGGACTTGGTGGACACTGTGCGTGGAAAGTGCCACTTGTATATTGCAACTACAGGAAGTACAACAAGAAAGCTGAGCAGCACCGACCACAAGTGATGACACATACCACTTCACACAGCACTTCCAGGCCGTCTATTAAGTACTTGGCACAACCTATTTCGCCTTCGAGCGACCAAAGGAGTGTTCGTCATGCGTGGTCACATGGGCTGGCTTTTCTGCATTACTAAAGGCTGTCTTTGACGATGAAATGAGTCAGCCTAAGCACACAGGTGGAGGTGCCAGCACCCACGTGTGAGGAGACCACTCTTTCTGGCACAGGAACACAGAATGGCGCCAAAGGTCCTTCTCGAGTTTACTTACCCGCAACAGTGGACACGGACAAGGAAGCATCAGCATAATGATTTTGATTTAATTTGGAAAAAATTGCACGATGAGAAAGTTAGTCTCGACTGATACAGCAGGTATGTTTTCTTTTTCTGGCATGCCAGCAATTCGACTACCACTTGCGAGCTTAGTCAGGATACATTATCCCACTTGCGCCCTTACTAGTCAGGATACATTATCATGTCGCGGACGCATGGGAGGTCGTTGGTCGTCATGACCTTCATGTATATGTCTCGTAGATGTACCATAAACCCAATCATTCAGTCAGAGCACAAAAAGCACGGCCTATGCAGCTTGAGGTGTTCTAGGAACATGTTAGATATGACATTAGAAGACCGTGTAGAACAAAACGTGTGATCGCATGAGTGACCACATGCACCACATCATGATGACAAAAAATCGAGCCCTTTGCACATCTCATCACTATCAACAACTGCAATTGTCTCGTAGATCCTACGACCTCGTGTTTCAGTCTTCCAGCGATTTCGCCCGTGCGCGGCAGTTGCTCTCGTCGTCGGGATCTGCAGATGTTGTTGTCACATTATAGTAATCCTTTGGCAACATATCTCTGAGGACAGATGATCCTCGCTATCTATCATGTACAATGTATATGTAAGCTCGCTACTACTAGACGAAGTAGAATATCAAGATCCACGACTATGTACTAGTAGATAACCATTTCGACTTGTTTTGTACACAACAAGTACCAATCAGTCATCTTCTCGGACGAGTAGGAGTATCACGACATATTCAAGTACTAGAACTAGACTGACATACTACATTTAGTTATTTTAGGAACCACGAAAAGGAACAAAATCCTTGTTACCAGTTACATCAACTTTCACCATACACGTTGCTGCGGGGACTTGTTTCGATGGCGTGGGTGATGCTTTCGCTCCACCCCTGCCCACCGGTCCAGATGGACCTGCTTTGTTGCTAGCCAACGCTACACTTCCTCCGCCCGAGGACATTAGAAGTAGTAACTAATAGAACGAAAAAAATTATTCTTTTCTCCCCTGTATAAATTTCTGTCTCAACAGTTAGTTTATGTCATATCATGATACCTCGTTCCACGTCTTTTCTAACGTCATAGAGGCCGTTCAGCTACCCTGTACCTTCATCCGTATGAAAGAGCAAGTGCAAGATGACCGAGTGACAAGTTATTAATTTATATACTTACAGTAGCAAGTGCTCATGTGATCACGATAGAAGTGATTGTTATTCTGATTGGTTACTCAAACACCTGAAGATGAAGAAGAACTATGATCCATAACAACAGCTTCGTGCGTTCGCGCATGCACGCTTCACGATCTTGTCGCATAACCATCTCCTGCTCAACACCAGCCCTCAAGAGCTTGTCAAAGAACATCTTGGCTGGATTCAATTCGGGGTTTCTCCACACGAATATGAAAACTGCTAGCACTGTCAAGAATATGGCAACATCCGCGAGCAATTCCAAGTCCGACATGTTTTTGGATTTTTTGTGTATGTAGAAGATAAAAGTTGATGTAGTTGATGAAGAAAAAATGGAGTCTATTTAGCTTGTTGCTCTTGTTGTAGTTTGATGCAACATCATGATCATGTAGCTGGCTCCCACCTACTAGTTCTAGTACAACATACAACTGAAGAAAGCGGAGTTGTTATCATGGTGGTCATGTATTATCAAATGTGATTACTACATGCTTGATTCATGCCGATTTTCGTTTTATCTGGGCTAGTCATGGTATCAAAATTGAAAGAAGCATAACAATAACTGATACGGAATCTGAAAGCAAGATTAGCAGTTACAAATTAACTGAATAGGACGAGCAAGAGCTCAGTGTCAGTCGTGAATTGATCATAAAAAATAATTTAAAAAAGAGCTAGATATTGTTGTCGGGGTAGAGGGGCGGGTATCTGATGCAGTTATCTTATCACCGATGGTGGTCGTTGATGTTCGTCTTCACCATATTAATCATTCCCAAGACGACATGTACTGCCAAGCCCGATCCCAGATTCACAACATTATACCGATACTACTTGTACTACTAGAACTGTTCTTCTTCTAGTAGTCTGAACAGGATTCTCCTACCAAAATAAGTCTTTACTCATCATTTCAACCGACACCACTTTCCTTCTGTTCTTCCCCGTCAACAGTAGGCTAACACCTATATGCGCAACACATTCGACAACGAGGTGGTAAAAACCACGGTGGCGACCTTGTCATGTGTGTGGCCCTAATATCGTCTTGCTTGACGACCGTAGGTTTTTTTTTTTGCGTTAGGACTATATGCTGCCACCCTTTCAATCAATTATTTACCCCCATATTTATAAGATCATCCAAATTACATACTGGGTGCGCATAAGACCGTACAATCGGCCACAGTTTCAGACGACCGTAGGGTTTCAGTCTGCAGATGAAGATCACGACAAACAAGCCTAGGCATCAACAGCCTACGCGAACCTGAAGCGGTAAATAAGACGAGGTCAGCCTTCCCCACCACCGAAGCGGAAGAAGACTGGCCCTCAGTAACTACGAGAAAACTCCTTGAAAATCCTGGATGAGGGATTGTTACTGAAGGAATTGGAATTGCTTTGCAAGCACGATCCACGAGAAAATGTAACAACAACTTTAGATCACTTCCTTGTGGACAGAGAAGCTGAAGAAATTGACACAAGATCTCACCCTCACGAGTCATCCTGTCAATCCTCACCGTGCGCGTATGGTACCTAGGCACAAGCCGAAGCCACGCACGCCCTGCTCTTCACCTTAAATCGCTCAAGCCGGGTAGCACTTCCTCACGTTCACTTTCACGACATTGCGGCATTCCCATCGCGTACTCGATCACACTTTCGGAAGACGTCAGAAATTGATGTTCCAGTGTAACGACATCCCATTTCCACTTTCTCGTCTGCAAATCGTGCCTATAATTGCGACAAAAAATCCACGTCCACTGAGTTGCTGGTCTTAATCTTATTGCTGGCAGTGGCAGAGAAGTGTACTTATATATAAAGCTATTGTTGTTGTTCGCATTCGGAGGTGATGCTGATCGTCCAGAAGGTAATATACACAAACTGTATTCCCAGCAAGATCAAATTTAGCTCGGAAAAAGTTTCACCTTGTGGTGGTAGATGCAGATTGTTGCGCAATTCTTGGGCCTGTTGCGCGGCCCAAGTTGCCCTAGTCAGTACAACTTCCTCTCTGACGAGATCAGTGGAAGTTGTCGTAATCGACCTCGGGGATCATTAGAATATAATCCCTGACACGTTTCCGCAAATTTTCAATGCTAAACCAGCTCGCTTCTCTTCTCCGTGTTTCTGCGATCTCATCATAATCGCTTCTGTTTACCGCCTCCGCCTCCCCAATTTGCACGCTCAAATACGGCAGCAGCTCCTCTTGCCACAACAGGTCCCGGTCATGGAAGCTCCAGGTGTATCTGGGGTCTTCGACAACTCTCTGAAGAATCGCGAATAAGTCAAACGCTGATCCGTCCTCAAGCAGAATAGGAGCGGTGGAGCTCCGGCTCTCTTCCGCAAGCCGTGTTTGTCTCGACTTCACCAGCTGTAGCTCCAGATCTACGCACCACTCAGTGCCGCGGGTTTCCAAGAACCCTCCGTCGTCTTTCGCGAAGCACACTTGGAGCGTCCCAAGAGGTTGCCAGAAGGTGGGCGACGTCTCTCTCCGAAATCGTTGCATTCTTTGTATCTCGTCGGGCTGCACGTCTGCCAAGGTGCTCCGCCGGCCGCTCATGTGCATATTCATATTCCTAATCTGCACCCGTCGCACGCGCCAGTAGGAGCCACTGTGGTCTGAGGAGGAGGTGGCCGCAGTAGAGGTTCCTACTGGCGTTGAGGTATGAGCTTTCTGTTCTGTTCTCAAATGCCTCTCAAGTGCTGTCCTTTCGTCCTCACGGTCATCGCGGTTGTCCCATACACGCGGCACGTCAAAGTACGTGCCCAAAAATTCCGACAACGACAACCGGGGCGCTAGATCGATTTCCGCGAGCAGCTGGAAGAACTTTTCAAAGCCACGATTCACGTTCTCTATCGCCTGCATGTGACTTACCGTGGCCAGACTACCTGGGTGCAATAAAGGGAACAGAAGTCCTCTGTGTGCTACTAGCCGTTCTGCTGTGATGACGTGCACGCGCTCCGGACCTTCCCGCCCGGCTATATCGCGTTCGCCCTGATTCCTCCATCTTCCATCCACTCCGAGCGTTGGCCTTAGCACAGACTGCCTTGCTTTCGTGCACAACGGGCGGCACTGCTCCCCGCGGGTTTGCGAGGTCGAGTAGCGGTCTAACACAGGCGTCAAAAAAGACAGCCCTGCCCTAGCTGCGTCGGGGGAGAATACATAAGCATAATTGCGAGACGCATCCCTTTCCTCCAGATAACCCGCGAGATCGTAAGACGCATACACACCGTGAAAAGACGGCCGCGCCCAATCGTGCCAGTCAAAAAAGCGCGTTGTCGCGACTGCGTGGGAAGCATCACACACGCGGTCGCTCCGCAAATGCAGAAACCAGTTCAACAGCCACTCTCTTCCGTTCCACTCCTCGGAGATAGCCTCCATTTCGTCTCGGCTCGCAACGAAGGCAGTGGTGACGACTCTCTTCAGCGCCAAAAGCCTTAGGAGCGGCACCTTCATCTTCTTGTTCTTTTGGTCGTCTGTAGTTTCGCTTTCTTCAGTTGATGTACTTGCACTTCCCTTCAAGCAAGGTAGCTCGTCGAGCATCGTGTGCCGCACGTCGATTCGCAGATCCCCAAATTGGTAAATCGGCTTCGCTGCGTTACCAGGTGCTGTAGGCGGACACAAGAGTTCCCATTGAAAATGCAGCGCAGCCTGTTCCGCGTCCTCTGACGGGGGAAAACGCCGATCCTTTCCCGTAAGCCGCCGCGTCAGATCCAACACGGAGAGTTCGTGCCACGAGTTGTCTAAGCTCAGCAAAATGTTGCTATCGTCGAGCGCGCTAACAACTTGCAGAGAGGCTGCGCGGGAAGGTCTTCCAAATGGCACAGCATGAAGCGTCTCGGGCGTGGTGACTTGCACACCCCGCGCAAACGGCAAGAAAATTTCAAAGATACGCGTTTTCATTTTCCAGGCGGTCAAAATAAACAGTTCTACTTCACTTTCTTTTTCATTACGATCGAAAACGAAATCAAAACTAATTCGAGACTTATTAAATAAGTATGCAATTCCAATTGGAAGCGCAAGCGCTCTCTGAAATGCCTCGAGGAGCAGTGATACATGTGGTCGTTCGTTTGGAGATATTAACTTGAAGAGAACAAGAAGGCACTAGAAGTAGCTGGAATTGTTTTTAGACGCGCACGGGTCGTCGTCGTGAAAGTTGTTACACGTCGACTTCATTCAAGATCCAATCTTGAATCCGTAAGTAAACATATGTGCAAGAAATGGGCGGAGGGTAGAGCTTCTCACATACGCATCGATCAGCACTTCTTTCTTTCATCATCTTTTCTTGTGCTTCCTGTGCGATTCATGTGGAATTCATCATTATTTTTTCCTCATTCTTCATCACATCGTTGTCTTTTCGTTCGTTCGCATCATATTGGCAAATTCGCATAGTCGGGACGATTTCAGAAAGTGCGCCTTCTTGAACTTCGGATCTGTCTTTGTGTTGAGATAGAAATGCTGTCTAAAGGGAAAAAATTGATCAAATTACGACTCTGTTGATCACTGACCTAATTCGTTTGAGAACTAGAACAAGTGCCTAAGGCTGTGTTTTTAATTATTATGGGGAAACAAAAGTTTCATACTGTGCAGATGAGCTTGACTGAAAGAACTTACTCTTTCTCGTATCGTCGTTGGATAGCTGCTGTTTGATTAAAGTCAACGTTCTTTCTGTTTTTTCGGTCATCCTTCTTTTTTCATATATAATTGAGATCTCAGAAGAAGTGCCAGCGCGAAGCCGAGACGACTTAAGAAATGCTAATTGTTTTGACCCTTGTTCAAGTTCCTTCATTTTGTTCTAGTTCCTTCTTTTTTCCACCACCCCTTTCTTCTCCACCCCTCTGTCATCCCTCTTTAGCTCAGCGTCAACATCTTCATATTTCAAGAAAAAGACTCACGATCCACAGTGTCATTAATTGTTTTCTCGTATAAAGGTCTCAGCTCGTGATCCCACCTACTGCAATCTTTTCAAGAAACCGACAACGACAACCCACATCAGATTATACTTGAATCTTCACTTCTTCTTATTTTTACACCCTCCCTGACAAGATAAACTTCCTCTAAATTTCCACTGCTTCCTTTCGTACGCTCCCTGCCGACACACTGGACACTTCCGGTCATCTTTACTTGTTTTTAAACTTTCGGACGACTCGACGCAGCAGCTGTGGACCGCGTGGCCGCAGGAGAGCACCGACACCCTCCATCGCGCCTTGTCGCGACAAGTCGATGTAGCAGATTGGGCACTCGTAATCCGGAAACCAGCGCGCGAGATGCACTGCTCCTTAGCCCACACCCAGCGATCGGTTGTTGCGGGTTCCTGCACTCCGCTGCCGAAACAATCCCGCAGTATCCTCCTCCTCTCACGGAGCTGTCGATTTCGCTGAAGAAGTCGTCGAGCTGCTCGGGGGACTGCGCTTCGTGTTTTTCCCGTTCTTTTTGTAACAGGCGCAGCCGCGTTTCCTGCCACAGCCGGCGGGAGGCCTGGAAGTGGGGATTCGGCGGGTGGAAGTAACGGTTATTCTTCAACTTTATTGCGCTCGCTGAACCCGTCATGAAGTGCCAAGCGTCCCTCCGGATCACTTACGCGCGGAAAAACCGTTGTATTCGCAACGCGCACTGCTCCGCCGAAAGCTCCCTTCCCCCGAACCTGCAGCACTCGGCATACTCCCCCCGGCACAGCGGACGACAGGGTTTCTCACAGAACTTCTCATAGGAGGTGAGGCACTTTTTTTGGTAGATGTGCCCGCAGGGTTGCAGAATTACCTGCGGCCGCTTTTGCGGGTCTCCAAAGTGGGTCATGCAGATTGCGAACGCCTTGTGATCGATCTCCACCTTGTGTTTCGCCATCACGGGCGCCATGAAGTCTTCCCACTCGTTATTTTCTCGTAGCGGCTCCGCTGGCTTCTCCTGCAGATCGAGCTTCTGCGCGAGGTTGAGGAACTTCTTGCTGTACTTCTTTTTCTTCGCTTCGTAGGAGAGGTCGCAATGCTTCGCGATCTGAACTTGCTGGTGTTCCTTCGACGTGTTGGAAGAGGGTAGCTGCGCGGCTTTCAGTAATTTCGCAACCGGCTGCATGAACGTCTGCTGAAACGCGGCAGCAGTGACCGCGAGCGACACAGTGGACGTGGAGGCGGGAGTTGGAGCTGACGTTTTCCTTTCTTGAGAGGATTGGGGTTCCGGTTGGGCGGCGCCGCGGCCGCGAACACAATCATTTTATTTAGACAAACAGCTGTCCGCGCACAATAAAAATCCTCCGAACTATTGCAGACGACTCGACTTGTTCTTTCAATTTCATCAACGTTGCTTGAGAATCCATCGCGATGGCGGGGCACCACCGCCGGCCCGCCCGCCGCTTTTCCTCTCGCCGCACAAGGCAGCACGGCATCTAGGCGTCGCATGCGGATCCGCTGCCGAACCTTGATGTACCCCGGTTAGGTTAGGTTAGGTTAGGTGTGGGTCCACTAGATAAACCAGCAGACTTCAGTGGCTACTGAAGAGCCAAAATACAACAAAAATGTTGCGCCACAAGTTGCTAGTTTGATGTGCCCGTGCGGTTGCACTCGGAGCAGCCACATCTTCAGATAGACGATCGTCCCCTTCAGCGATGAGACGTGGTTGTCATCGTTGGTGCATATTGAGAGAAATGATGATTTTGATTAAAATGCGTTGCGTCCATGATATAACTGCAGCCATTTTTGAGTAGGCATCAACAGTGCAAACACGCACTCGAATGAACGAATTGGTGCTTGTCATTGTAAAATCTTCACGTAGAAGTACAACACTCAAACTGAGAATATTTCTAAGATGGACGGGGAGATCAGCACCAACAAAAATTACAATTCATCGCAGTTACAACTACCTTAGAAGCGAAGAAAGGGACTGCAATACGTCATAGAAGATGGGTTCTATTGCAAAATGTGTCGACACACTTTCACTTTCCAGCCAACGCTTTTTCACTTTACGCCCGTCTGATGTCTATGAAGAAGTCTATTGCATTTCACAACTAGACTGTTTTTCCGCGGCTTTGTGGGATGATCGTTTATGGTTTTGGTGCCTACTCACTTCTAGTAATTGAATGGGTAGGGACCTTGGAGACGCACGAGCTCCAACCACTTGTTCGTCTTCGCTTGGGGGCAGGCGCTGGCCCAGGGGGAGACCCTCTTGAAAATGGCGTTGTCTTCTGTAGTCGTATCTTCTTGCTCACGACGAGAGACGGAGGCAGCTGGATCGTCGCCAACGTCCTCATCCACTGCTTACTATGTTGTTCATTTTTGAATGTCTGTTAACTATATTACAATGGTGCGAGACCAATAGTACGTAGAAATAAACATCATCTTAGACTTAGGAGCACAGCAAAAACTGTTTTAATTTTGTCGACAGGAGGACGAGGAGTAATTCCATCGATAGGTACTACCAATCGCAATGGTCATGAAAGTGGGAACCGAATCAAGCTATAATTACTTGATAAGTAATTAGCTTGATAATGCTAATCCATAATATCCTGTATCTCACTTAATCTTAAGATGATCTGAAAATGAAAGGTTAATGACAGAAGGCCAAGATATCAATAGCTGCTACGTATTTTTCTATCGAATTAAGTATGTCGATCTCTTAATCAGTATGATGTGAGCATCATATTCGATTACTCTCAATACAAGAAGCGCGCAGGCTGGACGTATGAACACCTAAATCTATGAATTCCACATACGTATAGATACTTTGTGTCTTTTTCTGATTTAGTAACGGATCTTCTTACAAACTGACAATTGAACAACAAGGTGGTCCTACATGATTATACATGCTACTTCTTATTTCATGAGCCGTTACGTAGAAGTGTTGCGTACAAACACAACAACTGCAAAGAGCAAGAGCTGTAGCACTAACTAGTGCGAAATAACGAACAATAGAAACAAGTTTGAACATACTACAAAGTTTCATCTTCTATATCAATAACAAAAACAATAAGCTTCATTAAATATAAATTTAATACGAATGTTGGAGCACGAATACGAAAGGAACCAAATCAATGAATGCAATGACCTTCACGGTACTATTTTTATGTAGTAAGTATGTCTATTTTGGACATGTCTATCATGTAAGTAAGTACATAGTAGTTTGTTCGAAGTTTATGAGCATGATCTAAAATTTGTGTTTGAACTCTGTTTTTGGACCTTCCAACAACGCCCGTCGACACTGACACCGGTAGTAGTGACTAGTGGAGGAAAAAGTTATGGTCTTGCCCCGCTGGTCGAGGAATACCATGGTTTCCCAGGAGACGCGCGGTTCTTGTCTGGAGACTTGCTGGCAGTTTGTATCATCATCCGACCACTGTTCGACATCAAGGCAGAACGCTTCAATCCCGCCGTCCGCGTCTGCTGGAAGCCTGCGAAACTAGAAGCAGGAATATCATCGTCACCGGCTGCTGCGGTGCTTGTCGCAGGTGACAACGTCGGCAGCTGCAATGCTGTAGTTGATCATGCGTGTAGTTGTGGCGGGTAAATTGAATTTATAATCCGGGTATGCGGCTGGCGCCGAGGAAGTATATCTTACTCTAGTACACCTAATCTAATGAAATAAATGAGGAAGAACCGTGCTCCGAGAAGAACGAGAACGAACTGATAACGAAGATCAAGATTATGAGTGATGACAAGAAGATGAAAGTCAAGATGTATTATCATCATGTAGCTTACATCCGTGAGTTGAGTCCGTAGCACTTGGTGGCTGATGCGCGTAGGCGAGCGGACGGTGATGGGTCGCAAAAAGTGGGGCATTAGAGCGTTGCAGAAACAGGCGTCCCGACCTAGCCAACTGCGGCGCATCTCTTGCTGGGGAGCTGCTTTTGGGGATGATATTTTTGTTCGGGCTGTCCAAAGCTCGTCGCAGAGCAAAAACGAAAGCATTGTCGCAGTTCCCGTTGGGATCCATCATGTTCATGTTATGGTCCACCCCCGCATGATTACCTCCTGATGATCCTGCCTGAGTGTTAAAGTGTGATGACTGCGAAATGGTCGAACTTTGGTGTGAAGACGGCCCGCCTCCAGCGCTACCTCCACCTCCTCCGACAACACCTTGATGATGGCCACCACCTAGATGTTGAAGCTGATGTTGTTGTTGCACACTATGCTGATTTTTGGAGGCACTAGGTGAGTAGGGTCCTCCACCAGTCTTGTTGAAGGCGTTCATGTGTAGAGGCGCGCTATTATCCCCTGTGGCATCGTCGTCGAAGACATCGGTACCACTTCGACGATCTCCGAATCTTTGACTCGTGCTCGAAAAGTCACCTCCTGGCCCACCTGGAGGACCGTGTCCGTGGTTAATATGCTGATTACTATGCTGCCCAGAAAGAGAAGAGGAGGACGACGACGCCTGCAGATGAGTCGATGATAGCAGGTCGACATTGGTCAGACTGGCAGTTGATGCGGAGTTCAGATTCTTATCGTGAAGATTCTTGGGTGTTGCGTGAAGATTCTTGGGTGTTGTGTTCGATGCAGGCTGCATAAGGACCCAGGATGAAGAATTCTGAACGCTGGGAGGTAAAGAGCTGCGCCCACTCGTTGAACAAGCGCCTGGAGGGAGGTTGCTTGAACGCACTGGTGCATGACCCGTACTACTGGCCATAGAAGAGGTCGTCGCATTTGAAGACGACGCATGTAGGGAAGGGCCAACAGTCGGGAGCATCGTTGTTGGTGCATGATTTGTTCGATCGTTTCCAGCTTGTGGAAGAAAGTTCTCCCCCGCAGAAGTCGACATTGCAGCAGTTGCCATAGTCCCTGCCGTAGAGGATGACGTCGCGATTCCACCTTGTGGACCTGATGCTGAGGCGCCACCTCCGGATAGAGCGCCAGCCATTGTTGTCCCTAGGCCTGAGGTCGGAAAGCTTTTTTTTGCCGCTGATGCTCGTGACTGAAGTGATGACGCGTGACTTCGCAGGCTCTCCAGTTCCTTTGAGAATGGATCTACCTGTTTTGCGAGAGCGATGCCATCGCTAGACATAGGCTGAACTCCAGCTATAGCACTATTATCTAAAGACGGTGCCGTAGTACCCACCAAATTGGCGAGGGACGTCCCACTGTTCTTTCGGCTACCGTTCGCGTTCCCGTTCGCGTTTCGGCCAGCACCACCTCCGGAGGACATCGAGTGTCCAAACCCTCCAGAAGCAGTCGTTCCAGCAAGAACAGTCGACGAAGAGCGGCTGCCGTTTAGGCTCGTGCTGCTAGACGACGACCATATTTGAGGTGGCCGCTCCGCTTCGAATTCTTGACTAGTCAGATGACGTGACGAACCACCGGCAAGCGGGTCTCCACCTTGTTGACCTTGTTGTTGCATCTTGTTCACAGGCTTTGACGAAGATGAGGAGCCACCAGTTCCCGAGAGTCGAGTCCTAGAATCCATGGGAGTAGATTCTTGAAAGACGATGTCAATGCGTTGTGCGGGTTTAACATTTTCTGCTAGCAGGTTGTGTTGGCTCCTCTCCTGCTCGTAGAGAGCACTAGTCCCTGACCCGCTGAAGGGTGCATGCCTGCCACTGTCTGAGAAGGACCCACTCGAGCCTCCAAGGCCTCCACTGTTTGATGTCCTGTCGTTGTACGGCAGTGGAGGCACGTTTCCTCCAGGGCCATCGATGGCGGAGTCGATGGCAGAGCCCACAACCGACAGAAACGCGGCATCCTCCCTCTCTGCACAGTCGGCTCCTCGCCCATCGCCTCCCATGTATACAATGCCGCTTCGCGTAGAGGACGACGGGGCGCCGGGAGCTCCTGTGCTAGTCGCTAACCCACTGTTGCTCACGCCAGGCGCTGATGACGTAGAGGAGGCCGCGTGGCCTTCGCAGGTTTGCGTGTTGCCGGTATTTCCTCCTGATGACGCTCTACCTGTAGTCTCCACCTGATGATCGCCAGCTCCAGCTGCAGATACGCTGTTTGCTAATCGGCCCGCTGCGGCAGCACCAGACGGTGTTTGGCAATCGCTGCTCGCATAAGGGGAGCCGCCGCCCGTGGACCGCACGTGATGATTGTGAACGTCATGACTTGCACTACTTGCTGCACCTCCGAGGCCAATGTAATTCGTCGCGGCCTCTGCGAAATTCACACCCCCTGCGAAATTCACGGCATCATTTTGGTCCTGTTCCTGGTCAGAGAAGTCGCCATCCTCTTCTGGATCTTCATCGTCTTCCTCCTCATCTACCAAGTAGGCCAGTTTTTCGTGCGGCCTACTATGTTGGTCCTCACTGTTGCTAGCTCCTCCCGCGCCTCCAGCTGTTCCTCCCGCCGCCCCTTCACTTTTATAATTACGGCCAGAAGAAGAGGAGCTGTTTGATGTATTTTCTACTCGTTGCTGCCCACTAGAAGCAACACCGGAGGTTTTGGTAGGACTACTTCTTTGATCAAGTGGCTCAGGGTCACCACCATGATGGAGAAATCGCATCGCGCTTGCGACCACGGGCGAGAGCCATTTTTGCTTATTTTTCTTCTTTTTTCCCTTTTTAGAAGGACTCAAGTTGGATATGCTTCTCCCACCGCTGTTGCGAACTAGTCGCTCCTTGCGCGTGGTTCGACCTGCAGCTGCAGGTGCTGAGTTCTCTACTATCAACAGAGGCTTTTGTTCTGGACCTGCCGTGTCTCCGGACGAGGGATGTGCCCCTGCAGGCAGTTCACCCTTATTGCTAGGCAGACCACCTCCAGCGCTACTCGACGCCGCATTCGAGCCGCTCACGCAAGATGATGCACCTGCAGTACCGCTTGCCACATTTCCGTCACCCAGTTGGGTCCACCCTGCAAAGGCAGCACCATCCTCCTGTCCACCCGCAGCTCCACCAGTACTAGATGAGTGGGCATGGTTCCCACCTCCGCTAGTCGCGCCTGCTGTGTTGAGACCTCCGGAGGAGGTGCTCGACGAGCCCTGGTGCCCTGCTCCTGTGACATGCAGTGCAGACGAAGAGGAGGTAAGTGTAAGATTGAACGCGTCTGTAGAGGATGATGCCTTGTTCTGATGTAAGTGCCACCTGGACCCCGACTCCGCAAAAAGGCTGGATGACGACGCGTTTCCTAGAGCCTGACCCAGGGGGATCTGCTGGTTGCGCAGCAATCCCATCGCTGCACCAGTGGGACTGCCTGTCGAGAAAGATGGGACAGCACCTCCTGCCGACTGGTGACTGCTACTTGTTGCGGCAGCTACAACTGTCGAAGTAGAAGTAGCAACAAGAGACGAGGAGGATGTGGAAGGCGTTACAGTCGTGGATGAAGTAGATGCCACAGCGGCTCCTGAAGAGGTGGTAGGATTCTCTGACGACGAGCTTGCGCTTCGCTTGCTAGTCCTTGCCGCGTTACCAGTCCCTGCAGTACTTGCGTTCCCGCCGCTGTTGTGAATGTGCTCGGTCTCACTGCTAAGGTTTGCTTCCTCTATAGTGTCACACGTCTGGGCGGATTGCGCATTGGAACTATTTTTCTGAATGTAGGTCGTTCGGCCAAACGCAACGATTCTATCGAGAAGCGACATCTTCTGCTGTTTCAACAACAAATCCTCTTTCCCGTTAAAAAGGTTGCGCATATTCAGGTACCTCTGCATGATGCCATGAAAGTGTCCTTGTTCCTGCTTACAACCTCCTCCGCCTTTCTTTGCGGTGTTTCCCGCACCCACTCGCGTAGTGGAGAGAGTTCGCCTCATGGCCGACTTGTCGCCCGCACCCGGGTTGCCTCCGCGACTCCCCATCTTCTCGCGCATTTTCGACAGCTTTTCCGGCGAAAGGTTGTCGCCACTGGGATTGCTGTCGCTACCGTCATCACCCTCAGCGTCGCTTCCTTCCGGGACGACTCCGCCAGCAGGCGCAGGAGCTCCAGCGTTGCCGCGGACGGCGCCGTGTCTTAGAAAGCCATCAGAAAGCTGTATTTCCTACAACTGCGTGAAAAAGTATCTATTTTACCGATAATGCTGAGCTGCAACAACATTCGTTTGTTTATGTCACTGCAGTATTTGTATTATAAGAATTCAATAACTCTTACTCTTTGCCGTAACAGTTGCTGCCTATAGTGCTTCTTGCGCTGCTTCTCTAGGTCTTCTTTCTCTTGGTGTTCTTGGATTTCCCGCATCAGGGTCTCTAAGTTGATGGAGGAGAGGCCACACGAGGCGGTAGTGTTCAATTGTACCACAGAAGAGCCTTGGTCGCCGTTCTGCCGCAGCTCCAGCTCTATCGTCTGCTGCTCTTGTTGTATTTCTACTCCTCCATCCTGAATCTTCATCTCATCGTCATGAGTCTCATTCAATTGGCCGTTGGTATTCATCGCCTTACTAGTTTTATTACCTACACTGGTCAATTCATCTTCTTCAACCTGTGTCTTTTTCCTTTCCGATCTGGATCTCTGTGAACCCGCACTTTCATCTTCTGAAGGAGACCCCGATGTCTGTGGTCCAAGGACGCCGTCAGATGCCTCGCCTGACGACCCCGCTCCACTTGCAGCAGCGGACGACGATGACACGAGTGAGTTTCCACCTGATGTAGAGGATGCATTCCCATTTTCTCCACTAGTTGTAGATGAAGACGACCTATGGCCGGTTGATCCTGGCGCATACGAACCAAACGTTCCCGCGGGACGGCCGATGCTCATTTTTTGCTTGCCCTCACCAGTCATCGTCCCAACTTGTAGTTCACGCTCACCTGAAGAAGAGGAGGATGACGAGGAGCTAGTACTACAACTACTACCTCCTGCTTGTGTTGCAGTGGTACTAGACTCTGTTCCTGCAGCGATTTGCTGTTGCAACATGGAGGAAGCGGACGTTGGAACAACTTGTCCACCAACAAATGAGGAATTTGTTGCCTGATAATGTCCCTGCAACCACGCGGCTTCTTGTTCGGGGGATAAGAAGTCGAACAACCGCACATCATCCGGCTCTGCCTCCTCAGCCAGCTCCTCGACGCACACTTCTTTCTCGATTTCTTTCTGCCGCACCATGTCACTTACCAAGTCGCTGACAGGTGGAGTTGGGATGCTGACCATGTTCTGCAACTTCGTCAGGTCACCTTTCACACCAACGGCATCTGCTGACACGCCCGTTGTTTCCAGCGACGCTACCGTCCCGCTCGCTGAAGCAGTAGCCGCACCAGGATCAGAGGCCTGTGCATCCGTCGTTGTTCCCTCCGAGCCAGTGATTGTTGATTCGGCCACTCCATCAGAACTACTACAACTTGTAGATGGCTTCGCTTTCCCTTCGCCGTCTTGAGGGTTGCCGGCGCCTCCACTTAGAACAGCACCCAAGGCCTGGTCTTGGCTCGCCGCTGCAGCCGCTAGAGCCGTTACCAAATCCTCTTGCTCCGCAGCGTCATCGTCATGCGTTAGACATATACTCTTCTTGTTCCACCTTGGAGACAACTACACGACCTGCTCCCCTGATGGGACGACTAGTTGTACTGAAGCAACAGCTTCATCTACTAAGTGACTTCTTCAGACCTTATTAAGCTAGAAAGAGCTAGTACTTACTTCATTTTTACAACAGATGGTACACCTGACGCAGAGCTACTTACACATGCAGCACCAGACACAGCAGAAGATTTACTTATAAAAAAGAAGAAAAAAAAAGTTCATAAATCCTCGTCTTCGTCCTCTTTTCCGGAATCGCCGTCTTTTTCTTCGTCCTTGTCTTCCTCTGAGACGTTCAAAAAATCTGGATCTTCTTCTTCAGAACCGTCCACGTCTTCGCCCTCCCCAGGCTCTTCTTCAACTTCATTCTCGCCATCTTCAACGTCCACTTCAGCAGTGTCATCGTCTCCAGCACCTAGTACCTTCGTAAGGCTGCTTTTACTCTTCTTTGATTTCCCTTTTTTCTTCCCCTTCTTCTTAGGAGACTTCTTAGGTGAATCGGCGGACGCTGCGACCTAGCGAATAAATTTTTGTGATGCTGGTCGTGGTTTTTTGTCATATTATAGTCAGAAGATGAACTTACTTATTCAAACAAAATGATTTTGAACCGAAGAAGACCAAATCGTTACATCTTCTTAAAGAGGGACTGGTTGAGACGGTCGACGAGAGGCCATCTTTTATTGAACAGAAACTAGTGGTGCCCAGTTTTATGCTTGCAACGAACACGCGAATGGTATAGAAGTAGAAAAAGTGTATGAAGTTGTAATTGTACTAGTTATACTTTTTTCTTCGTTGGGCTTTTCTTTTTCGGTGATCGGATCGGCTTAGAGGCCTTTTCTGGTGCGTTCTCATCGACCTCTGTTACATCGTCACTAGGCGTTCCGCTTGGCGGTACCGCTGGCACTTGCTGCTTGTTCTTTTTGCTCGTCTTAGAGCTGCCGCCCTCTCCGCGACCTTTTATTCCACCAGCATGACGAAAAGTGCTTCGACTCCAGTTTCCATTCAAAATTTCCTTAGCGATGTGGAAGTGAATGAGCAGACCGCGAGCAAGCGTCGCGCCTAGCAGAGAGAGCTTGTGCGGTGTGAAAGGAACTACGTTTTTCAAAGGCCGTGTATTGTTAGTTTCCAGATCGTTGTCATCGTCTTCGACGTCAGAACCAGCGGCGCCATCAGATCCGCCATCGTCGCCTTCCTTCTTCTTATTCTCTTCATTCGAGCCCTCTTCACCCGAGGAGGACGTGCCCCCGGCATTCGCGGATGAAGAACCTAGAAGTGCTAGCAGGTAGTGTCGTTGTAAGCGAAGGTAGGTACTAGAACAAGCTGTATGTACAAGACTTCTACATCAAGATGAAGATCAACTACAACAAGAAGTGTGCTTCTACTTGGGAATGGAATATACAACAACTACATGTTCTTCAGAGCTGTCTTAAGATGACAAAAGCACACTAAGTAGACGTGTAAAGTACCTGTCGAACTCTCTTTCCCCGACCCAATTGCTCCGAAGAAGCTTGCTTCAATCGTGAACGCTTCAACTAAGCCGATGTCTCTAGCGACAACGACACGGCCGGTTCCTCGCTTGCTGGGGCCCCCTCCTCCGAAACAGCACTTGGCGTAGGAAAATTCGGGAGCCAAAACAGACAAGATCTTCGGATACATTCTCACAGCATAGAACCGCCAGTCGGTGGGCGCATAGGTACTGCATCCGTAAGCAAAAAGGTTCGTCTGCCGTGAATGCCCGTGAAGATCCAAGTAGAGCACAAGTTGCTTCTTCAGCTTGAACAGCAAGCGCTTCAGTTCAAACACTGACTGATCCAACACGGGATCCGGGTACCGCCATTGCCGATTCAGATCCACACCAGCGAGAGAGCAGCGGTAATTGCCAGAAATCACGCCGTCAGGGTTCAACATGGGAACTGAAGTTGAACAACAACAATGGTTGATAGATTGTATCTTCTATATTAAGAAAAAAATGCAGCCTGTCCGCATCAGCTTGGACGACGTAGCTATGTACTAAAAAAAGCAGGAGTGCTAGCCGAGGCAAACACTGGCACTGATGGACCAGTGAAATCATGAAAGAATGTTGTAGCTTCTAAGCAAAAATTTCCATATCTAAAACAAGTTAATGTTCAGCATCAGCTTTAGCAGAATCAGTTGGGCAAGTATTAAAACACGAGTTACCAACTTTGAATATGAAGTGAGATCGGAGGACTTGGGCTTCTGGTGTGTTGCTCAGGATGAAATTAAGGAAGCCATGGAGGAGCCAGCTTGCATTCGCCTCGCCTGGGTGCACGCGGCTAGAAACGACGATGTACTTCTTGTCTTCGCGGGGTACTGTCCAGTTGCTGATCGAGAGAAGCTCGACGTCCGCGCGGCCTAGGGCTTGGCAAAGTGTGCGACGTCGCATCAGCTTGGCCTTCTCGGGATGTCGCACCTGGATCGTCTTCAAGAGACAGCGAAGATTGGAGTAGGTGTAGGGGAACGTGTACGCGATGAAGCAAGTGTCGTTGTCATTTTCAAAGGTGATGTCGAACGTGAGAGTGAAGTAGTTGTTGCGAGTTGTCAAATTAGTATTTTCGTTTTGGTTGTTCTGCTGCTGGTGCCTCTCGACCCGCGTTTGAAACTGCGACGAAAAACCACCGCCGCCACCAGCGTTCTGAAGAGTGCCGTTACCGGGCCCTTGCTGATCGCCGCCTCCTCGTTCATGATCCCCGTTGATGTCGTCCCCATTTCTATCCTTGGTGGGCGATGACCCTCCTTGTGCAATGGACCAGCCCCGCTTTGTTCTCCGTGCCATGCCCTCGAGAGTGTTGCTCGAATTATCGCCTCCGCCTCCCCCCATGCCGCCAGTAACTCCTGTCATCCCTCCACCTCCACCACCAAAATTATTTCCGTAAATGTTGTCGCCGCCTGCGTCGCCAACATTCGAAGAAAAGAGTGCGTTCTTCGGACGCTGGTTCCGCATCGCCCTAGGAATTCGGTTCCGCGAGTAGCAGATGTTTTCCCCCATAGGCCTCCACAACTTCGGCAACAGGTCTGAGGACGAGAGGGCGGCCAAGTCGTTCGTTGGAACCTCGGTTGCGAGAGCTCCTCGTCTATGAAACACATGACCAGATGAACTAGATGAACTTCCGCCACCTGCTGCAGCTCCTCCTGCTGCAGCACCCGATGATCCCGAGCTACCACCTAAAGAAGACGAGGACGAGCCTCCTCCTGCAGCACCTCGCAAGAGTGCACCCGTACGGTCATCAGCTGCGGCGAAGCCCTTACGTAGACGGTCCTCGTCCTGGAGTCTGGCGAGCACACGCTTCGCGTTCGCTTCCGACCATACTAGCGGCTTCATGCCCTGCGAGAAGAGACTTGCGCCTTTGCACGCATTGATGATCCGAAAGCGGATCGTCTGTTGTCTCTTGAACCCACGCACCGCAAACATGAACCACTGGGTGTGTCCCTGAGTGTTGGTGTCGTGGTCTAAAACCAAGTCGTAAACGGGAACGTAAGTGTTGTAACCAGGCAACGGCGCGGAAGAGGAAGAGGAGGATGCACTAGTAACCGAAACTGGTGGTGGAACTACTCCTGATCCTGAAGATGGTCCTGAAGAGGTGGAAACTGTTGCCGCATTACTTCCAGTCAAAGGCGGCGGTAAAATTCTTCCAGGTCCTCCTCCTGTGCTAGCAGCACTAGGATTGCTCGCTGAGGCTGGAAGCTCCGGCATGTCGGCTGAGGCTCCCGCAGCTGGCTTGCGCTTGATGACACCGCGAAAGCAGGCGTACTTCAGATTTCCGCTCTCGAAGCAGCTAGTGAACTGCAAAAGATCACTGGGGTCTCGCAGAGTTGTAGGGAGAATCTGCGCAGCGCTTGTTTCCAGCCTGCCACCAGCCACATCCCCGCTTCCAGCCCGCGCACATGTACCGACGTAGCGGCGAGAAGCACTGAAATCACAGCCATCGAGCAGCACCTGGTCACCCGTAGCGGCCTCTGTCGTTGGTGTCATTCCAGAGTGAGGCTCTCTGGAATGAGCCCCCTCCTGAAAAACGTCACCTTTTACAAGGTAGTTCTTCGCCTCTCGTTCCTGCTCGCGATGCTCCTGAGGTTCATTTGTTCCACTCAGCTCGTCCGAAAGACGAGGACGATCTCCACCATCTTCTACTTCCTTAGAGGCTACGGAATTACATTCTTCAGAACATCCCTGGCCTCTTTTCTACTAGGAAATAAAGAGTCAGGGATGGTAGTGGAGAATGCTCAATTCGGTGGAAACCCTTAACTTCATCGCCACTATTAAGAGCCGACGTATCTTCCTCCTCCCCAACCGGGTACAGTTCATTCAATGCGGACGATTCATTATCTGGTGCACCAAAGCGAATATGAGCGTTGATGTCAGCGAGTACCACGTCATCTTCGTTCCACGGCGTGTGGATGTCCCGACTCGCGTCTACACAGAACGACCACCCCTCATCTGCTTCTTCCGCTCCCCCAACCATAGTTGACACATAGCAGGACTCGGAAGGGCTGCTTGCCCGACTCGTAGTGCAGGACATCGAAGCACTGCTAGAGCTAGCCTCCACCTCTGCGCGAGAGGGGTAGGAATTGCTCGAAGAGGAGGCGCAGGAGTCCTCCTCCCGGAACGACGACGCGGAAGACGAGTATTCATCAAGGTGGACGGAACACGATGATTCCTCATCTCGGATATCATTGTGTTCTCCCTCGAGCCACCGCCCTGAGTCCACAACTGACAGCATCTGTTTCTGCATGCTGCCGTTTACCTGCATCGTGCTGCCTAGGTTCATTTCGTCCACCGACTGAGAGCGGGATCCAGTACTTGCTGAAGCACTGATTGAAGATCCGGTTACAAGGCCCGCACTGGATTTGCGTAAGCTATTTGGCGTTTTCGGACGGGAGCCACGCTTAGAAGCCGCCTGAGTCAGTTTCGACATCATGGATTGGGGAAGCAGTTGCTTATTCGCGTTCGGCAGTGTGCTGGCTTTGTCCAGGTCTGCAGCGGGAGCTGGCATCGCCGTCGGCTTGAACAGCGATGGGCTAACTGCGATCAACGGGCTCGAAGCCGCACTAGAAGAACCGCTACTCGCCGCGCTCGATTCTCTGACATTTACCTGTTGCTGGCCGGTCGTTGGATTCGCCGTAGCAGCAGTCGTTGTCGTTGTACCTCCTGCTCCTGCTAAGCCAGGAGTAGCATTATGTTGTGTCTTTTCTTGGATAAAACTTGCGCCAGTTGTTCGCGGAATAAATCCATCGGAAATCTGTTGCGCGAGAGGATGCTGATCACCAAAGATTGTTGCCGAGTGGGCTTCTTCAGTGCCTTGTGATAGTGGCTCTAGTATACTAGAACTAGCTTTATTCACGTCACTCTTCACGGCGTCCTCTTCTTGAACACGATCTAAACCACTAGATGGTTTATTTCTCCTCGTTCCTTCCTCTTCAGAATGCGGGCAAGAGGAGGAGCTAGATGACTGACTGGGCGGAACATCGTCTTGAGAGTAGCTCAGCTTTATCCGTGGTGACTTCAGTTTTTTGCTTTTGGAAGATTTGCTGGCGCTTCGCTTCGATTTCGACGGGGACAACGAAGAGGCCCCGTCTCCGTCATTCGACATATGCTTCAGGTGCTTAGCTTTGATCCGGGTCTTGTGGCCAGAAGAAACGGCTTCAACTCCATGCTTCTGCTTTCCTCCTTCTTGCCCCTCAGCAGTACTCGACTTCTTGTTCTTCTTCGACTTCTTGTTCCCTGGACTGCGTGTGGGCGTTGCAGCCGCGACGTCTTCGTCCTCCGTCTGGCATACGGGCTCAAGATCGGTCTCGCCCTCGTTGCTCTCGTTTTCGGCTTCATCCGTGTCCTCTCGCATGGTAGCGGAGGTCGCTCCTCCTGCCCGTGTCACTAGGGGCGAAAGCAGGGCTCCACCCTGCGCGAGCTTATTGCCAGCTCGTGTACGGCGTGCGGCTGGTGCGGAACCTCCATTCGCGGAAGCGCTTGCGCCTGATATCAGCAGTGGCGGGTTCATACGTTGACTCGCTGCTGCGGCTACCGGCCGTTGCCCTGCTCTTGTTGTTCCAGACTGCGCGTTCACAGAAGATACGGATTCTCGAAGACTTGTCTGAGTGTATGCTCCACCTATCTTTTTTATCGACGTGCTCGTCGTAGTCATGAGGCTTGAAGCTTGTTCACCAGCTTCCTCGTCACGTTCTTGAACAGTACAGGAGGTTCCAAACGTTGTACTATTAGTAGTGGTTTTATTGAGTTCTAAGGTATCTTTGACCAACTTCTCTACATCTTTTAGTGCCTCTCTTCCCTTCTTCGCCTCACCACTTGTTTCCCCCAATGTTCTTGATTCACCAGGAACCAAACCACTAGTTGTAGACGATGATGTTGGTGTCCTTGTACTATTATAATGGCTCTTCGCTGTCCCCCCTGCTGAAGCCGTTCCGTTGGTTTGCTCATAGCGAGCTGAGGCTTCCCACCATCGCTCGTGAACAACTCTAGGCCATCGAATTTCACAACTCCTTGGAGGTCCGCCGAATATCCGCGGCAAATCGACAAATGCTTCAGGAGCAGAGGCATGGTAAAAGAACCTGAAGGTGTAATGCTCTTGTTGTTGATCAGGGTGAAGCAGATCATGCGGCTGAGTAAGTAGTTGAATTGGTCTCCAACATCAAGGACTTCTTGGTTGTACTCCTACTGTGCTATGACCACTTGGTGTTAGGAGAGTGTGAAAAACAAAAATTCATATAATTCAGAGACAGAGATCACTTTTTAATACCACGAAGATTACAAGTACAGAGTTGTGGAGTCAACAATGTAGTACTTTGGATCTTCTGTTGTAGTGAAGCCATCTGTGGCGTAGATGGAGTCGCGGACTTTGAGCCAACGGTCCTTATCGAGCCAAGTTGGTCTGGAGTACACCAACTGCCCATCGCAATACTTCAAGACATCGGCCTCACAGTGGGCCTTGGTCAAAAAAGACGCAATATCGTCATGCAAGTCATCCACGAATTCTAGTGAGTCGATACCTGGTCGTGACGCAAAAAATGCAGTTGATGTAGTTCTTGGGAAGAAGAAACTGTATGAAGATGATTGCAGTTCTTGGGATATGAAGATGATTGTAGTTGGGAGAAGAAAATCGTACACCGAAAATGAGGAACAAGCTCAACTACTCATTTTATGCATCATCTTCCAGCCGGAGTTTCCTTTGGATAGTTAGAAAGAACAAGTCTTCTTCTACACCAAGAAAGTACTAGTAAGTTGTCGAGCAAGTGTATATGCAGCAAGGGAATACGTTTCCGAGACAGCATACTGCTTCTTCTTGCACGTAAGTCTTTATTTTCCGACACAGAAGCCGGAAAAACGGTATTTGCGTTATACATCTTGTCGTTGAACAACTGGTTCTGCAAGACTTTAAAAAATCCGTGAGACGATCTTCATAGCACGAACAACTATAATGGTCGTTGGTTGCGGTTGGTGAGTGAGTCGTGAATGAATGTGCCTTGCAGGAGGTCGTGTTTGAGTTTGCGTTTGCAGTGGTGGATTATAATAAAGAAGTATAAAAATGATTTGATTATATTGATTCAAGAGGAAGTAGAAGTAGATCTACTAAAGAGCATGATGATCTGCTTAAGAACAGGAGATGCTTTTCATAATAAATTCATCTAAGGGTGCTGGAGGATGTCCGAACTTGGTGGATCCCTGGCGGTAGTAGTAGTAGTAGTACTGGTACTAGTAGTTAACCCACTCACGGGGTACAGTCCAAAGTTTTTAAGTGAACATTTTCTAATAATACCGATCAAGGTTCTTACGACTTCATCGATATTCTGAACAGATATCTTCTACATTGCACACATGCTGGATCGACGTCGTTTGGTGTCAGACACGAACGATGTTGAATACCGAGTCACCTTGTGTCCTGCGCATGTTGAAACAGTGATCAGATGAAAACCGAAGAAAGATTTAGTACAGCCGCTAGAAGCTGCATCAAGGACTTCTCTTGTGTCACCAGTGTCAGATATCAACTTGATAAAACAACTCTCTCTCAACGATAGGGAGCCTCTGACATCGAAGCTGTTCGAATTTACCTCTAACTTACGTGCGGGCCACTGGCTACTTGACAACAACCAACCTTCATCTCCTTGTGTGTCCATCGCTTCGACCACATCGACACCGAAGAAAAATAATAAAACATATCTTTATATCATATTCTGGAAAAACCTAGTAGCTTGATGGATTTCGGAAAAATATCGTGCGGTGTCTATCAATTTCAATCTTCTACTGGTCATCATGAAGTAGATGTAGTACGTAGACGTACTCTATGTAAATCTAAATATAATTTCTTAGACTTCTTCTACTTCTTTCGTATTCTGAAACGACAGGTAGATTATACTAGATAGCAACAACCCATCTTGTTTCATCAAGCAACGCATGTGTGCCGCCAAGAGTCGCGGCGATCATGACGTGCATGGAAAGAACAAACGCCCAAACCTATCTTGTCTATCGAAATCATGAGCTGAACGGTATCTACAACAAGCTTTTTACCTTTGGTGCGCAGTCAACTACACGTTAAAAAATTCCGCAGCAATAAAGGTTGCTCGTCCTTTTGTATTTCGTCGGTATCAATCTTCATCAAGACTTTATTGCCGTCTCTAACCCGACCCTCAACATCGTTCGAAGTTTCTGTTCACGGTCGGTTGCGGAAAGACCCTTAAAACTGAGCTTTCCGTCGGGTGTTTCCGGCAGATGGAGGTCTTAGAGCTCTCAACTGTAGAAGTTTTCTGCTACTTCTTAACTCCAATATCTTGTTCAAAATCATGCGCGAAGACGAGGATCATGTAATCACGAGGATCATGATGTTCTTGCAGAAATAGAAAACAAATGTTCAGGAATTAAAGAAGATTGAAACGATCCTCGTCCTCGTGAAGAATCATTTTCATAAATTTCATCTGTGACGGTGCAAAGACAGAGTGCTTTTGCGCCGCGCTCGGCTGCGGCTGCATACAGTGCGCTGCACTCCATCTCGATGCCCAGATAATCGTGTGTCTTCAGCAAAGGAAACAGGGTTTTTTCTAGAGGATGGTAGAAGAAGTCGCTGGTAAACAGCTTCCCTACGTGCACAGTTTCTCCGCCGCTCGGATCCACGTGCTCGCGACAGGCCTTAACACAGGCCTCCAGCAGACCCCAGTCCGCACACACAGCATGGTCGTAATTCAACAAACGGCTACGCTGCATGCTGGAAAGGAGGAAGACGAGTGGGACACTTATAGTAGTGCGGGCAAAAATCAGCTACTGACTAGTACTGAAGAATATTAAGATGAACTGCATATTAGAGTACAGATGGCTTCTTTTACCACCTCTGGTGCAGTGTAGCGATTCCAGTCTTCACCAAGAAAGCATATGCTGCCGCAACCAGAAGGATAAAAACCTCAATTGATTATGAAATCGACATACATCTTCAGCTTCTTCTAGATCAGGTACTTTGAATCCGTTCCTGCCGTCATCGCGATGATGAGATCCCCCATTTTCACCTTTGGTATGTTCATAGTCCCACAAGAGCCTATTCGGATTAATTTCTTGACCTTGTAGTAGTCGATCAACTCCGAGAAGTAGATCGAGGCACCGGCTGCACCCATGCCGCTCGCAATCACAGAATTAGACTTGAATACACCTTCCTAAGTGAGTAGGTTCCTCCTCCTGCAAGAAGCGCAACATCTTTGTTGATGACCTCTCTGTTTCCCCGTTGAAAAACATGTCTGCTGAGGACTAAGATCCATCTATACTTTGTGGAACGAAGTAGACGAACAAGAACAAGCCTTAACAGAAACAGGAACACCGTTATACGTTCCGGTGAAGCCGAGCATGTTTCGCACTGAAGTGACCTGTTTCGCGTTTTCTAGGAAATTGTCCGCCACATATTTTGCACGCAGAGGATCGCCAGGAACGAGGCAGACTTCCGCTATATCGCCAACAGCGGCGCTCATGTGCGCCGTTCCTTGCTTTGCCATCTCGTCGGCGGGTTTTGAGAAGAACTACAAGGGATATGTTACCGTGGTAAGTCGTCTTGGTCTGGAACAGCGAAGACGCAGTTCTTGAAGATAGTTCTTCTTTCACCCGTCACAGGTGGCTCCTGCTCTGCTTACATCAACCGGCGCTAGCAAGCAGAAACTGACCAGGGGTAAAATGGTCGTGATCGTCCACTTTTCCTTCCAGATGTTGCTGAAAGTTTGTGAAAAAAGTGAAAATCTGGCTTCTCGTCCTACCTTATTTTACCAATTTACATGAACTCTCACAGTCCTCTCCTTCTGCCTACAGCTGCTCCGTGAGTGTCTCACTCTCGCGTATCTCATCTCCGATAGTTGTCCCCCACGATGCGCTTGTTCTTAAAAGTTGAACAGATCGGGCTTTGAGACACCGCAAACTACGTCATGCTAGTCCTCTCTATCAACATGGAGATGGCGAGAGGACTTGGACTTGTTGCACATAAAAATGCGTTACTCAAAACTTGTTGTTGCGCGTTGTTCATCAGATTAATAACTACGTGTCTAGAATCCGGAGAGAGGTCGGCGTCGACTTCTCGTCCAGAATTTTCTGTAGACGAAAGAGCTGCATGAGTGTTCATTTGTCTCAATGATAGGAGCTGCAAAGGCCTGTAGAGCAATAGGTCTATGGAATACAATGAGGCACGTGCCTCTCGCAGAAGAAGTAGCGGCTTCCTGGCTACTAGTTTTTCCTCTCCTGTAGATGAAGTATTTCCTGCGAATCCGCTAGGTGTGGGTTGTGTCTTCATTATATTTTGGATTTCAGATTCAACTTCGGTCTGAAATCGGGAAGAGCTTGGCGGGTCGACAGGCCCCTCATCGACGAGATCTCGTATGGCACGCAATCGATTCATACGTAGTCCACACATTAGAGGACTGTGCGCATGTAAGTTCTCGCTCTCTTCTCAGAAATAAAAGCTGGTCCGTGAAGATAGTCTGAGGACGTCGATCTCGTTACTACCAATCTGAGGCGGCGCTCAATAAAAAAGCTGTAACAAATGCAAATCATTAAGTAAATCCCTTAACTGCAGGTATCCCTCAAAGCTGCCCCCGTCTTCAACATCACTGCTCAGAAGCCGTGTTGCCATGAAACAGGCGAGCAACTGACACTTTGCCTGTGTCGCGAGTGCAGTGCCAGTGAATACCCTGGCTTGCTGTCCTAAGATGGCTCCATGCAAAGTATGACGCAATAAAGTGCTCATGCTGGTAACCTTCCTGATAGTAGTTTCTCCACCGCCTCGTTCACCACGTGAAGATGTCTTCTGAAGAACGAGACCCATAACATTTTCAGCGAGTTTGTTCCTGGAAGAGCCACTCGGTGCACATGCAGATGCCATGCATATAGCGAAAGCAAAATTGACTGCATGTTGAACTTCATTAAAGTTCCAAGCGCAGGGTTTCTCATCCGTGAAAATTCCCTGGAAGCCACGGAACAGGTCACCGTAGGCGTGTAGGCGAGACAACGCTAGAGCCACAGCAGAGTGACCCTGTGTTATTGTGAAGCTGAAGGTCGAGGTACTCGTAGTATTGCTATAATCGGTATCTTCAAGAGAAGTCCCTCTAGATGACCTAGAGTTCTTTTCTGCCGTGATCATGTTGTATTTGCCTATCCTGTTTCTTCCTCCAGGTGGGCAAGGAGCTGCAGGTATACAACTAGGCGTCGAGCAGATCTTCGTGATTTCAAAAAACGCATTACTCGCAAGAGATATGGCCTCCTCGTTTCGGATCTGCAGGCGGGCCAACGCGTTGAGAAAAAGAGAGACGTTTTGCTCCGACTCCCTCTGCACATCAATCAGAGGAACGTAAGACTGCAACCACTCGACCATCCGAGCTTGAAAGCGATTGCTTGAAGACGTTGTGGAAGAGCCGCTCGACGTGTCGTGGTCGTTCTTGCTAGTAGTGCTAGGAGAAGATGAGTCAGAAGTACTAACCATGATGTCAAAATGGCCATTCTTGGTGCAGCTAGGACGAACTGAATCACCACCAGAAGATACACAAGATAGGATCTTGCAGCAAGCGTTAAGCACTACGCTAACCGATCTGAAGTCACGGTTGTCAGAGCGAAAAACTCGGTCGAATATTGCATCACTGACACGGACTCGATTTTGATCTTCACGGCCTTGAGGAAGATGCGGAACAATAGTACAATCGGTCGTGTTCGTTGTAGAAATGGTTGTGTGTTGGGGTTTTAATCCTCCTTCTTGTTCTTGATGATGTAGTTTTTCGTTAATATCTTTGCCACGATTTTCATCATGTGCAACAGGCCTGCACAACCGATTGAGCACTGGGCTGCCCTCCGAGAAGAAGTTTGCTGGATCCAGCCCTAGTTTGGCATAAGCATTGCACACCATAGCGAGTTGCCCTCGTGAGAAATCTTTCGCCTGTGCCGAGATCGCAACCTCCAATCTTCTTTGCAACTTTAGGTTCATATCGAAAGGGCGCTGTGCCCCCGCGGTGGACGTAGAGTAAAACTGATTATAGGAGGAGCGGGACTCGTTGTTGTAGTGCTGCTGTTGACTCGAGCACGTAGAAGGTGATACGACGTTGACGTTAGGACAGGTGGATGAGCTCGTTGTGGTCTCAGGCGTCATTCTCGCTAGCGCGTTTAGGGTCACAGCAAGACCTTGAGGTCGAAAAAAAGTGTCCAAAGCAGGCACGTCGTCACTCAGATAGTGAATCACAGTTTCCCAAAACTTTGAATACACAATCCCTTCGTCTGGTATCCTACTAAAAGCGTGAGAGAGGCTGCTGATATCCTGCTCGTTGAACAGGTGAGCTGGCACGTAGTCAAGACCTTGTTCCGCACGACTGCTATAATTCAATGACATCTTCACAGCTGCATAGTACTCTTTGTATCTCATCTCCAAAATGCTCTCTGCTTTGGATATGAAAGCGCGAATCAGCTCACGCTGCTCCTCCACGCCTACTAGCTTCGCATAGGCGCTCACAACTGCACTCACTGCCATCGATATGCCTTGAACTGTACAATCCTCGAGATGAACTGCACAATGGTCGAGAATCGCCATGGTTTCCGCTATAGTCGCACGGGTCGATGTGGAAGAGACTGGTGCTCTTGATGTAGTACTTGTTGAAGAGTCTCCTATGTTTAGTTGGACTTTTGATGTTCTTGACGTTGTAGTTGTTTTTTCGCAAGTTGTTTTTGACACTTCGTTGAGGTGCGCTCTCAACCGCAGAACCGCTGCCTTGGCACGTTCTTTGTTTCCGTCTGCAGAGAAAGAGCAGAAACCTGCTTGTCTTGCACAAGATTGATGTGTCTTTAATACCAATGTCCTCTTTTGGGTGGGGTCAACGAGAGCAGGCTTCATAACCCAAGTCTTCATAAACAACGACCTCTGCTTTCGCCGAAAGCGTTGGCGCAGCAACAGCGCAGTGCGAGGAGCGACAGGCAGCAACTGTTTCGAAAGTAGCAGCATTTTGGTCATTGTGTTAATATTTTTACGAGAATGGATGATCATAATAAATAAGTGCTCGTCTAAACTGCTCCGCCGCCCTTTTCAAGCTACAAGGGCTCGGATCTACTTTGGAAGATTCACTCAATCATGCTCATGAGTCTTGTAGGTGAGGGCTCTCAACAAATTCTTGTACATTATTTTTAATACTAAATTAGTTGTGCGCTGTTCATTGCTAGACGAGCAGCCGTTTCGTTCTACTAGTGTCTTTCCTTCAGCGTCTGCACTAGGGTTCAAAACCTCGTCCATCCCAGCAGATCTGTTAGTTTGGAACTGAACACATCTCCAAAACGTGTCACGATTTATTCTGTTTTGTTTTCAATCAATCGATTGCACTCAACCCTTTATTTTGTACACAATCAACATACCAGTCGTCGAGATTAATAACTTAAAAATATGTAGTGTCTCGTTGCAGAAGAAGAACTCCCTGCGTTCTCGCTGAGCGGCTAGCATAGGTGGGAAATAGTCATTTTTCCCGTAGAGCAGAGGCCTCTGACTATTCATAGTCTAAATGAGTATGTCTCCACTTTTCTGTTCTGTTAGTTCTGAAATGATCCTTCTCCTCTGGTCTTGGTTTAGGTTTACAACTTTGTGATTGTAGTGAGGAACATTAATTTCAGAAAAAAACATTCCAGAATCCACCACTTCGGCATCTTGCTTCTTCCCGGACGAGGTTGTTTTCTCCCAGGGGATGTTTCTTACTTTGCTTTTCAGTTTTCTATTTAAATATCTCGTCTCGTATCCACTTCTGGTGACAGTTAGGAGCGGATGCAGGGCTCGATAAAACAAATTCAATCAAGAAGTACTAGTATTTCATCATGATCATGATCGCAACATTGTTACTTTGTTTGTGATTTTTCTACATAGGTTGCCGGTGAGCTTCGAGTAAGTATCTCTTGTGATAGATCCCTCGTGTGAGTCATAGGAGGCACAGGGTGTCGAACTCGAAGCACTTCTCTTCTTTCATCAAAGGAGGAGTTGTGCTTATTCACTTATCCGAAGCTGGGCCTGGGGATGCCACAGGAGCTGTAGAAGAAGTACGGCCTGCTACATCTTGTGCAGCTACTACATCTACTGCTGCAGGAGCTTTGTTTACATCTTGTTCACGGCTTCCTACCTCAACTTTTGTATTTATTGTAGCGCTATTTTTCTTATTGTTCGATATTGATGTTGTTGTTTCTCCTTGTTGCTCCTGCCTCAATGTGTAAGGAATGTGCTGCCAGACCATGGACTGTCTTCGGAATGCTTCGTACCCGAGGAGCGGGTCTCGTGCAGATCTCGGCGTGGCGACTCCTCTACCGAGTCTAGCACTTAGCGGCTGCTGCTCGTGCTCGGGCGAGCTGTCCTGATTGCCGGTGAGCGTAGTGCGCAACAGAGCACCAGCGTCAGTAACGAATGGTGCTGCAGCTCTAGTACTATTGATGTTCTTGCTTAAAATGTTGGAATAGAAAGTGGCTGAGGATGATGAACTACTTGTTAATGCTGGATCGACGTTGTCGCTTCGTGGTGTTCTCGGTCCTCTCGCGGAATCTTGAACTTGGTTTTGAAGATTCCCTGCAGTTGTACTGATTCGGGCAGACCTTGGTGACTTTTGACGCGGAGGTTCAACTGACGGAGCACGTCCTGCTGGCGAGGCCGCTCTATGGGGCACCAGAGTTCCAAGAATGCCCATCCGGGAGACTCTTCGCTCTGCGCCAACGCTCTCGCCTCTGTCCCCGCGAGCAGACGCCGGAAGCGCAAGGGGTCCGTCGGCCTTCTGCAGAAGAGGACCCTGAGATTTTAGCTCGGGCTTTCGGAAGAGCGGCACGACCATCTGACGCGGTGGAGGCTGATAAATTGCTGCGCTGGCGCGCACGGGCCCGCTCGTCCCCCCGCTGGTGGAGGATACCGTAGTTGTAAAAGAAGCTACAGGTGCTGCTGGCTTGGGAGGAGGCCGTGCCAACGACCCAATGTTGTCGAGAAGCAAACCCAAACCCTTATTTTGTACTGTAGAGGACAGGTGTTGAGGAGGATCTACCTTCGTGAAGTGGTGACCAAAGTCTGAGGGAAGTCCGACTTTCATATTCCCATCCGCGCGCGGCGTGAACAACGGCTTTTCAAACGAAAACTGCTTGAACAGCGACATTGAGGGGGCAGCGACAAATATATTCATTGATGAACCTTTATTAATATTATCTTCTTGTCCTTGCGCTTGACCTTGAAGACCACCAAGACCAACCGTTCCTACCTTGCCTGTAGTTTCATCATGTTCTTCGGGTCCTGCTCGACGGATCTGAAGTGCTGAAATCGTGCCACCAAATGAAGTCGGAACTGGAGTTGCTTTGACACGTCCGAGAACCGCGGTGCCGGTCTGAGGACGCGGAGACGGACGCGGGCTGCCCAATGCCTCGCCAAATGTCTTCAGGGGTGGTGCCGTTAGAGGCTCCACAGCAGCAGTGTTGAGCAGAAGCAGACCTGGCGTAGTCCTGGGGGTAGTTCGGTCAACTACAGCATTTTTAGCACCAGAAGTAATGCTTCTGACCGTAGAAGTAGAACCTTGTTCACCACGTGCCGAGGAAATTTCCTTTTCTCCTGCTTCGATTAGAGCTTCCAAATCCCAATCGTATGTCGGCGGAGCTCCGGTCTTCGTGCCTTTCGTTTTATTTTGGCCTCCGGTCGTTCCTGCTAGTTGTAGCTTCATGTTCTTGACAGGCAGCGGCGGCTCGCCTCGAACCCTGGGCGTCTCTTGTTGGGCGGCGACGGCAGCACCTCGGGGGCTGCTCAGAGCACTGGTGAGCTGCAAGGATTTTTCAATTTCAGAGGAGGCGTCGACCATCGCGCCATCAGTCGAGGACTTACTGTTCAGCATATTAATTTTCAAATCAGCACGCGGAGTGTGCATATTTCGCGCACTGCGAGGACTGTTAACGTTCGACGGGACCAAATTAAGGCCACTCAGCTTTAAAGGCCCCATCGCCGTCGCTTCAGACATGCTACGAGGAGAAAATAAGGCAACATCCTCATTGATGTCGTCCTGCTGCGCATTGGCATCGTTCATCACTTTGATAGAAGTCACTTTTGAAGCATCAATCCCTGCTTTTCCACCATTCGTCGGAATCTTCAACATCATTTTCACAGGAAGAGTGCCAATCCTGTTGTTACCAGCATCACTACCAGCAGTCGTTGGCGGCCCTTTCAATGCTAAAGTTCTTTCCTTTGCCGACGAGGACCCATCAAGAACAGGTGCTCGTTGGTACAAGGAGGCTGACGATGAGGAGGCAGTCGTCGATGCAGTTACAGCCGTGTCTACACCACGACCGATAGAAATCTGTTCCACATCTCGCGACGTGGACGGTGAAACCTGATGTTGCTGGAGGACGAGCTGTTCTTGATGACCCAACACAACATGATCGGCGCCAGTACTAGGGTCCTTGTTGGCAACAAGAGTTGTCTCTCTGCCATCGCCAGGCGTGATACCAAGTTTCGCCTCGACCACGCGGGTGACCCGCTCAGCCTCTGCTTGCTCGTTGAAGTTCGACTTTCGCTTCAGAACTGTCTCGAGGACGTCTTCGTCGAGCTCGTTGGTCAAGTAATCCAACAAGGATTCCCGATCGCGAGTTCTGAAAGCGCGCTCCTCGTTTCCCGGTGGTTTTGTAGGTCCTGCTGGTGCAAGAGGGACCGCTGCATCGGTGGTGGGAGACGCAGGTGCAGCGGCGAGCTTGCTCCCGGGGCCGGCGGCGAGTAGCTCCTTCGCGGGGCCTTCCCCCGCAGGAGCCAAGGAGATCGACCCGCGGCGTCCTCGCGAATCTAAAGGAACAGGTGCTGCTCCGCTCTCCGATTTCAAATCCGTGGAGAAGGTTGCGCGAGGCGATCCGACCTTACCCAAGTCTAGCGCGGAGAGCGGACTGACGTGCAAGGTCTCTTGCGCCTCAGCCGCGCTTTTCCTCATCATCGAGATGCGCCCAACAAGGTCAACATTCGGCTTCCACACTGCATGGATACCTTGTGGTTGCAATTTTCCTGCTGCATGTTCCTGCTGGACTTCGACTTGTGGCTTTCCGCCTGCTGCCATGGTCTCCTTTTTATCAATGTCACCACCAGAAGAAGTCTTTTGAACACTCTGCTTTTGGAGGATGTCCGAGAAGTCAACAGGGTCCTTTTTCTTGGTCAACAAGCAACTTGCCGGCTCTTGGTCAACAGCAACGGGGTCCGGTAAGTTGACCAAGAAGTCAACGAAAGCAGCTCTGCTTGCCTTGCGCTCACGGGTATTCGGTGACATACCTCCTGGAACAGCCTCTGAAGTCGTTTGATCAATACGACCCAGGATCTGCTCGTTGACTTTACTATTTCCCGTGACGAAGAGGCCTCGGTTCATCTGGGCCGGATCCCAATTCCATTTCGAAGACTCAGGATCTACTTTAGAGGCTCCACCACCCGAAGATGCTGTTGGAGCTCCAGTAGCTCCTCCTGGTACACCCGAAGATGCTGTTGGAGCTCCAGTAGCTCCTCCTGGTACACGTAGTTGATCGAGGACCTCTTCCATGCCCTCGTCTTCAGTACCTTCGTCTTCGGTCGCGTGGGAGCCCTCGTGCAGCGCCTTCATGCTCATGTTCAGCGCATCTACTACAGCGAGACTAGTCCTCTGTTGATGTCCTCGTGGGGAAGACAATTGTTGAGGTCCTCGGAGAGCAGCTCCGCTTTGTCCAAAGCTTCCTGCAAGGGTCGAAACGGACGCGCCTTCCCGCAACGTGGTCAGCGAAGAGACGGACGACACCTCTCGGAAATTAGGCTGCGGCTGTTGTGCTCCAGCAATCGGAGTCTGACGAGGACTTCATCATGTGCTTTTGAAGATGATTGAAGATACTGCAACTGCAACAATTTATTTTGTCAGTGAAGAATCACGACAAAGACTAGGATCGATAAAGATACCACAACTCTCTAGAATGAAGGAAAGAAACAGTACAATAAGGGTCTTGTTTATATATACTTGGCTGGGAGTTAATGGTGATAAGTCAGTGTAGGATCTCTGATGATACAAAGAGTTAGGTTAGGTTAAGTAGTTGTGGGTCACCGAGGTAAACCAGCAGACTTTAGTGGCTACTGAAGAGCCAAAAGCAGCATGCGAAATGAAAGAAATTCAGCTTGTTGCAGAGATGAAGACACTAGGGAGAAACAACAGTTGTTATAAGGAAAGGGAGTGGACAAATCAATGTGAGAGAGCTGTTCGTTTATGGCTTATCTATGCCTATGGTTATGCTATTGTTTTGAAAAGAATAATATGAAAGATGAACTCTTCAACACACAGAAGAATGCAGGATGAAACTTTATCAATTACTGCGCGCGACTCCAGCGAAATGCCGCACTACAGATTTGGATTAACTCTCAGGAAGCAGAATCTATCTAATCTCCGGGACAGATATCTTTGCTCAAGAGACAGATATCTTTGCTCAAGAGACAGATATCTTTGCTTAGCATGATGACAGAAGTCTTTGCTTACTCACTCAATCACCTTATTTTTCTTCAATCAGCACATTTATTCATAAAATGTCCTGACACGACCCCGTACAGAGGAATCTTTCTCTTCACAGACACAAAAATATTAGACATCTGCATCTCATCACTTCGAGAGGCTTTCCGGCTTTTCTCACAACAGAAGCACTCAAATCAACAGAACCTAAGTAAGCTTTTCCTCTATGTATTTGGTCAAGCTTCAGATGCTCTTGAGCTTTTATTCCTCTCTGCTCAGGGCCCTGAGGCAGCGTTTCGGATTTCTAGCGGAATTATGATCATAGTTGGCAATTTTCATAGATTCTGCAAATATGAGGAGTACTAGTCTAGTAGCTCAATCGATGTATATTTCGGTGAATCGTCGATCCTACAATGAAGATGTTGAACTTGAAACGCCATGATGTTTTAGCTACTTAATATTTGAGATGCAAATAGACTACTTGTACCAGCAACTATCGTACTACTAGTACTTGTTAAATGTTTCCAAGCTTATTCGCGACTGCTCTTTTTAGGTCATAAAGCACCTTGCGCAAGAAACCCTTTGGTGATTGTTGAAGTTGAACAAACAGTTTTTCCACGTCTACTTCATCTAATCTTTATCGTGCATCCCCCACTACGATGTAAACACTACATAGCATAATTCTTGTGTTGTTCGAAGCTCCAAGACGTGGTCAAGAAGAAGAAGTGTATCTCTAAGTATGTTCTACCTAAATCAATGTAGTTGTAGTTCTTGATGTGATGTAGTTGTAGTCCTTGATGTGATGTAGTAAAGCAAGTACCTTATCATGATCAGGGAAGAAAACACCTCGCACGGGTGGTATTTCAAAGATGAAAAGACTTATATGAGGATTGCTCCAGGGTGCTCCTCGTGCTGCGGAAAACTCACAGCACACTCACAGAATGACATGACATTGCTACAACATAAATGCCGCGTCTATAATATCAAAAGTATCTCCAGTGAAAATCATCATGTCAGTCTCTTCATTAGACATAAATCGCACGACACGGACACGTCGCAATTGTACATGTACTTTTAGTACTTGTACTAAATAATTGCTTGTGCCACATCATCTTCTTTTCATTTATTCGCTGCCTTTTCCAAGAAGGTTCCCGCGGACCCGCGCCTCTGCGCCCAGATACCTGATCCTCGACGCTGCGAGGCCAAGCTGAGGCTAGCAAGACCCGCATCCGCACTGCCTCGTCTCTTCTGATCGACACTTGCTCGGCGGGCGTTCCGTTCTATCTTAAAGCTACCATGTTGCTACTTGGAAATAAAAATAGCGGTTGAGGCGTGAGATAAGAGCCAGGAGAAGGAAATAAAATAGAAATCATGTACATGATGGCATTAACATTCAGAATTATCCCTCTGTTCGTTCTTGGCCAATTTCCTGGAGATCATCTATAATTGGAGTCTGCTAGATTGCATCTTGGCCCCCTCATCTCGACCCCCGTTCCCTTGTATTTCATGAGAATACAAGGCAAAAGGGGACCAAGATGCCGAGAAAGATGGAAAAAAGCTGACCATTTGATATAATGCCTTTGAAGCCCTAACTTTTGATCCAGGACCTGCGCGCAAACCCGATCCACCTGCTGAGTTGTGGTCATTCTTGTTGCCGTTAGTTAGCTCGCCACCGTTTGCGGACATCACACTTCCATTCTGGTGACCAGCGACGAGTAGGGTAGAAAATTAGAGACTAAAATAAAAGTTCGAAAAAAAATGAGAGTGCCCTTGACGAGGACGAGGCACCACGACCACTTCTATTTCCTCTAGTACAATACACTACAACTAATCTCGCACAAAGTTCAGTGCAGACTCTATTACATTATGATAATTAAATGACCAAGAAGATACATCGGATCATACGTTTGAAGATGAAGATCATGATTGAATTACTAGGGAACAAAGGCATAAGTAAGGTAGCTGTGCGGTGTGAAGCCTACTGAGAGCCCAGCTCCAGGCGACACGGCCATATCAGAAAGCAATAGAGGAATGTTGTACGAACGAACGCCGCGTCCTTTCGGTTTTGCTCTCATTAGAGACCACAGACATGGAAAATCATTAACTTTCAGACTCAACAAAAAGGAGTTCATAGACGAGATCGGATCCCCCATCGCTTTTTCGAGGAGCCTGAGCTGCCACGACGTCTTCAGGACAAATACTTATACTTGCTTATCTCGTCTCATAATTTCAGTTGTCCTGTCGGCAACGTTCCTCCACTAGAGCTCGTCGTCGTGATATTTCGTCCTATTACGCCGAATTCCGTGGCAAGTGCAACAAGAGGCGCCAAAAGGCGATCATCTATTTTGCTCCTATGCTCCTCTGTCATCTTGTTCTCGTCTGAGTATCCGGTTGCGGTTCCTCCACTAGACTCGTCCAATTCGAACGCTTCCACAAAAGAATGTAGGTTTGCATCACGGCGAAATTCGTATAAGCGCGACAACTCTTCACGTACGTGATCGGCCCAAGGCACGTCGGTCTGACATCCCAACACAAATGTGAAGACATCTCCACATGTCGCGCCAGCAGTGCCAGCATTATCTTCAGCACCTCCTCGTCTCCTCTCTCCTCCTGCATGACTGTTTTGATGAATGGTAACGTCTGTTGTGTCTGTGCCACCTTCGATTTTGTGTTGTCCAGACAAAGAAGCTGCTATATTCCATTTTGCCTGGCCAAATAACTGCGAAGAGGTAGACGCTTGCTGTGTACCCGCAGCAGACGTTAGAGCTATGGCTATGTTCGCATTATTCCTACGCGGCGCATGCTTGTAGGGGAGGTGTGGTTCTCCTTGTTACTTAAATTCAACAGGAGGTCGCGGTAGAAAAATAAGAACCAATACAGTCATAATTATAATCATCAGATCAAATCCCAGCAACCCTATGAATTTCATAAGCTATTTAACGTGACAAGCTGTGCTTCCGCGACGAAGCCACGGGCTTCAGACGGTGAAAATTGAGCTGAAGCCAGGTCCTTCCGTGCGATCTGCAGCAGCGTGCCAATGTCAATCAACTTCTTTGAGAAATTCATTTGTATCACGTCCCTTTCCACGAGATCGCGTCGCAAGCGCTCCTCTTCCTTTCCGTGTTGATCTACTTAGACGCGATGTGGCTGTACAACTACTCAGTGGTTGTACAACCACATCGCGTCTTCCTTGAAATGAACTCTCAAGTCGTATCTTCCTTGCACACTTCTTTTCCCTTTGAAAAAGAGGCCAAGGATCACGAGCTGAAGCGATGCTTTCTCGGTCATTGCCGTAATCTAGACCAATCCCCGTGGCGGCTGTTGGACGACCAGGCGCATTTATAGAAACCGTCTTTCCAAACGCTAATTGACCACCAGTTGTATTCAGCATGTCATTCTGTTGTCCTGCTGCTCCCGAGCCACCTGCTGCCTTCTTAGAGCTACGTGAGTGTTCAACAAAAACTACAGTGTTCTACCCTTACAACGAGTGAAAAATGGCTTGATACTCTCCACGCAACGACCTCCAGATCATAGATTAAGATTTCAAGTAGTTCAACATATTTTTACTAGATTATCATTATACATAGATTTCGGTCTAATGAAAAATCACCTTTCAATCATAGTTTGGCCCGAAGATGACGCGGCTAGCATTTGCTTTTCGAGGAATCCGAAGAAGAACTGCCGCACGCAACGGCGAACACAGGCAAGAAACGCAGCAACGTCCACTAACCCGGTTTCCATGCAGATCGGGAGGCAGCATAAGATAGCGTGCACTTGCGTCCGTGAAAGCAGCAACTCCGTTTGCTGCAGCAAAGCTTCACGCAGGTACCAGACAGGCGCGAACAGCCGTCGTTCATCGGGGAAGTAGAGCAGAGGTCGCATCCGATGACTGCTGGTGCTACTCATTGTTGAAAATGCGGCATTTGCAGCTGAAAAAGATGAACCCTGTGCCGCTTCACCATTTGTCGAAACTACTGCTCCGCCAGCACCTGCTCCAGATGCGGCTCCTACATTTCCCGAGGCATGAGCTGCATGCCCTACTCCCGGTGAGGAGACGTCACGTTCGGCGCAGATGAGCTCGGCCAGCACTGCCACTAGATGTTCGCTGTAATATTCACTGTATTCATCGTTGGGAGAGAGAGTAGTAGTGGTCGGGAGAGACGACGCTGCCGTTGATATATTCTTACTGTTCTTTCGACTACTGCCTCCTGAAAAAGCACTACTCGCTTTGGAATCCAATCGCCCTTCTTCGCCCACATCTTGTTCTTGTCCTGTTCCTCTTCCTGCTTGTCCTGTCGTAGGTTCATCATCAGCTTGTTCGTTTATTTCAGGTATTGCTGAGGTAGCTAGTTGTGAGAGAGCTTTTCCGGGAGCACTGTCCTGTCCCAGGCAGCTGGCTGCGAAGTCGCGATAAAACGCTACCCTTGTTTCCAGCAAGTGCCGGATCAAATCTTCGTTGTAGAGCGCAGTTTGGGGTACCCGCGTCATCATCATCGCCACCTCTAATTGCGTAAAGCGTTTAGACTTCACTAGGAGCTCTCGAACTTGCCACCGCAAATTACGTCTGTCCTTGTTGAGATAACCCTCACGCAGGCCCTGTAAAACTCGCGCAGACTCCGCAAGCTCTGTCTCCTGTAGCTGTAACAGCAGCTCTAAGCCGATCCCTCCGAGGAAGGTGCTATGCTTGCGGACCTAGGTGGTCGTGGTTGGACACTTTCAGGGAATAAATGCATAGAGGACAGCACTGCAAGAGCAAGAGCTACTTCTATTGTGTATCAACATAACAAGTACGAATAAGGAAGTCGACTGATTCAAGTACTTAGAATACTAGATGATCATCCACCAGGTCATGGCACTGTTAATACAAACAAGTACAAGACGGCAAGATGAGAGGAAGAAGGAGATGAGCCTGCATATATATTTATATATGTTCCAGGGCTCAGGGCGGGAGGCCCCCCCCCCCCCCCCCTTTTGAGGGGGGGGGCCTCCCCGCCCCGGCCCCTCTTTTCGAGGGGCTGCCGGGGGGGAAGGCCTCAAAGCGCCCACTTCTGACCCCTTCCCGCTTCTTGCAGGGGTCCAGCCTTGCCACCTTATTGGCCAGGCCTGTCGAGGGGGTGCCGGGCGGGAAGGCCTCAAAGCGCCCACTTGAGACCCCTTCCCGCTTCTTGCATGTACCCTACAGACCTGGCAAAGGCAGGGCCCCGCTGGCTTGTTGCATGTACCCGACAGACCTGGCAAAGGTGGCAAAGGCCGGGCCCCGCTGCCTTGTTGCCCGTGCCCAACCCTACGCCAAGGGGGTGGGTCCCCGCCTTTGCCCCCTTTGCCAGGTCTGTAGGGTACATGCAACAAGGCAGCGGGGCCCGGCCTTTGCCACCTTTTCCAGGTCTGTAGGGTACACGCAACAAGGCAGCGGGGCCCGGCCTTTGCCACCTTTTCCAGGTCTGTAGGGTACACACAACAAGGCAGCGGGGCCCTGCCTTTGCCCCCTTTGCCAGGTCTGTCGGGTACATGCAACAAGCCAGCGGGGCGCTGCCTTTGCCAGGTCTGTAGGGTACATGCAAGAAGCGGGAAGGGGTCAGAAGTGGGCGCTTTGAGGCCTTCCCGCCCGGCAGCCCCTCGACAGGCCTGGCCAATAAGGTGGCAAGGCTGGACCCCTCTGGCGTGGTCCACCCCAGATCCATCCACAGGGGGGGGGGCCTCCCTCCCTGGTACATATATAGATTTTGATATTTTTACTTACTATGAAGAACCGAATACGAACTAAGTTCAGACGAGGTGCAGTATTACATTTGCTTGTCCATTGTTTCTTCTCCTGCGCGCTAAGGCTGGGATAAACAAAACTGCCTGCTCGCGAAGAAAACGAGCGTAATCTACGGTTCCAGACTCGGTTTCGTTGGCGCGGCTCACCAGCACGTGAATGTCGAAATTGGTCAGCGGATGCAACTCCTTGATGTTATCAAGTAATCGGTAGAGCTCCGCAAAGGTCAGGAAACCCGTGTTATCCTCATCGGCAGCAGCAAACGTATTCCAAAGAAAAGCAGCGAGCTGCTTTAAATCCGTCAGCAGGTCGGGGGCAGCCCTTTGAGACTCAGCTGACATTTTTTGTCTTTCAACATTTCTTTCATTGTCATTGATGATGTTCCCCTGTGGTGCCGCTTTGCCATCTTTCTTCGCGTAACTTTTCTTTTCCGCAGCAACTGCTAATGCAATTGAGGTAGCATCTTCTTCCATCCGGTAGAAATGCTCTTCCTCATCGTCGTGGAGTTGGAATTGGCTTGTTCGTTTTTGTGTAGTTCCAGCATGATCCTCCTCGAGCAGCGTGGTCGCGGCGAGCCCCTGTTTTCCAAATCGGGTCCGACTCTTCAGAGGGCCTCGCAAACAGCGGGCCTCCTCGAAGTCTGTCCACAGCACACTTTTGACAACGTCGCGCCCACCCCGAGCCGATAGGGCAGTGAAGCTTAGACGAAATCATTCATCTTCAAACACCAGTAGGCCTAGAAGAAAAGGGGATTCTCCTAGGTCTACTGGTGCTTGAAGATGATGTGTTGTTGTAAGTATCCTGTTGATCTTGTTGATGATGTCTAGTCACTTGTTCCGCCTGTTGTTTCTTACTTTATGTTTATGCTGTTGCATGGGATAAGCCTAAGAGTGTGGTGGAGGTGAAAACTAACCGGTTGCTTTTCTTGGTGCTTTGAGCGTCGCAGGACATAAACCTTCATAGATATCGATTTGTTTATGTAGTAAGTCGAAGTATTTATTGCGCTGTTGCGCTTGGTGCTAGCAGCGTGTCCCGGACGTTTCCAAAATCCTGTAACAAAGCCTCCATCCAGAAGACAGTGAGGATGATGCGACGCTGTAAGTACTTGCAAGATGTCACGCGTGTGCCTCTGATATGGCCATTCGCGACCACCGTAGAGTTTTTTTTTTTTGCGTTAGGACTATATGCCACCGCCCTTTCAAACAATCAATTAACTCGTTCAACTAATTTTTCATACAAATTAAGTACATACTGGGGGCGCATAAGGCCGTACTTCAACAAGGCCGACTTAGCAAGAAAATGTAGAAAGTCCCTCTAACTCTATAAATATCAGTGCACCACCGTAAATGCACAATCTTCTGCTTTTCCGAGAGAGCCAATTTCATCCGACCGCGGATATGTCGTGCGGAGCTAGGTCGCTCGCTCGGCAAGACAGTGCGGTCCTCTTCGAAAGAGAAGCGAACGGAAGCATCTGGCAGTATGTAAAAGTGAACGCGAGCTATGCTATCCGGCACAGGCGTGTGGTACTCGTCCCCGTCAATGTGAGAAAACGTAACTGTAAAAACCGAAGCCTTTTGCTCCTGCTCTTGCATTTTCGTGCTAGTACTAACTTCTCCGACCTTCTGATTCCGCACTAGATCGCCGACACAGGGCTTGGAGTCCACTCTCGTCAGGGAGCGCTTTTCTTAGACAGGGAAACACAACACGGCTCTCCTGAGCAACCGTATCTATTTCTCATCACATTTTTGGTAGCCTATATTTTAAGACTTTAGACGTCTCAACACTACCACAAAATAAGTGTTGTATACCTCTGAGTCTGTCTGAGTGCTGCACGAGCACGTCGCTTTCAGAACAAGCTGAAAGAGCAAGATGATGCTGATGTATCTTTCGCATTCAGAAACAGCCGTAAGTCTGTTGTTGTTGGCCTCCTCTAGTTGCACTTCCCGAACCCGGGAGAAGACCAGTTGCACCCGTTGTACTTCCAAAACAAGCCGCATTACGAACAACATACTTTTTGCAGCCACGACGCTCAATGCTTGCCCACATTAGAGCGATACAATTTGAAATATTTTTCGTCATCGTGGTAACTGAAAAAGGTTAAATATAGATGCAGCAAATTAAAAAAATAGAACACAAGTGCTACAACGAGGTTATTACCCTACGTTTTCTCACCAGTAGCTGACGTATAAGTAAAGGGAAGATGAATGCAACATCTGTACAACTAGGTTGAACGAAGTAGACCACGGTTAAGCAATGACAAGAAGAAGAAGGACCTCCGTAACCAAGTTGCTGAAGGCTTCTGCTCGATGACGTACTTCCATCCGCTCTCTAGGTCCCACAAGTCGATGGTCTCACGTATGAGCGATTCTAAGCCACCGCGATCCTGACTTGACGGGGAAACCGTGCCACCCGTAATGCTGTTGTCGACCATGTTGATCGCCCTCGTTGCGTTAACTTCGTGATGGTAGACGAAGAAACTTTATTCGCGGCATGATCATTTTTCACTGTAAGAACATATGAGTATGACATAAAGCATCAAAATGATGTTGAATATTACATCCTACTAGTAATAAAATAAGAGTTCAAGTAGATTACTACATATCTAATGCATCCTTCTGCTCGTCTTCATGCATTAAGAATCCAAAGCAGTCCTTTATCGCACTCCGCTCACCCTCTCTCTCTCTCTCTCGATGTTTGGTCCAACCCGCATAGAAAACAAGCGGCGCGTGGCGTCTCACAAATGGCAAGCTTTTGTTAAGGACGCGAGGACATGTTTCTGTAGTGTGGGGCTCTTTTCAGTCCGAAGGAGGTGGAGCATTTTTCGGACGCAATACTTATTAGTCCTTTACTCCTGTGGAGGTAAAAAGCTTTCGAATTTGAAGAGTGCCATCTGCCACTAGATAGTGACAAGGGAGTGTATAGGTCATGATCATTAGAAGATTCCATCGACGATCATCATGTGGTATTATCTTGTTCTGAACCGTTCTAGCCAGTGTTCATTGTGCTTTTCCTAGATCTACATAACGCTACAATATCAGAACTACTGCTCTTGTGTTTTTCAGCATCTGGTTATCTCATTGCTTTGATTGATTACATTTAATATAGGTGGATAAAAATCTTTTCGTGTAATTATTGGCGTTGAATTTTTCTGAAGTATGATCACTCACAAAATGTGTCCAAGTAACGCTTTTCTTGCTCACAAACTAACTTGGGCGGGGCGCAAGTGAATAGAACCAAGTTAGTCTGAGTCTGTGTCTGACTACTTCTTGCACCACCCGAAGAAGCAGTATAACTACAACACTGTGTAGGAAGTATTAGATCTCTATTTGCAGTTTCTAAACATGATGGGGGGATCCTCGTCACCGCCATCTGCTCTGGAGGATCCCCCAGAATCACCTACTCTGGGGGATCCTCGTCACCGCCATCTGATGGCGCTTCCTCTTCCTCCGGGTTCGGTTCTGGATGCTCCTCCTGGTCATCGGGTTCAGTCATGATTGGCGGCAATCCTAGCTGCGTTGCGCCGACAAAAGGCACCAGAACTGGCAACTTCGTCTCCTTCTTCACCCCATAACCGATCTGAAGAGGTTGCGAGAGAGAGTAAGGGATGGTGGAGGTGGTGCTCGAGATCATTCTGGTAAAAATGATGCTCTACTAGATCATTCTGATCTAGCATTACCATTCAACATTCTGATGCACCAGCATCTGCTTTGGTGAAAATATAAACATCAAGAAAAAAGAGCACTGGAGGTACGGATGGTGGAGGACAAATTGAGTACGTAAACATTGTAGACGCTGCTTCCCTGCGCAATAGTGAATGCTCCAGGCCACCTCTTTGATTGGACAACAGTCACAGTATACTGCTTCGTCACATCGTTGAATGAGTAGCTGGGATGTGTCAATGGGGGAAAAAAGTAGTCGTATCAAGTTCCTCCAAAAAAAAAAGGAGAAAGAAGTCGTAGTACTACATGTACATCTACGTGTACACGTTTTTGATTTGACCAATAAGAAAATATCACTCCTTCTAGAACTAGTACTTCAGAAGAATGTTGAGGAGTAAATGCTGTATGACTAACACCTCCTTCTAGTTCTAGTACCTTGTTGTTGAGTAATTCGCTACTTAACTAATTACTCTCGTCTCGTCTAAGGTTTTATTCATCATCAATGTAATAGTAATCCTTAATATCATACATAACTAAATACCTGGACTTATCCCCGACTTGCTTGATTGTCCATGCGAGAGAGTTTCCTTCTTCATCTTGCTCTAAATCCGCTTGAATCGGCGTTAACAGAGGAATGACCGGGCACGCCTCCATCTCTGCATCAAGGGCTGCTTTTGCCTCCTCATCTTCGATAGACTCAGGATCGGGGTACGAGGTCTTACCTGTTTGTGTAGTTTGTAGGACTTATGTTTGATGGGGGTGCGACGAGGTCTTACCTACAAGTATTTGTACCAGTATCCTTTGCTCTTACATGAGGACCCACTGGCGACGTGGCGATGCGTCCTCTACAGAATCACAATGAAGAAGATAGAATATCAAAAAAAAGCTTCCACCACGATGAACCTCGCTTGGAGATAAATAAAAGGTAAAGCTAGAAGGTTGTAAAGGAAGAATCTTAGGTCAAAAAACAAGAGATATCATAGCTGCAGTACCGTTTTCTAGAATGTAGTCGGAGCAATGGACCCATGTCCCTTGTCCAGCAAGCTCCTCTCCACCAGGCATGGCGAATTCTTCTGCTAGAGCTAACTTTCCTGTCTCCTCGTCGATAGCCTGAGTGATCGTGTATAGTTTGGAGGTGACAGATAGAAAGATGCATACTTATGTATGTACCCAGGTAGTGGCGGCTCATTCTTGAGACTTTGTTTACTAGGTGGTCATGTGATTGGGAAAACCAATTGAAAAAATAGTGTAGCAAAAGATTCATTCAATGATCATGAAGATTTCAAGTACATAGTATCCTCCAACATGGAGCGTGCAGCTGTGGCCTATTCTTGCGATTTGCGCGCGAAGAAGGCTAATTTCTTTCCCACCAAACCATGGACAAGCAACAATGTCCTTATTCAAGTCTCCGCTAAAGTTGGAGCTGCCACGTTTGCATCCGTGACGCCATCCTGAGCTTCGTTTTCAACTATTAAGCGCTGTAAGGATCAAGGATGGCGTTGAGGATGCTTCAGTGGTAGCCTTAATAAAGTATTTCTGGACTAGTCGGCTCCTTCGGATTTCGTCTGCTGTTACTTCAGGAAGCTGTGTCAGTTCCCCCATGGGCTCGTTTTGGACCTAGTTTGAAAAAGATGAGAGTAGAAGAAAGATTTTTCATTGGGCGATTAAAGCCAATCGTCGAGGGTTAAGGAGTAAAAAAAACGATTTTGAGAACAAAGAAATAACAGTCAGGAGAAAGATCAAGATAAAAATAAGTAGATTAAAAGTTGCATGAAACAAAAGCTACTGAAACTGATTCAAATATCAAGTAAATCTCTGATAGATACGAAGTAGCAGTGCTTGTTTGCGCCTAGGCCTCGTGCTTCATATTTGTCTGAACCGACTCCCTCGCCTGATATCGTTGCTTCATAGACGATGTAGTCTTTTTCCGTTCCAAGAATCTTTCCCCAGAACCTGTGTGCTGGATTCTTCGTAATATTATACTTAATGGCCTAAAAACGAAAACACCTTGTGTATTAGGACCTCATACTAACAGTAATAGTAGTATCTATTACCTCACGCTGTTTACTCCTGCCTTTCTTGAGATTTCGCCTATTCTAAGCTTGATTTGATATGACTCCTGCTTTGAAAAACCGAGACCCGCCATGCGCATGGTGGCACACTGCGCCATAAAGTGCCCATCATCTTCGCCAGCAGTCACAAGAGTCCGCAATTTCGCGCTATGAGCTGGTGATCGATGAAGATGAATGATAGTTGGTGTGGAGGTGGAGCAAGTTAACTATAAGTAAAATAACTGTTGTGATCTACTTGAGGTAACTTAGTAAACTTTAGCAGACTCAGGAAAGTTAAGCTTTGTCCTTGTGTATTTTACTCTTCTTTAGTCAGTGAGTTAAGTTTATGAGAGTGGAAAAGGGTTGTGACAAGGTTTGTCAGAAGCTCAGGCGATCATATTCAGATGGTTTCACTTCAGTGTCATCCTGAAGGCGAATGGGTTGAAGTATGCAGGCTCGGGGCCCATTTCTAATTAGTTTTCTTTTCTTTTTTATTTACGTCTGCTTCTGCCACTAGGGTCTTTTTTGGGTGAATCCCATGACTATAAGTGAAATAAAGTAACGAGGGATAGACTGGATATCTTTATCGTGCGAATCTTCACATCGTGGTCAAATTAGTGGACTTACCTTCTATACGAAGCATCAATGCATCGAGAAATAGTTTGCTAAATCTGTGGTCATGGCCTTCTACAGTTCGTTGTATGCAATTCATTTGCGAGAAAAGGGGAGGGAGTACTGTTACTAGTCAAAATTACCATTTTTCGCAGCGAGTAAATCCGGGTGAGGGACAATGTGCTTTTTCACTTCCGGTCCACTAGCTGGTCTGAAGCGACCAAACTTCAGTTCCATAGAGCATTGCCTGAGATGTGTAAAACAATGGAGATTACCTAGCGCACTGCTACACTGTCACGAATTTCATACTAGAGGCGAGAACTTACACTTATAGTACTAGAGTCAATCTGTTCGTTCATTCTTGTCGGCTGCTGAACTTCTGTTGCGGTGCTCCTCATAATTGAATCTCCACTAATATCATGAAGTACTCCAAAAGGGCTAATGCGCTTGGGTCATTTTTGTCGATGCATGTTCCGAGGAGCTCGCACAAGTGCTTGTAGAGCGTCGCACCTTCACCGGGCACGTCCGTGTGCAGACGTGCTGTCAGCACTTCGTCCATGTTTCTCTTTTTGTTTTTTCACTGCACTTCAATAAGGTCAGTATAAGTAGTCTTCACAAGTATCACTGTTTTTGAAGCGTCTGACTGGTTTTCTGGTGACTACACTGAAGCTTCTCTCATAGACTCAATGAATACGTGCTCCGACCTGCTTCTGCAGCTTCACATAGCATTAACTGAGTACTTCTATTAACCGAGTAGAGCTCGCTCCGAAGGAAGGCGACATGTGTATTCAAAGAAAACAATTTGTTCCACGTTTCTTAATGCCGTTTTTTAATGCGATACGATTTCCGTCTTCTTCACACGAAGTAGAAGGGGTTGGGATTTGCACGTTTTTCATGGTATTTTTCGCTCTCAAAGTCGACAACTACTCCAGGGGCATCTCTCCGTATACTCGCTCAACGCATGCCGCGCGTCTAGTAGACAAATAATTTTAATAATCATCAATACCTGTTGTAGTCTTCGAGGCCGAACCACTGCGCCTTACACTCAATAACTGCAGACACTGCAAAACGAGCCACGAGTATGTAAGGCTATTGAAGGACAAGTAGAGATGCGGACACGATACCGATAGCGATACTAGCAAAGACAAACCCAAGAGGCACATAGGACCTAACCCGGCCAGTCCGCGTACTGGAGATCAGCTGGTTCATTGTCATCTGATCTGGAGTTTGTTGTTCAGCTCGTTCAGCGTCAGTTCATCAAAAAGTGAAGTTATTCTTGGCCCCCTGTACCTGTTGTTGTACAACATCGCAAATGACATAGAGCCAACTCTTGTGCCGTTACGTGTAGGGATGCATGGGGAGACGTCGTCTCCAAGCAGTGACATTCTAAACTAAAATGCATTGCTTTCTTACTTCGAAAAACTGAAATAACCGAGCAACTATTGAAAATAAGGGAGATACTGAAAGAAGAGGAACGTAGTCAAGACTCTCTTATTTCAGTCAGTAGCTCGCTTATTTTGAGTTTTCGAATAGAATAAAGGGGCACATGATCACCATCGAAGCAGCTGCGTAGCCATCGCAATATTCAACATGTATTCAGACAAGTATCATCCGAACCCAACGAATCCGGGTACTATTTTTCATTATCCAGGTTACATTTTATGCAAACATTTTTGATTTCATATCATCAGAAAAAAGGACCATGATCATTCATGATGAGGATGAATCTAGCTTAGCCAGTCAGCATAAGAACTGTAGATTTACTTACAACTACAGAGCAATACGAAGTTTGTCAAGAGTTTAGTGTCTTCAATGAGAAGAATTCAATCACAGTCTATTCTTAATAACAAGAGTTCATTTTGTGGTTTCTTCATTCGGTTTCTGCTTACTTGAACCTGTTTCGTTTGCCATACACAGGAATAGGTTTCTTCTAGGATTCTAGGATCAACAATCTAGGAGGTAGTTCGTACGTTTAGCACATGGACATGTAGGTCCAGTATGATGATTCCAATTAAATCTCCTGTTGTAGTGACCGTACCAACTCAAGTCCTCACAATCGCGTGAATAGCGGCGAAGATCTGCCGACAGCGTCCGGGGAGGCAAAGCCGCTAGCGCTCCACTCTGTCGCGAACGAGGCCGCTTCTCCGCCGTTTCGGAGGACTGCGTTTTGTGCGAAGCCTTCGCCACTAACGCCCGCAACACAGAACTTAGACCACAAGGAGATCCAACATCGATATTGTTTTAGTACAACCACATAGAGCACTCATCAAACCTCGAGCATAGTGGAAGATTGGGTTCGGGAGAGGAAAATTCTGGACATGATTTCCATTTCCTCCAACTAGTACAGCACATTATACAACTACAACGAACTAGTAGGGAAACCACAGGACCATAGATTCGAATCCGGTCTGAATACTCTGTCTCGCCGCCAATGTCATATCCTGGCAACCTCCTACGCCTAGTGTCGAGAGAAAGCTCGCCATTGGAGGCTGGTCACTGTCTCCAAACGCCTCGCTTAACCAAGCACGAGCCCCGCCTCTGATAAATGCTGACACCTTATGCAGCAACGAGTTGCTACTGAGATCCCACGAGGCATACCTGGGACGTGGTGCCAACTTCTCAATCTGAAGGTCGATGGTCAACTGCATCTAGTGTTGGAAAATAATGTCGTAGTATCCTAGCTTTCGAAACTCACTAGGTTTTATGACCTCACGAAAGTTTTTAGGTTCATGTTACAACACAACCCTTAAAGAGAGGACCAAACTTACTACGCTCACTATCGCCTTGTGTCACGAACAATAATACGGGTCAAATTTCGCCTCATCTCTGTCCTTTTTGTAGGCGGTAATTGCACGACCCGCGGCAGAATGCCGTAGTAAGGCTTTGGCAAGTTCTGGACCACCACGCACCTCCCCCTTCGGCAGGGCTTGCAGAATTGAACAAGGTCAAAACGTTTCATTTCTTGGATACTTTGTCTCAGAACCCCCAGTAGGAAACTAAGAAAAAGAACCTTTGGAAATGAAACACTTTGAGCCGTAACAGAAAGCGCTTGTAGTCTAGGGATGCGTACTGCTCTAGTTGTCGCACTACGTTCGAAGTCCCCTTGCCTCTCAGCACTGTCTGCAAACGGACCTCAATGAAGATGGTATGGATGAAAATCTATCTATGCCTCATCATGTGATGAAAGTGAAATAGTGAAAATGTCCACCTGCCGCGCTTCTAGTTTAGACCTAAGATAATGCGTGGTAGGAATGCAATGCTCCAGAGTCAGAGATGATCATGTTTATACTTGATCGAGTAAAAAAAGCTAAAATTATGTGGAGGTAGATATTAAAAGGTGGGAGGTAGTTGAAATACTACCCCTGGCCCAGCGACGGCTTTTTCCACCAATACAGGTGTAGTCTTTTCTATTTTCGGTACACTGGCACGAGTTTCGGCGTCTGCCTCTATCATCAAAACGTCGAAGAGTCTGGCACACACTGTATCCAATGCCTGATCCATCGGGAGTCGGCCAACATTGAGCAAATCCGACTCCCGAACTAAAGCGAGGGCCGCAATTGCTTCCCCCAGGTCGACAACAGTCGTGCATCCACACATATTGCGCAGAAGCGTCACAACTATGTCGAATCAATAGACAGAAGAGAAAAATCAAAAGAAGAATCAACATAGATGATTGATTGTAATTGTTGTTAAGATACCTCCCGACATCGTGGTGTTGTGTCATCTACGAGTCATCGTTCCCGACATCGTGGTGTTGTGTCATCTACGAGTCATCGTTCCCGACGTCGTGGTGTTGTGTCATCATCTACGAGTCATCATTGCTGGCGTACCTCTACTTCAGGCTATCATCCTTCAACTTTAAGGCTTATATTATCCATGATCAAGTACAAGTGCTCGCTATTTCTGAGTGCTAACTAGAACTAGTACAATTTTTAGTACTGAACAAGTAGTACCCTCATCAGCGCTTGGTCGAGATTCTTGCCGGGAATAGAGGGACTCGAATCCAGATGGCTCTGACGGCTTTGCTGTCCTCTCTAATATGCTACACAACACATGTGCAGCGTCGGTCACGTACAGGTAGCCCATTATTAGATAGACGTCGCGTGTAGTCGTTCAGCACATGCATTGAACTTCACGAACAATGACCGTCGCAACGATGCGGTGAATATTCTTGTTGTTGGTCTCCATGATTAGTTTAAGTACTATGTAATTTCCGCTCAACAGGATCATGATGCAGCCTGAAAGAACTCTTGGATGATAGATGACACGGCACTACCTCCACTACCCGTAAATCTGAGTCACTATCCGCAGCAGCAAAAGTGTTACGCGCAATATCCAAGACACTTGGCTCAGAACGCAAAACCGCCAAAATCAACCCGCCGGTTGTAATTGCTAACTCAAATGGCCGATCACGCGAGACGTTCCTGGTGTTGTTATTCAACAGAATTTTTTGGGCCTACGGTAACTATATTGATCGTTATCTAATATGCAGTAAGCTAACTAACCTAGGAAGTTCGACATCGACTCATGCAGTATGCTGCACTGTTGTAAGAGAGGTATTCAACTTGCTTCGTTCTCATGATGATCGGCAGCCACGTGTTAAAAAACTACAACAACAGGTGCTCCTGTCAACTACTTCTACAGTTACAGTAAGACAGAATATTAGCGCAGGAGGTGCATACCTTGACTATCAACATCCATGATTCAAGAGGAAAGTCGTGGTTACAACTCTAGTTGTTCTTGGCATGATCAGCATCTTGCTTCTTACCTTCGCAATGCAAGTTGCGGGTTGGCTTTGAGCTGTTCAGGCGGGATCTTGTAAAACTCCTTGCCCATTTCGCTTATCCACTCAGAATTCAGCGCCTCAGCTGCAGATTTGAACTGCTCCTTCCGATCACTGCAGACCAAGCGACGGAGAGTTAGAATAGTCAGAGTAGATTGTACTAATTACCATTTACCATTCTTATGGTCGAAATAAACTCAAAGTACGTGGTCGTCGTCGTCGTAAAAATTTTTTCTAACACATATAATAGACACTGGCAAGCGTGAGAATAGAGCCGAAAAAAACGAGCATCAAGTACTTATAAGGAAATAGACCCACTGCATGCAATTGTCCCTCTTACCATCGTTCATGATGACCGTAGAGACGTGGGCTGACAGTATTTCTATGACACTGTCATGGTCATGATCATCTTAGAATAAAATCCCGGCTAGCTTTGGTACGACTCTCCCAAGCATCCTCTTCCCAGAAGATCAAAGGCAGGTTCTCAGCCACAAACCGTGCACGCGAAGAAGAAGACGCGCGGCCGGTTCCCACAAGGATTTAAAGGTGTAGTACTTCTTCTTTCAGTGAAGTTGTGGTGAAACTCATGCCTCCCTAATATTCACTGTCTGAAGTCGTGCTAAAAAATACGGACCCTCTTTCCTTCCATCTAGTCCTGCTCAACAAGTTGTAGAGACTCACTCTCTAGTACTGGATATGCATCTATAAGACTGGATTTGCATCTACTATGTTGTCGTAAATAACGGCTGGCGTATCCCTACTGGACGAGAGACTTGGGCGTCCCCGACTCTTAAATTCCCGCTCACCAACGTCCTCGCCTGATGAGGAGGCTGCACCTCCTTGTTCAAAATCGAAAGGATTTCGGCCAACAAGCGTGAAATAGGCAAGCACACCGATTGACCACAAGTCATCGTGAACACTTGCTTCGCCACTCGGATCTCGCAATTGCTAAAAAGATGATTCGATGGAGGGATAGAAAATTTTTCTGCAGTTCTTGACACTCTCCCTAGTTGTAATTGAAAATCGTCGTTGTAGTACTATGAGAGTCTCGATGAGGCAATACCTGCCTAGACTGTACACAGGCGAACTTAGTAAGGGGGAGGTAAAAATGGCACTTATCTTGTTATACATTTAGATTCAGAGAAGTTCTAAAATACCTGTAGCGACTCGAAACCTGAGAGCGCTGACGCAGGCACCCCTGTACCTGTTTCCTCGAAGTAGTCAGAAGCGAGGCTGTTTTCGATCTGACTTAGAACTCTACGATAAAATAGGTATAGGACTCCGCTCAGCTGCGAATGTGATGAGAACTTTAACCTCTACTAACTAGAGCTGGTTTTGATTAGTACCTCCTTGTTGACATCATTTTCGTCTTCTCTGCGGAGACAAATTCAATTCTACCAGTGCCTAGGACAAGTGGCACGCGATCGTCACTACCTAAATCAACCAATTGAATTGGATTTTGCGAGAGTAGAACTACACTAGTTAAGTAGTAACGGAGGGATTAAGGAAAGAATCCTGTTTTCCTACCCCTAAAGAACCTGAAGACGTCGAGGTGCTTGGAGGGTTTGGTCGAAAGATATCTGACAGGCCCACTTCTGCCAGCTTCGGTACTGCATCCGGCAGCTTCGAGGTCAATACCACCGTGGACGGCGAGATGCGACCATGGCAGACGCCCTAAGGATTAAAGCGATGATAGAGTGCTTTTTGTTCGATCATGCATGACCTAGCATAACCTCTGGGTGCGAAAGCGAAAATAAATGAGGATCGTTACATCTACTACTACTAGTGATGGTGGAGCTGCTAGTACATAATTGTTAGAATGATGATGATCATCATCCTCTGCACTAAGTGTATCACTTGTTGCAAAATGCAACTGCACGAATGCGAAGACGTAGTAATTATAACAAGTAGGAGCATTATTTGCGTTAAAAAAAATGAGCACTAAGCAGTCTCAAGCGTAAGAGAATGCAGGCAAGCGAGTGCTTGCAAGAGGTGTCGTATGTACAGCGCGGCCGTCTGTTCTTGCAGCCAAGATCGCGAGCTTCCTGTGACCTTTTCAAGACATGAAAGCAGCCGACACACACACACACACAACTCACATCTACGTAGTTAGTACTAGTACGATCACACTCACTACAATTACAAGTACGACTCCTTGCAAATCAAGTTTCTAAGTAGATGCTAACCCGGGACAGCACCATGAATGTTTCAACGGTTATATTAGTTACTAGACCATCTTCAGTGCTAAAAACAACATCGTCGCTTTTGCTGTCTCCTATTTGTACTAGTAAGTTTCTGATTCAGGTAGAAACTTTTTTCTCATAAGACAAAGTCTTGCAGTTCTCCTCCTGGGTTTTCTTCGTAGATCAGCTGGTACTCCGTAAGGCTCTCGTGCCAGTCGCAAAGAGTTTCGATATGTGGATGTCTCAGTTTCTTCAGCATCGCCAGTCGCTTTCGAAGAAAATGAAGTAGATGCGTTCCCTTCAACATAATCTGTTGTCGTTCTACTTAGCATATAGTCCTAGTCGATCGTTCTTCTATAAGCTTCAAAATGAAATTCATTATGCGCCAGTTGTAAAATGTTCTTCAGGTGTAAGAATATACTTACATGATACAACAACTCATACCACAACTAGCCCTACTTGTAGTTAGGTAGTATGCACAGACATGCTGTGTTGTAGTAAATATGCGGGTCATACACTCGTGCAGCGGCTGCCGCCAGTTTTTGCGCATCCTTATCATCTCCAATTTCCACTGCTGCATCGGCATCAGAGGAAGCCGAAGACGCAGAGTCGCATCGCGTCGAAGATGATGAGGAAGTCTCCCCAGTGGCCTCCCCATTTCCTCTACTTCCCGGTATCTCGCGGAGTCCTTTGTGTTTCTCCTCCTCGATTCTCTTCGATGTCGTCGTTCCGCGGCTACGTGTGTTCCCAACGTTAGTCTTCGCTGCTGTGCGGAGTACACGCCGCAGCAGCGGATTCTGTCGCGCAGACAGCGCGTGAACTCGGCCGCCGTACAATGTGGAGCCCACCTCGTATTCGACATGATATGTCTCTTCCAGCATTTCCTTATTTTCGTTGAGGATGACTGACACTGAACAATTATATATATTCTTTGAGGAGCTACACGCTAGAGGTAAAACTAACCGGTTGTTTTATTTAGTGCTTTGAGCGCCACTGAACAATTATAGGATGCCCAGTAAGAAGAATCCTTACTATGATAGATAGGGAGTAAACTAAAAGAGTATCAGCTTCACTACTTCTAGAAAGAGACTAGACATTTACAATGTCGCTGGCTATGAAGAACGTGAACGAAAAAAGGCGTAAAAGCGACTACGACCAGCACCACGACTCTACAACATCTAGTGCAGCCTGCGCACTCATGTTGATAAGATCACCTGGCTCGGGGCCCTGAATGGCTGACGGCAAAAGGTGCACATCCATCAGCTGCAAAAGCATATCTATAACCCAATTTCATCTATTTTTGTGTAGCTCTTCACGACTACCTAGTACAGTATGTAATCTTTAGCAAGAAAAATTCTGCAATAGCGTCATCAATATCGAAAATGCTAAAAGTGTAGCCATGATTTTTATTTGGATATCTCATACTCGCGAGTGGTGTGGGGTTCTGTCGGGGCTTCCCTCTCACTATAAACAGCTTAAATAAACTTTCAAACCATGGCGTTGTACTAGTAGTGGTGCTCTACCCATTCACGTCTCGTAGAATTGTTCAGACTAGTACTTACATCAACTAATGAAAGTGAGAGCTAATATAATCAACTTGTAAGTACTATAATCATAAAAATGTGAACAAAATTATTGCTGTTCCGATTCGAACCGGACTTGTTCCTACCTTTTCCCAAGCCGAAGTGGTTCCATACTTGTTCTCTAATCTGAAGACCACAGAAATGTTTTTCACAATATTTTTCTGATCGTGACACAGCGGAGATACAGATATCTTCCTCGCACGGTCGCACACTCTTGTTCCAGATTTTTGATATTAAGTACCACAGAGACTTATGGGGGACAGCGTCCTCACACACCGATTTTGTTCATCGTCCCTCCAGGTAGTAATCAGAAGCCAAAAATTGAAGTACTACTTTGCCAGCGTTAATCTTGTTCGCACAGCATCGGTTAGATGGATGCACGAGATTTGGTGTGACAATCCAGGTGAAAAACGGCTTTTCCTGTCGTAGCTCAACAAACGAGCGCTCGCTCCTACGGCGACGGTGCAGAAGACGGGTATGAAAACCCACCTTTAAACTTGAAGTATTCGATGAACCGGAAGATCTCAGGTGCTCGGTCATTGTGTTTGTTACTCAGTTATTTCAAGATTTCGAATAGATAAAGATATAAAAGGGTTTATTGAACTTCCATGAACATTTCAGAATTTTGGAGAAAAATTCTCATCCATCTGTTAATATACAACGCCCAGAAGTATTCATCTCGAATATGTATGGAATAGGAATAAACTTCGCTACTAATCCACGCGTCTCTGGCTGCTGCGATCGTTGAGGAGACATCTCGAGTATATGATAAACGCCTAATAGTAACATACGAAGCACTTGAGTTACAACAAATGTCAGAGTTGTATGATTCACAGACGGCAAGAGTAATCGGAACTAAGTAATGGGAACTATAGGGTTCCGATTACTCGCCAACAAATCAACTCCTATGTATGCATCCGCCAGCAAAAAGTCAACTCCTATGTATAAAGTAATTTGAGTAACTATGAATATCTTCATGGATGGCTATATTAGTACTCTCGAAAATTTGTACTACAACAAGCTGCCAATTGCAGCAGAGATTCAAGATTATGATCTCAACACAATTCGAAGCAATGGCAACTAGTACCATTTTTAAATAAGCGCATGAAAACATGGCGAAAATATATTATGAAGATAGTGATCATGATCTTCTTTGTCTCAACGTCCCTATGGCGAGATGAAGTGAAAGAGTTGGAAATAACAAAATGAAACGATCGCTAGTCTTTGTCTTTGTGTTGACTGAAATATAACCTAAGGAGCAGTCCCACTGTCCGCTTGCCGTCCGCAGCGCCCGCAGCGAGCCAAAAAGCGGGAGCAGCGATTCAATAGCGGACACTGACTAAGTGCAGCGCCGAAAGCCGCGTGAAGAGCGACAAGAGTGCCGTCGCAAGCACGACCGATCCACCCGCGACGCAAGCGCAGACGTTTCCGGGATATCCGTACGAATTTCTCGAATTCACGCAGGTCCTCTTCGTCTCGTAGCTCCTCTGGGAAGTATTCTTAGACCTTTTCTTCACAGCGGTTCCTCCTCAGAACCAGAAGTTCCGGAGTTTTTTGAACTGCATCGATCCCCGAACCCGAAAAAAGAAACAATGGGCGAACAATTCATGTCTTCTTCTACTTTTGGCTGTGTATACAATTATGTATGGACCACTACGCCTACTAGATTGGTGATCATACATAGTGGTTAAAATATACTGAGACTTTTGGCCTTAATAGTGGCTGCTGTTAGCCAACAGACAGCGGAAGACCGACAGGTCATCTGCCTCCTCTCGAACGCTCCGACGCACACGTCGTCGTCGCCGTTTGAAGCGATGTCTTTCAAGTTCAGCAGGGTCTTGCTGATCGTGCCGCTGTCTTTCAAATTCAGAAACAGGGTGTTCGTGTTGCTGTTGATCGTTTTCGTGTACTTCGTGGTGGGGTAACAACAAGCGGGCTCCCACTATCTGTGGCTGTGGCGTCCCCGCCGCTCCTGCTGCTCGTGGGTCTGGTACTCCGTGACCAGGACCAGGAAGATTATGATTGTAATGTTCGCGGCCGTCACTGGGACGAAAAAGATTGTGATCTAATATCCCACCAGTCCCAGCCCTTACACTTCGTGGCACAACCGAGTTTAAGGCTGGGTTTTGAGGGTAAGGAGGGTAAGGCGTAGCATTAGAGGTTGAAGCATTTCCTTTTTCGATAGCCATGCTAAGAGAAAAACGCATGTAGAAATAAAAAAATGTTTCAGCCCTTAATAGTATGGATGTTACTTTCCTCGGCTTCCGATCTAGTATGCTGCATGTTACTTTCCTCGGCTTCCGGCGAGGGCCAGGCATCTGACAGGTGGAAAGACTCGTCACCCGACGAGGATGAGGATGACGAAGAGCCGGCACAACATTGCAGACGGTCCACGAACACATGCCGCAAAAGAGAAGTAGCATAATATGTTGCAGAACGTCCTCGTCGAAGATTAGTAGAATCCACCAGCTGGTTCACTGGAGGTGTACGGGAAGCACTGGGAGTTGCTGAAAAGATCCTCTCGAATTCAGTTTCAGTTTCATCTGACCCCCGTTCTTGTAAATCAACAGGTCGTTCTTGTGGTCCTCCGTTAATCTCTTCTAGCCGGTGTAAAAGTCCCCTTTGTGCAGCTACTCGATGATCTTCGATCCGGTGGTAATCAATATCTACCCTTGTTCCACCAGGTTCAGCGACTGGTGCAATTCGAGCAGTGGAACTTTCTGTTGCAACTCGAGGTCCAGCGACTGGTGCTGCGCCGTTTGTTGGTCGCCCAGAAGCAGAAGTCGATATCTGTGCCTGTATTGGCGCGTGATTCCCCGCACCGTCGATCCAAGGCTCTCCTGGGCGAGCAGTATTCGGGACCGCTGCGGGAAGGGATGCAACAGCTGGATGAGTCGACCACGACTCTTCGGCCCTCGACGCTGAACCAGTGGACGAGCTGCTCATCCGACGTCCACCTGCATTGTGTTGTCCCATTCCCCTGACATTTTGCAGGGTTTCCTGCTCCAGCACTCTCGTCGCAAGGTGAGTGCCGTGGTCGCGTTCTCCTACAATGCTGCTTCTGCCCACATTCACATCCGCCATGATGTCCACCATGTCCGGTTCTCCTCCTCGTTCAAGTAAGTGGTCTGCCTTTCTCCTCGTCCTGGCGTCCTGTTGTGCGACTAAGATTCTTGTCCTGGCCGCGTTGTCTTCCCGTGGTTCCTGCGGGTGTCCAATGAGCCGCAATAGGCTACGCAACTCGTATGAAGCCGGGCCATACCTGTGGACGCCAGCAACACGGAAAAGGTCACTCGGCAACAAGACCCCCGCTAAATGATCTCCGCGCTCCGTCCTGGTCCTTTCGTTAGGATTCCCAGCATAGCTCGAAGAAGAAGAAGATAACGGTAAACCAGATATAGAGGTAGCTTCTTGTTCAGTTTGCCCAGGAATGTAGTTCCAATCTTCGAAATTACGAGAGCCTCGACTTCCACTTCTACCCAGAAGGAGACCTGATATTTCTTGTCCACGCTCTACTCTCCGTTCTTCTCTACCCCTCCTGGCGTTGCGCCGCTGAAGGAAGGCATGACGGCGTAGCAGCTCAGCTCTCATCATGCTGAGGGGTATGCTGGTATGGCGCGACAATCGTTGGAAGCCGATATCCAGCTTCTCTAAGTCTCGCAGCCGCACGTACGCCTCGAGCGGGTAGTAAAGATCTACTATGCTGCCGACCAAGTAGGAAATTTGAAACCACAAAGTGGCGCCGAGGCTAAGCAGCAGCGCAGTGATAACGCTTCCACCGTTAAAAAAGGGATCGTCAGAATGGCTCGCGTGATTCGCATCGGTCAAGCCTGCCTCTCCGGATTCTTCCGAAGATCCTTGTTCGAACAATAAGCGCGCTAAGTAGTGTTAGGGGTTGGGGTTGCAAGTTGACCTATCTTGCTCACATACACATTCACATAAAAATATCTGTCACTATTATTTTCCACCTTGATGAAAAGGAAAACGTCATACTAGATATTGATATGCTCTGTGTTAGTCTTACTTCGATGGCTCGACTTCCAAACCTTAATAGTTTCCGAGGGCCAAGTAACAAGTGGTACAGATCGAAGCAACAATGAACTGCTTCTCCCACACCCTGGCTTTTGAACAGCGTCGTAAAACGTCTCGTATTCGCCGTACAAACCGTCGGATACAGCGACCAGAACGCCGCGCCCAGAGCAAGAAAGGCACCCTTAGAGCAGAGCAGAATTGTCTAATAGAAGTCTTGATCATCTACCATCAAGAAGAACAACGTTATCAGACAGTAGATATCATCAAGGGAGCTGTGGAGGTGCCATAATTTCAAGAGGCACGTGATGACGCTTAGCATGCGCTTTCTGCAAAGCAGGGACCCACATATGTTGTGGCTAGTGTCATGCTCAACATCTCCTGCACGTGAATTTCCCACCAGCGAAGTCGAAGTGGTCCTACTATTAGGATTTTCGTGCGCTGCTACCGCAGGAAAGAGAATGGCGCGTGCTGGAGAAGCCATATTATTTCTTATATTTTTGCGCGCCTTGGCTGTGTGCAATTGTGATAGTTTGCACAGAAAAGCAGCGAGGCAGGACGCCGAGCCTAGTATTTTGGTGTCTCCTTCTTGTTCTTCAGTACTAGAGAACTCTTCTGATCCGGCAGTAGCTCGCCTCCTGGCAGCAAGCGCGACTCGCGACGCTCGAGCCTCCTGGGCGAATGTGCGGTGGAGCCGCAGGCTGGCGAGGTCGTCTGCTGAGTGGTCTGATGAAACTCGATGAAATCCTGCAGCAATACTTCTGCAACTAGCGATGTCGTAAAACGTGTCGTCTAGCGTAGGCGAACACGAGCCACAAAAACTACCCCGCGCCACCGGTTCGTCGCGATCGTGTACCTCTCGACATCCTGCTCCACCTCCCGCTCCTGGTTTTCTAATATAATTCATCCTCGACGAGGGCGAGGCTGTAGCTGTCGTTGGTGCGTCAGCAACATGATCTGTGTTCGAGGAAAGTGGCACTCGACGCAAGAGATCCGAATCCGCTAACAAAGAGCGATCTGCGCTGCCCCAGACGTAGCTGTCGAAGGATCGCAACAGATCAACCAAATAGCGGATCAAAACCCGGATAGGAAGCATCTGCGTCACTGCTTCATGGTGGCCTGATCCAAGTTCTCCTCTTTCATCTTCTTCGTGTGCATTTTTGATTGCTCCAGGTGAATGAGCCACACGTTGTTCATCGGCGTCATCCTCCAAGTCTACAGGAGCTTCTCCAAGTAGTGGTAGCAGCTCCTTCAAAATTTGATCCGAAAGGCGGGAAACGCCGACCTCCTGTCGCATCAGCCAGAGGACATCCCTAAGCCATCGGTGCTGCTGGACTAAAAACAGCCCATCATGGTCCGCAACGCACTGGCAAGCATCTTCTGCTTCTACGAAGTTGCCTTTTCTAGTACCTCCCCGATGTTGAGAGTCAACATGATCCTCGTGGTGCTCGTCCATAGGAGGGCTGAAAATCTTCAGATTCTCCATCCGACGGACAAGACCGTCGATTGATGATGAATTTGATTCTTCGCAGCAGTTATGCTGCAGGTGGATCGTGTCCTCGAGGTGGGGAGTGCTCTGCCTCTGTCCTCCTCTTAACAAATTGCTGTCAAGTAGTCGAATCGGGAGCGGCGGGCATGAACTAGAAGGGCCTGGGTGGTCGTAGACGTGGTGCGTCGTACCAGGATGAACGCTTCTCGATTTCTCAGGTGAGTCTTCTTCTTCTGCTTAGCGGCAATACAAAACACGTGTCAACATCTATTTCTGGGACCAACATCTTCTTCATCTTTTAGCTATGGCTATCTCTCGGAACGTGGATGGGGATACAGCATAAGAAAATTACCCCTCCTACTGCATTTTTGATCCACCATAAAGATACTTCTGCATAGGGTGGCTCTATTTTCAAGATGTTTATTAAACGGCAATGAATAAAGTAAATAAAGATGCTGACGCAAGCAGGTTTAGCATCATCATGGTAGTCCTAATCTGCACGCTGCTGAGAGGAGCTGTTGCTACGTTCAGCAAAAACAGGGATTGAGGATTTGCTTCTCATGGCATCAGCCGGTCTGCACAACCTCCTTTCTGTTTCTCTTAGACGACGTGGTCCTTTTGGAATTGTTATATCTTCACCTCGTCCAGTTGAGTGGCTTTTTTTCTCCTCCATTTATAATATAACTTCCTGTCGGAAATTTTTATAGACGATTCCTCCCCACTCGCCTTCTCTCAGTCTAAGCAGTATTCGCACTTTTCTTCATACATTCATAGTATTGCATACGTAGATACTAGCTAGTGAGTATCAACAACGGTACGCATTACCGAACGATGGCGAAAAAGTAGCCTTAATGCGTCTTGCTCTTGCTCTTTTTGTTGTGCGTGTCCATGTGCTAATTTGCTCCTAAGAAACTTCCCAGCCATGTGGAGGGCGTCGTGAAACAGAAGCGGGCTCGTCTGCAGACAGAGGACTTCATCGAAGAGCAACAGCTTCAGCAGTTCGTGTGGTTCCGAAGGTTGCTTTTTCTGATGGGGCTTGCGGATTAGAACAGCGGGAGCTACTCCATCTCCTTCATCGTCTCCATTCTTAGAGGTCACGGAATCACATGCTTCAGCACATTATAACTGGCGTCTTTTCTGCTAGAAAAAAAAGCAAGGATGGCAGTGCGGGATGCAATTCGAAAACCCATAACTTCATCTTCAAGACTAGAAGAGCAAGTTTGTTCTCGTTGTGGAGGATCATGATGTTGACAATGCTGTTGTTGTTGTTGTCGTTGTCGATCTTTGCTGCATTGCCCGAGGACTCGTCTAGTCAGCGAGCGAAAGTCCGGAACTAGGAACTCGGACCCACGCGCAGTGTGCTGGCGACAGACAGGACACGCTAATTTGCTGGAGCCTTGCGCGGGGTCCTCTCCCCAGGCACAGCCGGGCGCGGACGTCAGACCGAAGAGCCGTCGCAAGACACGGAGCGTTTCCCGTGAGTGAAGGTTTTGAATGAGCGAGAGCTCGAAAGGGTCCATGCTATGACCTGAACAAAGCTGCTGCATTTGTAATTCGGTCACCTCTTCTAACTCGCGCAGTGCCGCGTCGACTTCTCCCTCCTCACCCATTCCCTGTTCCTCTCTATCTTGATCTGCCGAGAAGGATCCGCCAGCTGTGCCGTTGGAGCTACCTGCTCTACGCCTAGTCCTAGTAATGGTGTTTCATCTATGTAGCTAGTCCAAGCACCATGATAGTGATAGAAAAAATACTTACAACAACATTATTGTGCTCGCTGGTTGCTTATATTCTCCTCCCTTATATTTCATGATTTAGGTAGTAGTTATCCATGCTTGAGCGAAGACGAAGAGGGATATCCGCTTTCCGCATGAGTAGACGAGATGGACTAAAGCGGTAGGAAACCTTAACTGTGCTTGCGCCACGCGCCTGCTGCTCGTCGTCGGCGACGTGACCCTCATGCCAGAGAAGATGAAAAGGAGGTCCTCTAGCACTATTCTGCCCATCCACTATAAGGTGTCTGTGGTCTCTGTGTCTGTGATCTGTATGAAACTTTCTATAAATGTAAGGACAAGTCTTTCCATTATTAGACCTAGTTACGCAGCTTACGCTACGGCGGTTAGAAGAGGCGCTTGTTAAGAGAAAAAGCAGAAGCCTAGTACTTGCGTATCTTCATAGCGATCTCGTAGTCGTGGCCCGCAACTCATCGACGGACCCTGACGCCTCCGCTTATGCCACAGCCCCATGCCCAACACTTATAGACCCTTCAGATCAGACTGAGTGGGTGGCTCTTTTCTCCCCACTGTAGGCGTAAACTACACAGGTCACAAAGAACGGTCTAAGACTGGGTTCAATTTCGAAACATGATGAAGGAGTCCGAGTTCTTTATCTTTCCCGCCTACTTCTACAATTTCTGTTGTCCCTGTTCCTTATCATTTTCATCATGATGATATATTATCACGATGACAATCCCGATCTTAGATCATCTACTGTTACGTAACTTACAACGATTTGTTTGTGCGCAATAATCAGGTAGACCTTAGGCAAAAAAAATTTGACTTCTCTACCTCTAGTATTTATTAATGCGTTATCTTCCTGCAGGCCATACCACATCCTGGAAAGCAGCGATAACCTGCTTTTTGATCTGTTCGGATTCCTCTCATTTTAGCGGTTTCCACTTCTTCTCCGCTGCATAGACCAAGACCTTCGCCAAATATCCATACTATGTGCTATAGCGAGTCTGTAGGTCGGACGTCTCTAACAAGTTGTAGGCATAATTCATTGTAATCCACCAGGTTCCTACAAGGGCTATAACGACTTCTTGTAGGTATAAGTCATTATCATAAAAACCGAGGCCCCTATGAATGCACGTAATTCTTACGTACGCACTTCTTGGAGAAATCGAAATGTGATAACAAGATAAGTATGCTCCCTCTGCTCTGAAGATGAAGAAGTTAGTTTGTTAGTAGGGCCATTTTTCGCAGCCAGCCTTAATTTCGTCTGGGATGTGCACCAGAGTCTTGTGTTGCTGCCTTCAGGGAGTGTAGAAGTAGATCCAATGGCGTGCCCGTGACGTGCGGCATAGTAATTGCGCATCCGCCATCGTTCCACGTCGTGCAGGAAGAATCCAGCAAGAGACCGTGGACTTACACCAACGCCTGTAGTTCCCGAGGAAGATGACTGGCCGAAGACCGTAGCGTTTTCGATCCCGCTTAGATGAACTTCATCACGCCCAAAGACCAACGACCCTCGTCCGACCGCGGCTCCCCGCTGCGCACCTCCTGGGGGTACCTCCGACGTTCTCAATGATTAGAGCTGAAAACATTGGCTCATTCCTTGCCTACGCTATTTTTCCCTATAATTACTATTATATTAAGTAGAAGGACCAAGTGAGAAATATTAACATTAAGTCTAACTAAGTGGTAGACATGGAGTAAGTAGTAGAAATCAATAAATTGCAATGCATTGCACGCAGTGAGCCTTAAAATAAAGTCGCACCATCACCCGCGTTCTGCGGAGGAGCGTAGGGGGAGCTGCTGCCAGTGCTGTCGTTTGAATGCTTCCACTCATTGAGAGTGTCGACATGGGAATGTCGTTCCCCTCATTTAGGCCCTTCTTACTTAGGTGGAACGACGTACCCCTTGAACTTGGGTTCTCCATGAGTGGCATCATACATCGTTGCGTTCTTGCCATTCCCCAAAGCAAGCAAGGCAGAAAAGCACATGGCAACAAGGAAGCACAGCCACTTGCGCTGGTAACCGTTGACATATGACGCACAGATCGTCCTCTATTTCGTTCGGGCTTTGGGACCAGCCAGCACATGGCGGCGCAGGCGTTCGGCTTTGCTCCTGGACGCTGGTTGCTCCTGTCCTCCGCTCTTGGGGACTGGTGGCAATCCGAAGATGAGGACTCGGCGTCGCTCCTGGTGCTCCCGCATTCGCAGCACTAGGATGCACCGCAACCTTCCTCTGCAGCCTGACCCCCTCAACTACACTCGACGTCCTCAACAACGACGAGAGCATTATCATGATCATGCTGCATTTTCCTCGTACCAACGGAAGTGCTGATAGCGACCTCATCATCTTGCTTCTCGTTCTTCTTGTGCTTATGGGCATCTACTACAACGACCCGCTCTGCAACGGCAGCACCAAGAGCAAGACCATGACCAAGAACAAGATAAATATAATTAAAAAGACTTCTCAGTTTTCTTACTACGTCAACAACAGGCTAGGCTCCCACGCCCACTGCAACTCAGTCCACATTCTCCACCTCATGGTCATGAGTGGTTAGTTTCGAGTACTACTAACTTGGATATTCACGCTTAACTGAGTGTGTCTCTTTTTTTGAGTCCTGCTTGATAGATCGGGTCTTTTGGGCATGCAAGCTCCTCTCGCGGCTGGTTCTGACCAGTGCCACAGGCTCTTTGGTTGATGAACCCGATAAGAACTCAATATCATCAGCACAATCACGACGCGGGGAACTGCGTACACGATTTAGTTGACAGCACAGTCACAACAGGGGAGACACTTCTGTGCCACCCCTCCCCTCGTCGAGAACAACTGGGCGACCCCTTTCCTCCAACGCCAGCTTATTTTGTGTTTTTGCTATTAGTTTTTCGTTCCCAAAAAAATTTAAATGCATCCATGTCCATTCCATTAATGTCACCAATACAACTAGTTGCGCTTGGTAAGGTTGCTTCCAAAATAACCAAAAACACATTTCCCATTAATAATTGCACTCATTTATTCACTCACCCACTTATTTGAACGCGGCTCCATCTCCCCGTCGCCGGGCGCAGTCGACGAAAGCCACAAAGGACGGCACACCAAGCTGACCAGTCTGCTACTTACATCGAACCGAGTTCGACACCAACAGGACCCGATCTCTTAAGGAATTGAGAAAGGTCCGACCTGAGGCATCGCTGGTGCGTGGTGGGTGTAGCTATATTTTACGTCTAAAGCGTCAGTCCACGAACAGAGACAGAGGAAGCAGAAGTGATAGAAGCTGGAGCGCGATGCCACTACTATCCAAGACCACGACCCCCGTAACATTCAGCTAGCGAAGGCTTGGGAAACTATATTCCAAAGCGTTACTATCTAACTCCCTCTATCCGCCTCTTCTATACTCCGAACTACCAACCCAACGGACGGCCCAAGACAGCAAGCTCGCTGTTTGAGTTTTGTTTGTTTATATATTGAGTAAGAGCGGCCGACCAAGTCTGCATGCTGGTCCACTTCCTGACCTTATCAGATGCCACGTCTGTGGCAAACTACTACACTAGGGAGCGCTATCACCGAGGAACTTTATCAATGCCATGCCTGGAGATCAGGCTGCAGACGAGGAGAATGCGCCGGGCCCAAATTTATGCACTACGGCAGACCCAGATGTGGGGGATCAAACGCCACACATCCCGCAAGCACTCCGATCGAAGGTAGACCTATCGCGACGCGAGTCTTTCTACTTACGATACTTCGTGACGCAGCGACTGAAAACCAGAGGAGAATAAACATAAGCGTCCTCGCATTTGTTGCTGGCCATTTGCTGTTCTTTTACTTATTCGCTAGCAAGCCTGGCTTCTGTATCTAACTGGTTCCCGATGTCTTCAGCAGTGAGCTATAGCCATTATCATATACTATTTGTCGATGCTGAAAAAAAAAACGAAAAAAATCCAATTCCACTACCACAAAAAACCAATCATACGTAAGCCCATTCCAATTGAAGAATGCGCTGCTTTCTATTCATCACATTCAGTAGCTTCATTTTGTAGCTCAAGCGACAGATGTTGCGCATACCCATATCTTAAATGTTTAAAAAATCTGCAAGCTTGGGTTCTCAGCCGTGCAAGTCACCTCTTGCAGATCTCTCAGACCAACTTGAGGCTTACTTGTCACCTAGCCCTATTGTTTGCTATTTGTTAGTATCAAAAAATGAGATGAAGCCTCGACTTTTCCCTGAAAATAATGACTAGTCTAAAATAAAGCGCCAGAGCGTCAAGTGGTAGTCTGTTTTTCTCCTCCCAAATGTTCATCTACTCCGCCGGTATTTGATTTTGAAAACTTTGACGGTCTTCTATTGGTGATTCAGATGATGCTAATGCTGTGAGTTGTGTGTAATGCTCTGCTTCTAGAAAATTACTTTTCCTTCCACCTCCACGTTCGTCCCACCTATTCTTCTTGAAGAAGACGACGCTCTTTCAATGTACTTAATGTTTCCACCTGAAGACTATCTTCTTTACCGACAGGCGTGATCGAAGATGTTGCTTTCAATTCAATTCTACTCAAACTAATCTTTTTTTTTGTATCGCGGGCGCGTTCCGATATATCCAAACCTACCTGCGTATTGTGCAAGCGAGCTCAGATAAGTCAGTACCTGCTCGCATATTTTCCGCGTAGCTACCGGCGTAGAGGGGAGTTCTTAATCTCAAGTTATCACTGTTCACAACTAGATCGCTTCCGCCTTGTCCTGGGGTGTTGAAGTCACGCCGCTGTCTTTAGGCACGCGAGCAAATGGAAGCCCATCAACTTGAACATCTCCTGACACGTGTTGGTATGCCAGCTTTTCACCATGGGAGCCTGATCCACCATTCATATTAGGAATCGGCACCAGCATCGCGGTAAAATCGAGGCACCCTGCCACAAATTCACCAAGGGTTTTCCGCTGTTCTGGTGACGAGGCGCCGGGGCTGCACGGTACCCCCCCCCGCGCTAGGGGGCGGCACCGTCGCCCTGAGCCCTGGATCATATAAATATAGCTAAGGTCGTCTGCAGATTTCAAATCTCACGGCACAGCTATGACTATATCATATTTTTTATTTGCGCCCCTTCCTTGTTTGTTAGTATATACATCACGACCATCGTGATCGTCTTCTTCCTCATCAACAACATCATCATCATCTTAGGCGCCAACGAACTCTGTCTCCTCATCTTCGACACCGTAATTAATTCCAATCTTCACCTGCTGCTCCTGTTCTTCATCGCCTCCAGCAAAACCTATCCACAATCCACTTGGGCACACATCATACTTGTGCTGAAAAGTGCAAACCCATCTTCATCCCCTACTCCCAGTCTCTTCGTCTCGTTTACCTTGCTATGCACGACAATATTCTCGTCTCGCAAAAGCCGGAAGCGGGTCAACAGCAGGCACCAGCGGTTTTTGCCTTTGCTGCGATCGCTTCGTCCTGCGCAGGTTCAGGCCGATCCGCTCCACCTTCCGTTGGTGCTGCATTAGGAGGCGCCGCCGCGTCACTTGCCTTGAGTGCTCCAGCCCCAGCCCCCGCTTCCGCAGGCAGCTGCACACTCTCTGGATAGCCTCCACCTTTTGCCATTGGTGCGATAGGCACGCCCTGTGCAGGCTTAGTTCCAAGCGCCTTCTCTTCCATACGTGGGGGCCCGGCATCTGCACCAGCACCAGACGCGGCCGGCACGTCACTTGCCTTGAGTGCTCCAGCCCCAGCCTCCGCAGGCTGCATGCCTCCATCTTGAGAGCCTCCATCTTGAGAGCCTCCGCCTACCGCGATAGGCTTGCTCTGCGCAAACTTAGTTCCTTCCGTACGTGCAAATGGAGCAAGGTATTGGTATTCCAGCTTTTCACCAAGGGAGCCTGGTCCACCAAGCTTATCAATACCATGAATCGGCACCAGCATCGCGGTAAAATCGAGGCACCTTGCCACAAATTCACCAAGGGCTTCCCACTGTGCTTTTGTACCCCTAATACTACTTCCATCCCACATCCATGCGAGCGCTTTTCCTATCCTAGTACGAGGAACGCCGAAAATACCTGTCATCTGAGCCTGATTCTCCTTAGCCCCAATTTCGAAAAGCTTTGCAATTCTCTTTCGCTCGAAACCATTGTAGCAAATACATTCGGACGGCGCATGAGGTCCAGTGCCCCCCTCATTTTCAGCCATGTTCGAGCGGAGCTGAGCCTGCACGTGGCAGTTTGTACCAGGGTTGGGATCACGCTTGTCATAGGGCAGCTTTCCAAACTCCGCAACTTCATGCTGTAGGGCAGGCTGATCTTTATAAGACTTGTAAGTTTCTACTAAAAACGGTTTGCGAGCAAGTCCCTTGAAAGAAAGTCCAAACTCAATTGCGTCCGCGAAAATACGCAGTATAATTCCGCCCTTCCCAATGGTAAAAAAACAGTCCTGAACCAGGCTTACCGCCAACGCATATAGATCAATATGCAGTCCAACATTCGGAGGATTTGCGTAGCCCCGCTGTTCTTGCTGAGCACAACTTGGAATCCCGATAAGATTCGGATGCATATACGTTGACCCTTGGTAATACTCTTCGCGTTCTGAATATCTTCCGGCGATGAGATCGAGACGACCTCCCGTCTTCGGGTCTTCATCCATCCACCACGCCGTCGACGCACCAAAGTCGATAAGACGGAGCCCCCCCGTCTCCGGGTGTAACTGGACACTGCCCTGGTTGAAATGGCCGTGCGTGACCCCAATCTTCTGGTTCATGATGCTTAGGCACTCCTTAGCTTTTTTGGCTCTCCTCGTCAATGTATCGGCATCAGTCATGTCATAAAGCAACTGAAAATTTCCGTTTTTGAACGTTTTTTTGGGTAAAGGCATCGTCTTCTCCGTGACAATATAGGCAAGGATGCTCCCGCGGTTAGGATCCTTTCCGATCGCCAAAAACGACACGAAGGGAACACAGTTTTCATCCGGCTGAGATGGGTCTCGCTGCGACGCAAAGTATTTCCAGAGAAGCTGCTGCAGCAGGGTCTCAGTTGCCAAGCGCTTTGGGGCCCAGACGGCCGCTGCAATAGCCCTCTTCTCCACAAGGCAGGCAGTAGTGTCGGTGGAAGAGACAGAAGACCCTGCTGGAGGACAATTACCCCAATCAAAGTACTCACCAGCACGATCCGGGAGAGGTGGTTTTCCGGATGTGGCCTTCCGTAAGCCGCTCCGAGCCTCGTTATCGGCTGACACCATCCAATTATGAAAGCTATTCTGTTCGCGGGGACAATATTTCCCCAAAGGATGCATTTTCTCGTTCAATTTGGTACAAATCTCCGCCGCCGCAGACCGAACCTGATCAAGCTCTGGGGAGTCTGCATATCGATGTGCCGAGTTGCGCTCCAGTACGAGCTCTCGCTGAAAAAACGCGGACGGGGGATCAAGCCTTCCAGTAGTGGAAGACGTTGAAGTCCTCTTACTCATCATCGCACTCGTCAGGGCGATCACTTGGGTGTTTTGATGTCCTTGTCCTCCAACGCCGTTCTTGATGATGTCGCCGCGTTGTTTCGTATGCCGTCCTATTTGTATATCTTCGTCATTTTGAAGCCCTCCGCCAATATGTGCGTCGTGGACTCCACCTCCTCCACGTGGGAGTAGAGGAGCGCCATTCTTCGTAGCATACTCGTCGCCTCCTGCCTCAGAAACTGCATGACTTTTGAAGTTGTAGCGCTCGTCGAGGACCTTGTTGTAGTTGTCATCTCCTGTGCCAGAACCACCATGATGGTGCGTCATCTTCTTCTTGGAGTTGTGGCTCCTTTCAACGCTGTCGATGTTGTAGGCACGACGACGAAGGCGAAAAGCAGGCTGCTGAACATCTACTTGCTCGCGATCATCATCCACCTTCTGGCGATTCTCAACAAAAATCCTCGTGCCATTCTGATCATGATCAATATCAGCTCGTGGGAGTTCGGGCGCGACACGCTGTTGGCCGAAATGTTTGCGGATAAGCGATGGAGTCGTTGTTCGCGATTGTTGTTCCGTCTGCTGTTGATTCTGCTCTATGACGGGACTTCTCTGTTGCTGTTGCTTTTGTGTCCGCAACGTTGCAAACACGAAGTCTTCTCGTTTAAGACCGTGATCTTCCAGGTGCTGATCGTCAAGGGGCTTCGCGCGTGCGCCTGGATCTGGAGAGCCGTCGGTAGCGGATCGCAGGAACATCTTTGGCAAAGCTGCTCCCGTCAGGAGATCCCCGGCGCTTCGCTTCGCACGTCCTCGAAGACGTTGAGGACTCCAATCACCGTCCCCACTGGTCACCTTTGCCGCGCCTGGGAAGCTCAAATAGTCCCAACCTCGCATAAAGTGCCCAGTCCCTGCCATGGTGAGTACGAGGCAGAAAATGAATAGCGCCAGGCAGATAATACGCTGCACGAGTGGGTTCTTGTAGTGTCGAACAGTCTGCTCTTGCAGATCTCCGCGCAGTTCGTGGAGGTCGTCGTAGGTAGACGTCGTGGTGCCGCGACCACCACCTCCATCCTCGTGGTCCTTGTTTTCATTCAGCAGGCTGCCGTAGCTCTTGTAGCAGTTGTAGCCCATATTTGGGGCAAGCTTCGGGCTGTCGGGATCTCTCAGAGTCATCGTTTTGTCGTGGTTTTCAGTGGTTGCAGTTACTTAGGTACGAAAGGTCAGGAGCAAAGGCACGGGCTCCACCTACGGCCCTCCTAGTAGAAGTAGTTTTATGAACAACTACAAGACTCAACTTTTGGAAGGATTAAGATTGCGAGCTAGACATCAGCCAGTGACCCACCTCCTGGTCGGTGCTCTTAGTCTTAGTGCTGTGATAGATTAGTATCTGACCCGGAAAAAGTGCTAAGCTGGATATCGAAGTCTATAATTACCACTTGAGAACGCTAGTTCCTTGTTTAGTCGTTGTGATCGAACGTCGAAGCTTCCCTACAAGGCCTAGTTGGAAAGTCGATGAAAAAATCTTAGACAGTCGAACTTAAATGATAGTTAAGAAAAACGCGAAAACGAGAGGGATTATTTTGGAGTCAATTCACTCAGACACCACTTTGAGTGATATTCTTGACACTGTCGCAAGGTGAGATAAATGGGTTATGTTAAAGTCGCATGATCATGATATCGTGCAAAAATCATAAAAATATATCGACGATAATTGGCAAGACCAAGACTCATCTAGTTGTATCTTTCAATTAAAGACCAAGATTCATTTGCCATCATCTCAGTTAGAAGGTGCAGTGACTCCCACTACGTACTATCATGATCGACAAATCACGACGCTCAGCCAACACAAAGTCAAAGGGATAAAACAGAAGTAAACTCCAACAGACCCTCCAGCAACAGACGTCCATCGCACTGATCTCTTCCTCTCTGGTTAGGGGCTGAAAGTTGGCCGCTCTAGCTCGCATATCTATGGCTTTCCTACTTGAAGAAGCCAGAGAAATGCGCATAGAGATGTCAACTTCCGTGGTCCCGTGTAGCTCTTCTCCATCTAAACAGAAGTAAAGGCTCAGGCTTCGCCACGCCGCGCTCGACAGAGTTCATTGTACGTAGTATGTCTCTCAACACGAATGCTCAAGTAGTCTCAACCGAATTCATTGTTCTCAACAGCGGATCCTTGCGCCTTCTTCCATTCCATTGAGTCTATCACTGGCGAGCATGCCAGCCCATAGGCTATGCGATGCTATCCTGAATCTGACAGAGTCTACTTGCTCTCTACAACATATTCAGGCTACGCTCAACTACGGAGTCCTCTTGCTCCTGCTCTCGACAGAGTTTTACTCTCCATCTTGTTGGAAACAATAACTCCTGCCGATCATCATCATGTTCATTAGAGCAAAGAACGCATTGAATATTGATAGAAGTGCTCGTAGGTACTAGTACCAGTACTAGTAACTAGTAGGAATAGAGTCAGTAGAGGCAACACCTGTACCCAGTTGGCGGGTACATGAATTGCAAACAAGCTTTCCATCCTTAGATAGTCAAAAATCTTATTTTGCACGAGATGAAAAGAGTCCTTGTAAGGAGACAATCCTTGTCAATCCTTGTAAGCAGACAATCATTGTAAGGAGATGCAGAGTTGTGAGGGACGTCTTAGTTACTGTTACATCAGTACTCCTGCGATGGATGACGTGAGAATGTGAAAAGCCATGTCGACCTCTACTTTGATAACTGTCGTCCTCTGCTTTGACAAGTGAGGATGTTCATGATGTTGTAGAATAGATATCTTGTAGTTGTTCCTCGTGGAACACGTCGTGTGTGCGCTTCGTCTTGCAATCCTTACTCGATCGCCTAAGAAGCCCTATCAAAGAGAAGCTCTGCTTCTGCCGCCCAATTGTAGTAAAGGAAAGCCCTGGAGCATGAACTGCACAGCTCAAGTAAGTAGCTACCGTTCTACTTTGTGTGGGACGATACTACGAACAACTTCTTATCCCCAACATCATACAACAGCAAGCTTTTCTCCAGACTTTTTTCTAAGCTGCTCTCAGCATCATCTTCTACATGTTCAGCCTTTTTCCTTCACCTCTGAACCAACGCTGCAAACTAGTCGTCACCTCCTCCTCACATCATCGTTTCCTTTGTCCGCAACAACAGCATCAAGAACAGCATGATAAAGATACAGGCAGCTCATCATGACAAACCTTGAGGTACAGAGCAACTACAGGACTACTAAGATCCTGATACAGGATCGTGATAACAACGACTACGGGATTCTACCATCCAAAGCGGTCCGCCAGCGCCTTCTCGCTTGCCAAGTCCCATAGGGCAACCGTGTGCCCACTGAGCAAAAACATGCTGTCTTCATTGCTGCCGTGCGTAGGCCCAGCACACGCAAATATGGGCCCGATCGCCATCGTCTTCTCAAACACCGGAACGTCTTGCTTCCATAACTTAGAGAGAGAGCGACATAGAGTGTGGGTGGGTGTGTGTGGAGAATGATACGCAAGAGAGAAAGAGAGAGAGAGTGTGTGCGTGTGGGTGTGATGTGTGGAGAATGATACGCATGATGAGATAGTAGTAGTAGAAGCTCACTAATAACAGTATGCACTAGTACTGGTACCAAAGTACAAGCTCACTAATAAGTTCATCTTCCAGGATGACCCATTGATTGATTGACATCCCGAGTAGTTCTCCTCGCAAGATTGGAATTATATGATGATTCATGAATCTTTCATTTTCAAAGATTGGAAATATATACTACTGTACTACGCTGTACTAGTTTTATTAATTTTCTAGTACAAGTGGGACGGATCTACTCGACAAGCTCATCTTCTAGCCTTAACTGGGAGGTCGCGCAAATCGTATACTTTCGCAACGCCGTCTGTGCCTCCCACTAGCAATACGTCTTTACGCTGCGCTAGACCACTGCAAGCGCCCTATTTTGGGAATATTTTTGAAGTTTCAGGAAATGCAGTTTAAGACAGCTCAGAGCTGCATGTTATAACTGATTATAACCAAATCTGTCCATCTTTTGTCCTACTACTAGTACAACAGTAACAGTTGAAAACTATGCATAATACTAGTGCACCAGACGCAGACCAGAGAGTTCCTCATCCTGGACAAAACAACGTACTTATCGGTACAGCAGAGAGTAAATACTGAACATACTCATGCATATACATGAGGGCACTGAATTACTACAAGCCTATACAAGATTTTGGCCAAAAAAAACTGAATCTGTACATACACTAGAGTCGAGTACTACACATCAAAAACTGAAACTGTACTTTTTGAAAGCAGTGAAGTGTCCAGAGAGCAGAAGTGGCTTCTTTTGTCGCAACGACTTTCCTCGCATCGAAACAGGACACTTGCCCGTCTTCTGTGCTGATGTAGAAAAGATTGGGTATTTTTAGAGTTGTCTGAGTACATAATTATCTTAATCTTTCACATGTTTTTCCACCCTTCCCCACGGTTCAGAGAAAGTCAGATACACCTGCCTCTTACTTAGTCTTAAGACTAGTTGAATCACGAAAATCCATAACATTTCTTGGTTCCAGCAAGCTTGTTCAGCATCAGCTGAGAGGTCCATTTTTACTGCAGCACTAGACTTTTTCCTCACATCCAACAAAGCCACCTTCCGATCGTAGCCCGCACTCAACACCACTGCCTGCTCAGACGGATGCCACCTAGCGCATTGAACCTAGAAAGATAACATAGAGGAGGATGATGATGATGATGATGTACAAGATTAAGATTTTCCTTATCTTCATGTACAAGATTCAATCGCACTACCTTATCCTCGTGGTGATTGAAAGAATGGACGCATGTCGCCTGCTCAATGTCCCATATCTTCAACAGATTGTCTGCGCCGCCGCTTGCTAGAAGGTGCTTCTCCGAAGGATGCGAGTGTACGCTCATCACCGCACCGGTGTGACCGCTTTAATTAGAGGACATCACGACTACTTCTTCTTGTAAGTACTAATTAGTGGACGTCCACGTCCACGACGACGAGGTATCTATAATAAAAGACACAACTCCTTGTTATATTATAACTGTAAGTTCGTCAGTAATTTTACGTATGAAAATGGCTGTGGCTACTTCTTCTAAAAACGATGTGGATAATCATGATCGTGTGCCTCCTAGATAAATTTCTCTTACTCTTTTACAAGCTAGTCAATGGCAGCTAATATCATCCGTATCAATCGGCTGTGATTGCTCCTAATCTTCGTAATCAGCTACAGAGACTACATTAAAACACATGAAACACAAACTACTGCATATTAGGAATGGAATCATTAGCCATAACTGTTGAGTGATTCTTCGCTGTTGTCTTATTTTTTGACTTCTTTTTAGTCGCTCCTCCAGCGCTTTCGCCGCCAGACAGGGTGACGACGGGGGCCATCGGCTCTAGGACGTCCAGATTCCAAATATCAATGTTGCAATCAAACTGACCGACGGCCGCTAGGTTCTCCCGACCGGGAGTGGACGAGAGGGACACCGTGTCCACGCAGAGTGGGTAGGCGTTTAGAGAGATGTCGTGATGCACGAACATGGCGCCCTCCGCCTGGTCGTACACGAAGACTTCTAGGGTGCACTGTTCATCCTCGCAGCTGGTCGCTAAGAAAATGTTGTCGCTTGGCAGCAGTTCGTCGTCGTCGCTGTCGCTGTCCTGCTGCTCCGGTGACAGCAACGGATCTGCCAGCGCGGCTTCGTGCTCCTCGGCGCTGTTCATGCTGTACACATTCAGCATGCTGTGTGAAGCCAAATCTTCCTCCTGCACCTTTTCTTCTGCTTGGCCCTCCTCCTCTTGACCTTCCACGTCCATGCCGACGTCGATGTCGTCCTCACCTTGATGACCTTCTGCATTGTCCTCACCTTGAAGACCTTCAGCATCGTCCTCAACGCCATGATCTTCGGCTTCGTCCTCCTCAGCGACGTCTTTGTTCTTTTTTCTTGGGTCAGCCGCGATCCTCTTTTCTTCCTCCTCCTCAATGTCACCCTCAATGCCGTACAGCTCCTCCAGTTCTTTCAGCTCCTCGTCCGTGGCCTCCCATTTCGCGGGTCGCTTCTTGGCGCGCCCTTTTGGCACCCAAACTAAACTCGTCACGGCCGCAGACATGTTCCTTCTTCAGTTTTTCCGGTTTCTTTGAAGGGGACCGTCTTAGAAGTAGAGGACGTGGTGAAGAACCTGCAGGCAGCTCTAGCTGAACTCAACAACAACAAAAAAGAAGTTATCAACTGTTCCAGCTTCTAAGTGACATATGACTCTTCAACAAGAGCAAAGGACTCACTCGACAAGGGTAATAAACGTCGACGAATTATCACTGCTCTTAGAAAAGAGTATCAATATTACTCGTCTGATGATGAGCTCAAACATCTAGTACTTCGTTCTTTGCATTGGAAGTAGAGTGGTTTCCACGTTAACCCTGCTGTGGGAACAAGGAAGCAGACAAGGTAATTTTTCAACAACATCAAGTTGACGCATTTAAACGATGAATCGACAACTAGTAAGAAGGAACTTACAACCAATCTAGATGAACTAGATCTACTTGAACTAGATCTACTTCTGCGCGGCTCGGTCGCATCGGTCCATAGACAATCAATCACCAATCGTTGTCCTATATTAAATATCGATCTTGTTCACCTTTTGGTTAGCGTCTTCAATAGTCGTGCCAGAGCCAGGGAAGAGATCGAGTACTCAGCAATGCATCGAGATCGAAGATCATCTTAACAACTCACCACTTCCTTGTTGGATCTTACTACCTATTCTGAAGACTTAAATTTTAATAATCCCAGTGAAGGATCAAGGAGGATCAGGCGGTTGCTGAAAACTTCTTTGTAACTTCAGTCTCAAGTAGGATCTCAAGATCATCATGTGTGTGGCTGTGATCATAGGTGTTCCTCCAAGATTCGATCTTATGTGTAGTTTCTTTTTTGATCTGTCAAATGAACGACTAACAAGTATCTTCAAGGCACCCGATGCGCCAGCAACATCGAAGATTTTCATTTTGTTACTTTTCTCCGAGAATTATGGTGCAAGTTAATGTAGTATGTATGTAGGATAGAAAATGAAGTTGTAGTCTTTCTGTTCAGCCATGTTGAAGATGAAGTTGGTGAGGCTGTTGACTACAAAGCGCTGCGGCTAAACTTGCTTTGTTTTGCTGTATTCCAATGCAGTACAATGCTCGCGCCGTAGCTCATGAACCAATGACGCTAGTAGCCTTCCGCAGTTTAGTTTTCCTCTTTTACATTCGCCATAATTCGGAATTTTCCACCTCTGATTCAGAGGCTCTGAAAGAGACGCAGCGTTTTTTCTTGTTTGACAGCCGCCTCGCGTTATTGATTTCTAAGAGCCACGTAACGTCTTCTTCTAACAGCCTCCGCGACTACTCGGATGATTATCATATTGCCGCCTCGCTTTTCCTTCCTTTAACAGCCTCTCAAAGTCTTCCTCTTTTCGAGCTCCCTATCGAACAGCTTCCTTTCGGCAGGGGCGTAGGACAGGGCACTTGAGGCATCACGAACACCCTCAAACTTAGACATAGACCTATCTAATATCTGTTGTACCTTCATGATCTAGTGTTACTAGTAGGTATGTCTGTCTGCGCACACTCTTCTAGGTGTCTATGGGCGTCTTCCAATGTAGACGGACCCGTAGTTTATATGCGCCTTATTTATTGATTGGAGGGACAAACCCAGAATGAAAATGAAAGAAAAGTTAACTGCTTATTTTTCTTTACATGCACCGTATTGCACTTCTAAAAGAAATTCTTAATGACAAGTTTGAGAAGTCCTGCAGGTTCGACGGAACTCAGCTGATCAGAGCCCCACATATTTCGGTCCCAAGTGATGTGACGCTCGACCCACGTTGCGCCCAATCCTTAGTAGAGCTCTCGTAATGTAAGAATACTTAAGATATACTGTATCCTCCGTACGATTTCTTAGTAGCCGTAGCGCATTTCTATCACTCTCCTGTCTCTCTTCGTAGGTATCAATCTGCTGGGAGGAGCCTACCTAGGAAAGAGAAAAATCGATTGGGAAGAAACGTCCATGGGGCCTGAGGGATCCGCTGTAGGAGGGATCCGCGTATCAGGTGGAGCGGATTAGCGGTATGGATTAGCGGTAGCCGTAAAATGCGACCGCACAAAATGTGGTTACCAATCCGTATTCGTGGCCACTGTAGCCTATCTCGCGTGAGGCCGTCGTTGATGCTTTTGCGTGAACTTCGAATTAGATAGGATTTAGGATTGAAGATCAAAGGACGAGCCACAATACCAATGATCTCGTGCTATGCTCGATGCAACAAGGACTTGATGAGGAGGGCAAAGAATAAAAAAGTTTAAGTTGTACAGACTCAAGTCTTACGATGGCGGTTACAACTAGTCCATTTTGACAGCGCTGCTTTTAGAGGCACACAGAGTGACACCATGACAAGCGAGAACGCACACTGACAAAGTTGCATCACCTCCACCCATAAGCATCTTGTTGCTTCTCGGTGTTCGCGTCGTCAGGTACCGAGCAAAAAATGAAGAGCAGTTACACCGCTGACTGTGACAGAGGAAGTCCTGCAGCGCCGACTAGATACTAGAAGTATCAAGCGAGAAATACAAACAACACGCCTCACCCTTATACTAGTTCTTCAGAGTTTGACGCTAGAAATTAAGTAGTATGAAGGATCATGATTCGCCAGGAGCCTTTCAATAAGTTGTAACAGGTTTGGCATCACACACCTTCAAATCACAATACAGTATCCTTATTACTTGAGCTAGAGATGAAAGACACTAGCCCTAACATCAAGTTCTGTTGCAGGCACATCTGCGTTCGTCTCCTCTGCGGCGTCTGCTCTTGCTTGCTTCAATTCATCAGTTTGCGAATGACGTTCTTCAGCTTTGTCCAGCTGGCCAGCAGCTGTTTTCCGAATACCGAAAAATGTTAGAGCGGACTCCTGAAGTTAGCTGCGGAAGTTCCTTCTTAGTTGTAAGTGTAACATACTAGCTAGTTGTCAAAAAAAAAATCAATTATTGATGCACAACAGTAGTAGCCCCGTTCTTGAAGTAAATCAATGTAGATGGAGAACGGCTGTTTGTTTTGAAGTAGATGCGTGGTATCCTAACTTCCTATTGGTTTTGTAGAAGGGGAACGGCTATCCTAACAACAGCTATCCTAACTTCCTTTGAAGATGCGTAATATAGCGGAGATTTAGATCCTCGTAGGGGCAGGGGTACGTGGAATTCGTGTGCATCACCACATCTGGGTCGCAGCAGTCAACGCAAGCTTCTATCTCGCGCCACAGTTAGAGATGAAGTTGTAGATCGGTGAAAGTTGTAGATCGGAAGTGATGTAACATAAACAGATAGATACATAGAGATGATTACTACAGTACTGGTGAAGAAAGTAGTTCGTTTGATATTCCTGACGCATTTGTCCTATTTGTTGCGCCCCTCTATTATTTAGAAGTACTAGTGCATCTAATATATATACATAGAAAAGTGTCTTTCTTCTCCAGGATTGGCACGCTGGGCCGCTGTGCGTCCTCTGCCAAACATTTCGCCCGAGTGATGTAAGTGTTTGAACCTTGGATGCGCAGCAAGCTGAATACGAACCCGGGCGCCCACTTACTGACCCGCCCGGAAACACCCTCCAGCAGCGCCGCACATTGCAGCAGAGCACTGCACGCAGAAGCACTGTACACACCCAGGCGGCACTGCATGCAGCAGCGAAAGCATTGCAAGCAGGAGCGAGAACGAGGCCAGGGCCACTCCTATAATATACAGTGTAAGTTGCACCTGTAGTGCCAGTAGTATTGGACGGGATGAGGCGAGAGGGGACGGGCAAAGATGGAAGACGAACACGAATCATGTTTGAAAAGCAGAAGTACTAGGTCATAGTTGATAGTTCAGCGGGCAATCATGTTTCGCTTCTATTCTTCTACATTCAACAGAGAGAGAAAGCAATCAGTCTGCACTCAGCAACAAAGAGAACCCCTTTCCATAATCTGTGGACATCCCGGTGGAGATAATCAGGGTCGAGAATCTTTCTCTGGCGTAGCGGCACAGTGCGAGGTCAGTAATCAACGCTGACGGAATCTTTGCGATCATCGGCTGCGCAGCTTGCAGCGATTAGAGTGTCAAACATTCAACACGATAAAGATAAGAAAGTGACGCGATATCATAATAAATATGCATAGAAGAGGACCGGCCGCGTATGAAAAGAATATCTTATAATCTTTTCAACAACAAACTCATAAGACAGGACCCTGGCCATGACGTCACAGCTGTAGATGTCCCAAACACTGGCGAAAAAAAGGATACCAATTTCTTTCGCAAATTGCATCAGCACCTCCAGCTGCGACTTACTTTAGAAAAGAGGTAGATGCTACAGGTGCATCCTTCCTTGGCGGCCTTCTCTTCTCTTGTACTAGATGTAGGTAAACAATTGGACAAGACGAGGATTCTTACCCTCAATATCCTCCTTGGCTTTCGTTTCAAAATCCAGTATTTTTCAGTGTAGGAGAATATTAGATGGACAAGGAAGATGACGCTAGGGCTAGGGTGAGACGCACTTGCAACAAGCGCCTTAATCGCTAAATTCCAGCCGATGCTTATAATCCAGATACCTGTGTAGTTGGTTCAAAGTATTCATTCTTTCATCAACAACATGTTGAGAGGGTAGGATATGATAGCCTGTGCCAGGTGATGCTGATTCTTATGCCAGCAATACGAATATTTTGTCTACAGTTCATCAAAACATTCTTAATCAGTGGTGAAACTAAATTTCGTCCAAATCCAAGAAATTTTGAGTTTATTCCATTTTAAATGAATTCGATTTCTGATGAAGAGATGAAGAAAACATGAATCAGAAGGTTGGTGGAATTTAAGAAAAGGAATTACGCTATCTCTGGCTATACAAGCTAAGACATTCTACCTAAGTAAGCGCAAATTCAAATATCAAAACATATTTTCTTCGAACGCAACATCTTCTAGAAATACTAAAATTGGCGAGTTTTAATGACATGATGTTATATTGAAACACTTTTGAAATGCACAACTTTCTAAAATTTTTGATTTTGATCAGTTTTAAATAAAATTATTTCCTGATAACGAGCTTAGCAAGTCGTGCCAATGTGATTGCAAACTGAAATACTAACTTTGGAAATGCTCAAATGTGGAGAAATTTCTGATTATATTCAGTTTTAATTAAATTCATTTCCTGATGAAGAGCTAAACAAAAATCGTGACGTGAGGCTGAATCTTCTACAACCAACACAAAACTTGAAAAAAAATACGTCATTCTTCCCCATGGTGTATCACGCATCTGGCTTTTCTGCGCATTTTAGAGCAGTAAAAATCCGCGATGTCTTCCGTATTTCGTATCGTTAAGCCGTATGGTGACTAGTACTAATACCTGATAATTGCAGGTGAGATAACAATCTGATCGTGTCTTAAGCTTCGGGCACGCACTTATCGGGACTCCGCTTCTGGATTTTCACCGAGTCGCAACCAGCGGTTTTAGCAAGCATAATCAGCTTCTTGCAAAGCTCTATATCGCCATTGTGATTGATGCCGGTCTTATGACAGGGAAAAGCTTATTACTGTCATACTGAGAAGTGGAAAAGAAGTATGCATTTGTTGGGAGGTGCAAGGACATAATTTTTTGCTTTTCTTGGAGGGTGCAAGACCAAGAGTAGAGACCACTTCGGGCTTACTTAACAACAATAATTTAAACACACGACAGAGGACAAATTTCTTTCATTCTGGTGCGCTCATTAACAAAAACATGCCCACCACTTCCCTAAGTACGAGGAGCAAGCTTTTTCCTGCATCATCATAAATCTCAGCTACTATGTGCACATGCGGTGCCGCTGACGCCCCAACGAAAGCAACTTCTTCGTGTTTCATCGTGTCCCGATGTAGAAGTCCTAGTCCGCGTCCTATTGTGCCGTTATCAAATATGTCCATGATTCTCTTTTGGAGCTAACTTCCGAGAAACTCATCTTCAAAGTCACACTTTTAGTTTCTTTCCCCGTCGTGGAAAAGAAATTTTTTAAGCATCAGCTTTCCGCTGAAAACTCAAAGGAACCGCAGTGAAAGGATGATGCATGCTACATCATCACTTCTCAAGATGAATTTATCTATCAGGGCAAGCCTTAACTCTTGCTACTGCTTGCATCGTCTAGAACTGGAGAATTGTTTAGCACTGGAGCATATACAGTCTGTACAGCAACGCTCGTCATCTTGTCTTGACGCGTAGGCCGTGAGGCTGCCGCAGCTGCACCGAAATGACCCTCATCCATGATCTCGCAAGGGGAAGTCAGACTGCTCTGTAACGTGGACGACCTCCCACAACGAGGGCTGCTTGTAGAAGATGGAAGCTTGTAGTTGTCGATATTAGATCATGAATTTCTTATCATTTTGGATACACTATGATACACGCAGAAATACCCGCCTCCAACGAGAACAATGCATGGTGTTCAAGAACTAGTACACACCTACAAAACATACTTCATAGAAGTTAATAATGAATATCAATATCCGATAGTGGATGCCTAGGCCGCCTAGGGAACTGACATTGCAGCTACAGTCAGCGTCGTTCTTTCTCCCACTCGGTGAAAAAATGGTCTTCATTCATTCATTCATTCATTCATTCATTCATTTACCTAGCACGAGGTATTGTCTCAAAACAGTGAGAGACAGTGAGAGATGGAGATGCTGTTCTTCGTATCACTATCAGTGAGAGATGCTCCTGGCTAACATCATTACTGATTGAAACGCCATCTTCATAGCTTCAGCTTGAGGCTGAGAAAAGCGGTGCGAGAAGCGGTCTTCGTCGAGCTCGATCAGCGAGGGAGAGTCAATTTTCGTCACCACTACTGCTGGATTCACCGTTATTTCCTCACCTTCTTCTCCGCCATCTTCACGCTCGGGAGGAATATTGTTTTCAAGATCCGTACTGCTATTCTTCCAAATCTTCACCTTGACCTCAGGGTCTCCTGCTCCGTCTACTTTCACAATTTGTAATTTGACAGGGAAAAATACACTCTTCACATTCAGAACTATTAGGCTGCTCCTTTATTTTCTCATAATTCTTAAAAATGTTGAGCGTTTTTTGACGAGTCTGGAGGAATGTTTTTTGAGTGTAGTCGACGTGTCATATGTTGTAGTTGAGACGAGACATTATTGGGCGGCGTCGCTGGCATGCCCATGTCGATGTCGCCGCGTGGGCCGAGAGGAGACGCAGCTGTCATGATCCTCTATGATCTCTTAGTCAAGAATCAGACTTGACGATAGGACGGACGATGACGAGGATGTTGATGGTGCGGGCTGAGATAATGACAAAAAAGATGATGCCACTCCAACCACGAAGGGAAGTTGCGAAGAAAATTATGAAAGGACTTGGACTAGGTCGATGGCCTTGAGCTTAGTAAAACGATAGAAAGTAAGCCACTTTTTAGAAAGCTACACTGTATCTGTAAGAGCAAGAACAGCAATCCATAAGTTGTGTACACCACCAGAAATGGAGGTCTATCGCTTGTTTGTTTTGTTAATGGTGATGACCGATCATCTCTTGGAATGATCATAAAACACCATACTGTCATCTCTCACAAGAATTATGCTCAGGATTTTCTAAGTACTTAAGTACAACTTACTTCACACCTCCTTCATCTTTGACGGGCCCTCTTCCCTATCCATTCTTGTTCTACCGATCATGGATCGAAGGACGAGTCGTCAGATCTTTCCGCGCTCGTGGATCTTTCCTCGATATCCATGACAGAAGTAACGAGGATAGAAACAATGCCAAGCACGAGAGTCAATGGTGGCAGAACAACCTCTACGGCAGCATCCTTTTATTCATCATAGGGCAAGAGCATGATTCATATACATAGAAGTAGTTAAAATGCGCGCAACATCAAAAAAAGCATCAATCCATCCCATTTGGACTCCTCATTGCGGCCCGCAACTGAGTCCCCCGTCGAAGTTTGAAATGAAAGAAATTTAAGTTCTTGTAGTCCCGTCTCAACATGATAGATAGTGGCAAATGTTCTGAAAAGGCATGATGTCATAACGATTAGTTGTAATATTAAGAGTGCGTGCGAAAAATAATAAGATCATGTTAACATTTGTATCCTCCTTTGTATGCAACCTCCACCTCATTTAAAATTTAGAAGAATCACAATCCAGATCGTTCGAAACATGATAAAATATAGTAAATTTGACGAAGACAATCCGTATCTCCCCTTAGATCGTCGATTTAGGTAAGCTACTAATTCACCTCCTGTCAGTCTTAGTCAAATTTATCTAAATGAAGAATGCGCGGTCGGTTTGAAACCATCAAAAAATGCGCGTTTGCGTTAGAGGAGATCACCGTAAGTCTTGGTGGAGGCATCGACCTGGGTAACCTGCGTCTTCTTGAGCTCCATAAGGCTTCTTGATCACCATTTGGAACAACGCCGTGCACCATCAATACATCTCAACATACAGGCGTCGTGGTTACTGAAATACTCATATTAAGTCGTTTTTTCATCTTGCGCTTGGTGTTGCAGATCATGGCAACTATTTTCATTAACCTTAATGCCATCCCGACCGCCGCGCATCTTCTAGATTCATCCTGTGTGCTGACGTTGACAGTCATCTACTTTGTCAACTTTCAACTCTTGGCCTTTCATCGTTCTTGGTTTTTAATTTCCTCTCATGATCATCTTGTTGACAGAGCTAAATTTAAAGAACTAAAAACTCGCTTCTTCTGCATAGTGCGTGGATATAAGATGAAGATGAAAGTATAAGTAGAAGTAACGTATTTTGAGGTACTTACATTTTTACATGATCATGAAGACCAGACCAACTTTTTCATCTTCCTATGAATGATATAGAATTAGGATAGAAAAAGTTTAGTTCTTGATTTTCATCTTATCCTGGAATACGCTGAGTATTCTGAGAACAATGGTGACTGCTTGCGTGTTCTCCGGCAACGCGGCGTAGTCTCCGGTGTATCGCTGTGAGACGCACTTCTTTCCGGTTTCGCACCGGATCCCATTGATGGTGATTTCCAGCTCAATACCTCGTCCAAGCTCTACCATGTTCCCGGTCATTACCTGCAGACAGCATCCCTTGCGCTCGCTGCCCTTACGCCCAGACGGAAGAAAACTCAGTTGCACCTGCATGAATGTTGATGTTGAGTAGAGAAATTGATGTTATTCATACCAGGACGGTTACTTCGGAAAGGAGGAGGACGAGGAACATCTTGATCTTGTTCTATCTAAGTATCTAACAAGAATAGCATCTTCTAAGCACTAATGTACTTGCAGTAAAAACCATGACTGACTATCCAACTCTGAAAGAATGTGTTTTTTTTAGATAAAACAATTAAGATTATGATCAAATGCTAAGTTTTGAAGTACGTTTTCCACTTCAGCAATGGCGAAATGTGGTGACAGGACTGCGAAATCCTGCGGTGACTGCTTCAATTCCGACCAGTTCTCCTCGATTCTCCAGGATAATTCGCTAAAAAGCTCTCCCGTAATTGGATCAGCGGTCGCTTTTACCTGTTATCATATTGTTGGAAGGGATTAAAGTTGAAGGAAAATAACCGGTTATTTTTCTTGATGTGCTTGTATAGAATGAAGTCATGATCCGTAGTTTATTGTTTTGAACTTGAAGTCAGGTAGTTCATAGACAATGTAAAAAATGAAGTCATTGCCATTGGTTTGTTTCCTTCCGTCAGGTTAGAAGACAGACCCTTAAGACTCTTACTGGAGGGTGTAGTTGTTGATTGCTCTCCTGTAGTTGATAGCTCTTGCTCCTGATCCTGTGGGAAGAGGAGAATCTAGTAAATAGCATTGACATGCTCGTTGTCGACGTCCAACAAGTAACATTAAATTAGATATTTTTTATACTATATAATCTACGCATACAAGAAATATTAATGGCTTTCAAGAATGGACTTACCTGTAGTTGCTTGGCGTCGCGGTCCTCCAAGAGCTTGGGTCGCGTAGCCTCCAATGATGGTGGGAAAAAGGATTCGGCTTTCGCATTCAGCGGTTTCAGAGGCCATGCGCGCTCCACTACCGTTCGCTCCTCTGGCTTCTTCTCCGGGTTCTCGACCTTCGTGGGTGTCGAATTCAAGCTGTTGGGAGCGGTGGTAGTCTGGCTGCTGGGTGAAGTAGCTGTCGCGGCCGCGGCCGGCTTCTTGCTCGCTGGTGAAGGCTCCTGTCCTGCTACTGATTGCGAGCGGGCCGTTTTTCTGTCGCTGCCGGAGGTCTTCGAAGTAGCGGAAGCTGCCGCAATCTTCTCTGCCCATGTTGGCTCTTGCTGCTGCTTGTTGTCTCCACCTGTAGTCTTTTTAGCGTCTCCGTCTTCTTCAGCCGCTGCTCCCGTAGCTGCAGCCGCATCTGGCGCGACGACCTTGCGCGAAGACGAGGATGCTTCGCCTGTCTTGGAACTACTGTCGTTTTGCTTGGCTTCCACCTGGATGGTCTGCTCCTGCTTAGCGGAGGAAGAGGACGTCGTAGCAGCCTGCGCCGGCACGACCGGCACCTCGCCAGCCAGACTATAGGGTGGTACGTAACCGTGATCTCCGCCAAGAGTGCCGACGTTGGCCATCTCAGGATTAGCCAACATAACCTCCAGCTGGCCCAACTGCTGAGCCCGCCACTCGTCCATGGCTGCTGCCACATCAATAGTCATATGCGGAGGCGGATCGAACCAAACCGCACCGACCTAAGAGCAAGAGCAAGTATTAAGCAAAAGTAACGATTGTCGTTGAACGAAGATGTTGATGTCTAGTACATATTCACTAGTATGACTTTACATAATAGATCCGATCACAGATAACAAGAACTAGTGTTTCTAGAGATAAAGGTGAATACCGGAGGCTTGCGTGTCCAGATACTCTCCTTTCCATCCTCGGTCCTCCACACAATGCGATCTGCAGTAGACATCTGCTTGCAGAAGTAGCCATTTCCGCATTGCCAGCACTTTTTGAATCCACGTGGCGCCATCTTGCGAGCGATAGTGAACCTAGTAATAATGTGAGTGGACAACTAAAAAATGATGTGAGTGGACAACTAGGCGGTGATTAATCAATGGACAAGAAGACCTAGTGAACCTAGTAATAATAGAGGAGATACGTAAAATTTAAGTGTTTTTGGAGGTCGAGGAGAAGTTCCTTCGGATTGATGATGGTTGATGTACTCGTTGTAGGTGTTATTTTCAAATCTTCAATGGAGGACCAGTATGATCTCTACTGTATCTTCGCCTAGATCAACATCTTCCTCTAGTACAATCTTCTACTTCATCCCAATGACTCAACGACCTTTCGTTAAATTAAAGGTTGAAAGAACATTTCATTTCTTAGTAGCAATCTCAAGTAGAGAAGGCTTGTAAAAATGAAATGTTTCAACCCTTATATAGAAGTGAGAGAGTTGTCCGTCGTCAACCCTTATAATTAAATACCGTTTGTCCGGAACGCCTTGCTTGCTCAAGTGAGCGTGGAAGGTGGAATCAGTCTGCAGACCGGTGGTCGCGGAGACTCTTGCCGGGACCTCAAAAACAGCCACGTCGTGACCCAGTGTGTCCGTGAAATCGCCGACGAAATGCACCGCCTCCCAGCGGTTTGCTTCCTCGCAGCCATTACCCAGCTGCGCCGGAGAGCCTGGAGCTTGAGCACCAGCACCCAAAACGGGGTTATGAAGAGGCGAAGCAGACTGGTTTTCGGTGCCCTTGCCGTTGTTCCATGATTGGGCTTGCTCCTTGGCGTTCCAATAGTTCCACTGTTGCCACTCGGCAGATTTTGCTCCCTTCTGGTACGGACTTCCCTTGCCAGCGCCCTTTGCGCCTTTGGACGCTCCATTCTTTCCCTTTCCTCCACCTTTCGCTGGTTGGGCAGCAGCGTCACCTGCCTCTTGTGCCTCGACGCTCTTGGCGGCCGCGCCTTTATTGCCCTGATTATCCTTCTTCCCACCAGCATCAGGTTTCTTCTTCTTCTTGTTGGCCTTCTTAGTCGAAGCAACGGCAGGGTCCTTCGTTTCCGAAGTTTTTGCAGTAGCACCTTCTTGCTTAGATCCCTGCTCCTCTCCAGTGGAGGCAGCCGCAGCTGCCTTCTTCTTGCGCTTATTCTTGGACTTCGAAGCACCACCTGCAGCAGCACCAGCAGCTTCTACATCCTTCGAGGTGGAAGATGCGGCAGCACCATCCTTGTTATCGGTTTTTTTGGTGTCCACCTCTGCTGCCTTTGCGTCAGGAGTGGTAGAGGTGGTGGCCTTCTTTTCCTCTACCACAGCAGGAGCCTTAGCAGCGTTATTCTCCTCCTTTGCCGGAACAGCGGCTTTGACCTCCACAGGGATTTCCTGTTGACCTTCTACTGCCATCTTCGCAACGAAAGACTGGAAAAAAAACCGACTTACGACTCTTAGTCTTATAAATATTATGGATATGCTGAAATAAAACTAGAAAAGTTCTAGGGACGATAAAAAAACACAACTACAAATACGACGACTTACTCGATGAATCTCAAATTCAAAGATCATTCAACCTCGACAGCGTCTTAAAACTAGTACTGTCTCAGAGGAATAAAATATCACAAGCTTTTCTTAAACAGAAGTTCCTTAATGTTATAAATGGAGATGCAATTATTTCAGAGAGTTGCTTTCCTTAACAATGTCTCTTAAATACGCGACGGAGTCGTGGTCTTTTATGGTACACCCACCTGCTGTTTGAGTAAAGTTGATTTAGATTTTTTGAGCAAAGAACTGATAAGTGTTGTCCTCACAACCTTGATAGATCTTGATATGTAAGTAGGTGGAGGCACTTGCAACTTAAGTTGTAATGCTGCAAACTCTAGAAACTCTATTAGAAACTCAAGGCAGAGATTAAGATACGGCGGAGAAGAAGAAGATGACCTTGTTGATGACAACAATAACATTGAGAGGTTGATAGAGAGACCTTATCAATAGCCATTTCGCGATCTTGTTAGAATGTCTACAATCGACAAGCTTGCTGGGATTTGATGTCCACCACGATCGCGGGATAGAAGATGACCAGAATTTGATCTTTTGAATTGTCACGTACTCATCTTGATGCCATGTTGATGCACCCGAATGTGATCGATCTAAAAAGTTGTACTTAAGATGATCTTGAATTACATCCGCTTGAAGATCCACATCATTTCAATCGATCCCACTTGAATATGTTGGTGGATACGTGAACTTATCTACTTGCATGTTATGGATATGAGCCTCTACTGTCTTGAAAGTTCTCTGATCTTTCTTACTTATCTTCGTTATATTTCACAATAGAGTTGAATCTCAAACATTGATTCACAGAGAAGTTTTGGTGATTTGTGATTTTCCACCAGTAGAATGCGAACAAACCTCTTCTTTATCGTGGTCGTCAACATCAACATTTATTATGATGACGAAAATAGAGAAGAGACACCAGCAACGATGACATCGTGCTGCTTAGTAAATAGATCATCTGCGACGTGCATTTTGTGGTCTAAGACTAACATCCTCCAAGCAGGTACCGGTGGAGGGAGCTACATCCTCCTTTTAAGACACGGCTTACGCTTGTTGTGAAGCATATGACATGAAAGGAAGCAAGGTAGGCTAGGTGGTCAACAACAACCAAGATCATGATAGAAATTTCGAGGAACAAGCCTGCGTTGACTTAGAGGCGTAGACAAGGATGGGGTAGAGAAATGGGGGTAAACGCAAAGCAGCTCCTCAAAATATCGTGGCGTGTTGATCATGACATTTATTCAAAGAAAGAGGGAAATGCACTGCCCTGCGTCTGCGACCGCCGGGGGAGGTAAACAAGGGCGCGTGACATTTCAACTTCTGACATACTTACGTCGTGAAGCGGTATGAAGCGGTGGACGTATGCCCACTGCAACTCATCTTTATATATCCACATTTTGTTGTTCCATGGTCACGTATGTTCTCTTCTTGGTCTATGGTCACGCTTGTTCCATGGTCACGTATGTTCCACCATGTAGCTATGCCTATCTTCCTCTTTTTGGTGGTCCTCTGTTGCGTAGTACGTAATGTGGCGCGTGGTCCTACGAAGTCGTCGCACTGAAACTAATAGAATGCGAATTTCATTCTACGCATATTTTTTGTTGCGGCAGTCTGAACAGCAATTGATTCTGGAAAAGAAAATTATAGATACTCTGAGTCCTCCTCGTCCGTGACAAGTAAAAGTATACCTACTTCACCTGTCAAAAATGATAGCCACTTTTTTTCGTCTTTTGTGATCTTGTTGTACGATTCTTATGGTCCTCTAGAACATACTAGGGACGCCTTGTTCCTTCGCAATTTGTTCGACGTACTGGTAAGTCATATTCACAGCAAGCAGCATGCCCGTGCCCGACCCAACGCAACCGACCAGGTCAGCCAAGATCGTCAATACCGCAGAAATTAGAAGAAGAGTAGCCGCCAGTGGCCGCCAGAAGTACTTATCAAAAAGTGATCAAAGGGTGCTGGAGGAGTAATTACGAAAGGCGCATAGATGTTGAAGATGATATAGAATCTAGTCTATGTCTAACAGTGTAGCCCACTCGTGCAATAAAAACAAGTAGTGTACCTACGAACATTCGAGTCGTGAAACACTCACCAACCTAACCTTTTTTATCCATGTATTTACAACGTATCTTCTGTGTATGTTTGACGCGAAAAAGTGTGCTCATACTCAACAAAAGAGGCTTTTTCCTACTTAGAAAGTGCCTACTTTCTTGAGGATGAGTACACTTTTTCGCTTCATAGTATGTAAATAATGTTCATGTTTTCATAAGATCAAGGCACCACCGAGTCTCGCTGCCGGTGGAATGTACTTCCGCAGAACTGGCTCCAAAGCCTCTGACCGATGGCCAACAAAGACTAGCTGTTGCATTCTCAATCGCTTCGCTACATCCCGCGGTGCCTCGCCGGAAACTGACGTGGAAAATCAACAAAAGTAAACGTGGTCATCAAATGATCTTCATCATGATCAAACAAGTACAACTCACAGACAGATATGTAAATTATCATGAAGCAGAAGAAGATACATATTTAGGGTAAGAACAAGAAGGAACAACGAAAAAAACAAATTTAACCTACGTTGGAGGACAGCACTTCTAGGTAAAAAGAATTAGAACTAGGCAGTCACTTCTTTCCGAAGCCAAACAAAAAGAAATTAATCACTACTATCAATCCACAAGTTGCTCAACACTGCGCAGGAGACGATGACAAGGGAGCAGTAGACGACCGACCGGAACGGATCGAGGAGGAAGTCAAGCAGGCCCGTTGGTGGTGAAATCTTAGAAGAGATCGTATAGTAATTCGCTTGAAAACGATCATCTTGATTAGGATGAACTACTTGAACAACATCAGCGTCAGCGAGCAAAATAAAAATCATATCTCTCTGGCTGCTAAGTAATTTTTAGTAGAACAAAAACTTCTAGTACAATTCATTATGAACGAGGACCCACCTGCGACTCGTGCTACTAACTGGTAAGCGTATAAGAGAAGAGACGGGAAATACGAGAAGTGATTAAAACCCATTTGCTAGAATGGCCACTTTGTGCTATACGGAACTACAGCTCGCAGCTGTATGATAGCTGCACGTAAGCCTAGAGTAATTACAAGAACTACTAATTTCTCTATAGTACTTCTAATTTCTCTATACAGCACAGTACTAAGTAAGAGTATCACAATGAAAAAATTCTTAATATTAAATCTATAACCGGTTCTAGTTAGTACTAGTAGCATAAACAGGTAGTAAGCGAGGCCGCCGACCGGAATTTTCTCGCCAACATAGTCCACCTCTTGCCACTGGCCCAACATGTTCACCAGGAAGTTGTTCCTGAACCGCTTAAAAACCAACTGACTAAAAAAGTACACGTTTGAGACCTGGAGGAATCAGGAAGATGATCAAGGTTCATAGTGCTGTTCATTTTGATGTCTTTGATGTCGCAGTTCGGACGGTCTTATCATGATGTTGTATTAATAGTTGAGGAATTATAGACGTGGTGGAAAATCTTCTTTTGAACTGACAACAGCATGCCATGTCGTGTGCATCTCTGCTGAGTAAAAAAACTTGTACATATGATTCAAAATTTACCAGTGCCGAATGCAATATGATGGGCATGTTTGAGGTGTAGAAGACTCGAATCGGGTAGCTTCCGGTCTGTCCTCGCACCCTCTGGGATTTGACTGCGAGGTCCACTCTGAATCCCTGGAAATACACCACGATGACAAAGACAACGACAGTCGCGATTATATTCGTCAAGTTTGCGCCATAACTTAGAAATTGTGCATGCGACATGGACTACAACATATTTTTATTACGTAGTTCAGAAGCAAAACATCGTCCCTGGTGCCTTCTGATCTAGCAGAAGTACTTCTAGTACGTACTTGAAAAGTAAGGCCAAGGATGTAGCTTTAGTTGAGAATGCTTTACTTTAGTCGTACTTGAAAAAAGTAGAGGCCAAGAATGATGTTTTCACATACTAAGTGGAGAAAACCAAGAATTTAAGAATGTGATCACCTCCCATAAATAAGGCCTATACACAGCTTCAGTCAGAGCAGACAGCTTGTTGTTTGACCACAACAACTGGTGAAAGAAGCTCGTTATTGCTCCCTCGTATACGGAGCCGTTTGCTGTTTTGTGCATTAAATCGTGAAGCAGATGGTCATGGTCATGGTCATGAGTGTTGTAAGTGTATATAGTATTGTTCTTGCGATGTTACGTACTCGAGAAAAAGATTGGACTTGTTCGTTGATGTAATTTCATCGATGGGAATTTCAACGTCATTTCATATTCATTCTTATTTGTTTATCTTCGACCAGGGAAGATGAAGGAGTAAATACATGATCTTATTTGACGAAAAGCAAGACTAACGACCGTTTTAAAGCCAGAGGAGTGTAGAAACAAAAAACTAGTACGTGTTGTGATCGACTTCAGCGAAAACGCTTTCCACATTATGGTTTCGCAGATGGACGCAGTGATGAAGAGAGAGATGCCGCTTCCAATACCCCAGCCCTTATATATGTTGACAAGGTTGATGGTATGAATATCACCAGAACTATGTTAGTCGAAGTTTCTGGTTCATTAAGAAGATCCGAGGCATGCATGCTGTACATTAAATATAAAGAGCGGAGTCGGCTACGTTGTCCAGCTCGTCTTTTCCACTTCTCAGAAGTGCTACCCAGCTCCCAACCGAGGATGGAAACAGAAGAGAGCAGCACCGCCTTCACGTGCTTGCATGCTGCCCCCGCCCTGCCCCTGGGGTTGCATGCCAAGCCAGCGGCTTGCTCGCAGTTGACTAACGGCGAGTCTGTTTGTCAGCGCTTTGTGCCAGTGCGTGGCGCACATCCTCCGCCACCACCTCAGGCGTGAGATTGGTGGCTGGGCCCTATTTGCTGGGCCTGAGTCAGCCCGCTTAGCCGTGTGGTGCTGGCTGCCCTTTTCTCTCGTGGTGCTTCGGGCTGCCCTTTTTGTAATGCTGGCTGCAGTTGCTCAACAGCTTGCCCCCTTTATGCCTTAGGCTGCGCCGCCGCCGGTCCTCTTTGAATCGAGTGCCGCCGCATACTGCTGGAAACCTAACAGAGCAAGCGCGAGGCAGCCCCGGCGTGGTTCCTTCCGTGTTCCCAAGCCTCACAGCATAGGCCAGCCGGCCTCACACGGTCGACGCGCGCGGTCTATAGACAAAGCGCGGGAAGCTTGCGAGGATACCGAGGCAGAGAGGCGGCGCGCTTATTTCTTGGGCAGGCATCCCAGCCGCTAGGCCGGCGGCTGCAGGGCCTGGGTTGTGGATTGCGACGAAGGCGCGCCCGATGTAGCTTCTATTGCTACCCTAGTGAACTCCCCGCAAAAACAGCGGCGGCGCTGCGGGGTGCCAAAGTGCATGGACCACCCTACGGAACTCATTGCCATCCCAGGCTTGCTCTTCGGCGAGTATTTTGGCCAACTCCGTGAGGGCTGCCCATTTTGCGGCCGCCCCCCATAGTCATACGCGAGGACCTGCCTCAAGTGCGTGGGGGCCTTCCTGCTGCTGCTGCTGCTGCTGGGCCCAATATTTTCTCAGCGGGAACCTTCGGCCGGGTGCTGCGAGCTCCAACCGTGCTGCCGCATTTCCTGGGCCGACGACGTGGACGAAGCTACCACAGAGAGAGGGAATTCCCTCAGAAGGCGCAGGCGGCCGCAACAGAAACACACGCGGGGGCTGCTGTATGCGGCTACGCACTTCGCCGCAAAGAGGGCCGCGACCTCTTCAGCCACTCCCACGGGGGGACATCCGAAAAGCCCGGCCCGCTGCTTTCCGTCTCCGTCTCCATGCTCTCCGCCTCGATTCGGCTCTGCGCTGTGGGGGCGTGTGGCGCTGGTCTATTTGTCTGCTTTGCCTCGTAAGCACGTGGGCCGCCTTGCGTTTGTATATTTGAAGAAAACCAGCAAATTCTTCAAGTCTGGCAATAGAAAACAGAAACCAAAATAAAGCAAACACTTCTGAGATAGTACTTAATGTGAGTACCTTTTGCAGCAATTCGTCAAGGTAGACGACGACAAAGCCCATAAATGTGAGCTGTGCAACCAAAGCCATGCAAATGGGTCCGCCTAGCTCTGCTGGGTCGCCGTACATGCCGCTAGAGACAAAGCACAGTGCTTGAATAAAGGTAAACCCGACGCCGCACACTTTCTGCGCCGCCTCGTATACTACGCGATCTTCCTTCAAATTCTGGTCCACGTCCACGATTCTGCTACCTGCTAGAAACTGCAGGACCGTGGATGTGGTCACGATTGGCGCAATACCCAACTCCATCAAACTACCGCGATTTGCTGCTAATATCGCGCGCATCCAGTAAAATGGATCATTCTTGTTACCGCCAAGAATGCCGTACAATGGGATCCTGCAGTGATTGTGCAGAGGAAGGACACATAGACATCTTCATAAGGAGGAGCATTTTGTTCTATTTTCAGTCTTCAAGATATTTGTTTTATTCCTAGCTTGTGGTTCTAAAACAACAAGTTGCATCTTTCTAGTACTGTTAGCACAAGCATCCAATACATTCAAGAGCACAATTAGTAGTCGTACTGAGAAGCCACAAGGAAGCAGAGTAGCGTCAGTATCGTGTATAGCGCTTTCTCTTGAAAGAGTATTTTCCGGTCTGGCGGAGCAATGTCTGGTATGTATGGGAGTAGTGGCTTAATATAATGACTCAGCTTCAGGCGCCTCCCACCTGCAAAATTCGCGGCTGCGGCCATTGACGCCATCTTGCTGGAGTTTGCTGAAGCCTGCTCGTTACCGCAAACCACAAGATAAGTAACTGGTTCTTTCAGGAAGAACGAAGATGGAAGGGAGCGGGTGCAGTGCTCGTATGTACTCCCGGTGCACCAATATTACCAGGATCTATCCGCCTGTACCAATGGGAACCAAGCGGGGCAGGTATCCCAAGGGACGAGAGAGGACAAGTTCTTAGTCAGTTGTGATGCAAAACAGATAAAAAGAGGGAGGTATGCAAGTGGTGAAGATTTGATGTGCAGAGGGACAAAAGAACGAGAGGACGCGAGAACTGGGCCCGCCCAGCAGTATTGATTGAAAAAATCGTAGCTGCTCAAATGTGGTCAGAAGAAAATGAATCATCCAACTGTTGTCACACGACTTGGTTAGTATAGAAGGAAATATGCAGCTGAGCTGCCGACCACCTGCCTGTCGTCGATTTATTGTTTGGGAAAGAGTAGACGATATTATACTACTTTCAATTAGTAGAGAGTTGTAGTTAGAGTTTCCAATTTTTACATGTGAAGTTCGATGAAGAAAACAGATTGCATCGTGGAAAAGTGTATCCTTCTTGGTGTGCTTTGGGCTAGAATCCAGATTGATTCGCAACCCCACGATGATCGGCCTTTTGCGCATTAGCGAAGGAGACAGAGAATTTGAACTCGTAGAGGACGCTGGACAAAAATGACCTTCTGGAACAGCAGGAGGAACGTAGGATTCATTTTCGGAAAAAAGCTGGATCAACTACTCTTCGTAGTACTTGCAAGAAGGGACTGATGCTGCACCTGCACGTCGTTCTATGAACGAACAGCAGCAAGATATAGTACAAGTTGGAAGAAAGAATAATTTTCATTTTGTTAGTGAACATTCTTGTCAGGCGTTGCGTTTCTGAAAGAGCCACAGAAACGGCATATATCTTCATGGAACACCAGTTGTAGAACACTGCAAACGAATTACATCATTGCGATATCATGCACAACAAGCACGCAGAAAGAGCCCTCACGCACTAAATTCTTGACGAGCAGCTGCAAGATAATATTTATAAAGATTAAGGTGATTCAAAAGTCGGATGAGGCACCAGCGCCGAGACCCCACAGATGCCCCTCGGGCGTACACACGACTACTTGGCGAGTAGCCGGCGCGGGGTTTGAGAGGTGAAACGTATGCTCATGTGATGAAGCACCATTTATTCCATTCAATATTTTTGTCGAAGGTGTACTATTTGACATTTGATTCGTGAGTCTTGCGAGGTCCCACTTCCGTGTGCTCTGGCTCTCAACGATGTCGTACAGTAGAAGCTCACTCCCACAGGCCACGAGTGATGCGGAATCGCTACTCGTATCAACCATAACCATATTTTGCAGCTTAACACCTCCAAGCTGGTCAACCGCGCCAGCCGGAAGCGCGAAAGCTTAGAGAAGTTTATCCAGTTTCTAGTTGTTTGTTCCTCTCACTCGGGCAGAAAACTGATACTTACTTATGGCTATGTCTAGTACCATATTTTTAGCAGGGATGAACGTCACTTATAATGCTTCCAACCCTGAGACTATACTAGAACTACGTACAGCCGTAAGCTGTGTGTTGGTGAGTGGCACCAGCAACGATGGTGCTTCGTAGGACCTCAGTTTCTTTTCGAACGTCCCATACTCGGAAGTTACCAGCTCGATCCACAGCCGCTAGTTGCCTGTCCGCGACGACCCCAGGACCCAAAAACAGGGACACGACACTGGTACTCGTGGGAGAAGTATTAGAAGTTTTAAGGCTACCACCTATAGTTGTTCACTATCCCTGGCTGAGGCTGAGAGTGACTTGCCTTCTTGTTTCCTCTTAGATTTTCCTGGATTTGCTTCTAAGCAGAGGAATCCACTCAGCATAGAAGTTCACATGGAAGTGTACCCAGTGCTTCGATTTCGAATCTATTCGGCAGCTTGCCTAAGATGAGATAGATGTGAACTCTAGCCTTAAAAGAAGCACCTCCGTCGAAAGCAGTTGCTTGAGCTGGTGTCGCCGTCCCAGCTGAAGACACTTGTCGCTCAAAGAAGAGAGTATACTCGTGCTGTGCCCGCGCGTCAAACAGACAGACTTTCCCCGTCACTGTGCCGCAAGCGATCTGGCTTATCCGATGGTTAGAGGAGCACTTGTTCACTTCCTGCATCTTTAATTATCTAGTTTCATAGAAAAGCAAGGTCACGACTCTCTTAGAATTTCAAAGCCAGAACTGCGAAAAAGACACTATCGCTGCAGGGTTAGAAAAAAGTTCCAATTTCACATTAACTATCCTGAGGAAATAACTTATAAATAAATCCATGCTAGCCGTAACATCTGCTGCCACCGCACTTATGGGTTCGTCTGGCTCATCAAAAGTGGATAAAAGCTGCACGCAAGAATTGGTCACCTCCATTACGGCAACCGTTTGGTCAATCGACCCAGATACAATGCGCACCTGGCGCTGATGTTGTTGAGAAGCTTAGAGGAAGGTGGAATGAAGATGAATATCAACTTCTACGAACAACCAGAAGTAGACCGTTGTAATAGATTGATTGATCTATAACAAAGAAGTGTTGAATGAGAATTGGAATATTAAAGAGAACCAAGATGATCCAAAAATCAGAAATCCAATCGTAAGCTGAGGCAGTGCCATTTCCGCTGGCGTCTGGGTCGCCGGTCGCGAGACACGTAATGGTGTCAGCATGTGAAGTACGATTCCGATCCAATACGCAACCTGACTTCGTATTGAATAACGACAGCACGTTGTCGCAGCCACCAAGCAGGACAAGATCATCGGACAGGAGCGCGAGTGTTTCTGACTTAGAGGTTGTAGTGGTCGAGATCCTCGAGGTATAGCGCTCTAGAAAGCACACAACAATTATTTGTTCTAGCAGACACATCTGAACAACATGCGAAACTCTCAACACGAGCTTCCACGACTCCTGTGAGTAATTTGTAAAAATATTAAAAATTCAGAACCACACTTGCTAAACATTATCACTAGTGAATTTCTGGTCTTAATTAGTGGCACTGGTGACACGTGGTAACCGCGAACTACGCCAGTTTGGAGGTTAGCGCTCCGCAAACACCCGTCATCGCCGACCGCATAGACATACCTGTCGCTATGCACAAGCTCATTCACAGCGGAAGGAAAGAGAACTTAGAAGAATGTCAGGTGCTTGTATTTGTAAGAGTAAGTGTTAGTGTATCCTAATCGTACTTTAAATGGCGGGCTTGCTGGTGTTCTCCGATAGTTACATTACAGCTTCAGTTATGACGAAGAATAATCAAGTACTGATAGTACAATGGCTGTCATGCTGTTCTCACACTGCGAAAAATAATCTACCGTTGTTCAAGTACTGACAGAGACAGTAATAGCATCATAACGATCTGCCACCAGTCTCTGGAATTCTCGTTTCCTTAGGTCTTTGCCTGTCAAAAGCGGTTTTGTTTTGTGTGGTGCTCCTACGTGGAGGTCTGACGACATTTTATTGTGATTGTGTTTCGATGTAGTTTCGGCTGCCCCTGCCGCGGCTGAGGAGTGAAGGCGTGCCAGTGGTGCTGCTTGCCCGTGTCGCCCTCGCTGAGAGATACCTTCGTCGCCGGCGCTAGCAGGAGTACTACCTGTGCGGCCTCCAAGCAGCAGATCTAAGTCATCGCCTTGGCGATTACTTCCCATTCCACCTCCTGGGTAGTTAGACGAGTTGTTATTTGACCCAGCGAAAGAGGATGATGATGCTGATGACGAAGGTCCACTACCTGCTAGCCCTCCGTGCTGCTCTCCACCAAGACCGCGGCCTCCTGACCTATTATTATCATTGATACTTTTAGTATCTTCAGATAAGTCTAAGAAGTGCTGTTGTTTTTGCTCCTCCTGCGCGTGTTGGCGCGATGCTTGCTCGTCCTGTCGCTCAAGGTCCGCAACTGCCACATACCATGGCGCGTTTTGAACTGGGTCATTTTTTAGCCTATCGAATTCCCAAGGAACGAATTTTAGCTTTGGTGGATGGGCCTCCGCAAAAAGCTGGAAAGGAACTCTTCCAAACTCTTCGACTTGCGTTTCCAGCACTGACACGTCCAAATCCCTATACGAACCGTGCGAGAAGGCATCGTGCTCGTGCGAATTGTAGTGAGCAGCAGAAGTTCCGGGGGCGTTAGAAGCTTGGGCCTCAAACACTGCTAGTGCTACGTTGTATCTATCAAGAACATTCAACTCTAATGGAATCGCACCCTCGTGTAGTTTGGCTTGTTTGCCCGTACAAATAAAACCTAACACAGTTGTAAAAGGATCCCGTTACTGTAAGACTACCTTACAACGCCATTAACTAAGATGAAGACGAGCGATAGCCTTAACAGAGTGGTCGACGTGGCTGGCCGAAGACGGGGTGCTGTTACCACCAAGAAGGGTGTTGCGCATATCGCTCATACCTGCCAGGGTTCCAGATACGTTGCCCAACAACGAACCAGCACCAAGGAGGCCTCCAAACAGCTGCGAACCAGCAGAACTTTGTTGTGAAGTCACCTAAGGAAATCAGAGATCGTGGGATGGAAGCCACCAGGGGAATGAAGTTACTTATGTGGACGTGTGTAGGAGATGGAAAACGATAACGAAAAAGTTCAGAGATGACAAGGAACAAGACAAGAACGTCACTTTGTTTGAAAGAAAACGACCGGATAGTTTGAGATGGAATGGAAGAAGGAAAACGCCGGAGTAGAGCGTGACAAAAATCGGTGTAGTAACAGGACTACATCTCCGCCAGCAGTTCCGTTTCTCATCCCTGCCGCACGACCCGCGTCTTCGCGCGCGGTCAAATAACAGACCGGGTGAAACAAGTTGTCGGCTCTGTCTGCGTTCTCTCCGCGACTCAAGTGGCCGAAAATTAGGTCGATCCACTGCGGTAACCTCTGCGAAACGTACTCGGACTCAAGTGCTGCTCGCTGATATAGCAGAAACGTTTCTACCGAACCCTCAGCCCATGGCGGCAAGATAACGTCCTGCAAAGACAGCCCATCCTGGTAAGCCAAGAAAGGGAGAGGACGATTAAGGTACTTAGAAGTCGATTGAAAAAATGCCAAACTACGCGCTCAGATCCTACTCGTATACTTACGTAATTTAGAGTATTGACATCATAGATACATTCATAGCATGAAAACGTATACGTATCTAAAGCGGAATCCTAAGATATCAATACTTATACCTGCGTGATAATCCCAAGAAAATTCTTGAGCCAACAGTTATCGCAGTCTGGAGGCAGGAGAAAAAATTCAGGTATGAGCTCCATGAGCACTGCTGTGCCGTCTTGCGTCGCGCGGTGCGTTGTCTCCACACTATGAAACAACCTGTTCCAGCTATCGAAACTTCCACTGTGCAATCGCAGCATACACTCTGGCAGTTTCCTAACGAGGAAATAAAGCAGAATGTTAGACAATGCATGTCATGGATATGATGAGGCAGTCCTTATTTTTGTCATTAGGTATGAGTATGTTGAGTTTTCAAACATACTTTTTTGTGAAGGAATCATTGTTCTTTTCATCATCAAATCCGACTTTTGATTTCCATCATGTGTATGCAAGAGACTGGGGGATGCCACGAAAGCGCATCTTCCATGTGGCTCGTCTATCTTCAAACAGTGACTTGCCTTAACATACGCCGGCGTTGAGTAGTGTGTGCCGTAGAGAAAGCGTTCTTCTCTAGGCATCTCCCGCATTCTCTCCCGAAACTGTTGTAGTCGCTGGGCGTTCAGCGCACCCAAAGGCCGCGAGAGGTCTCGGAAAACACGCGTTTTTGAAGAAGCGACTGCAGTCGAAGAGCTGCCCCCGTCATTTTCCTCAGAATCGGCTGTACCAGAAGTGTTGCCGAGGTCTAATTTCAGGGACTGGAAATCTTGAAGTACCCAAGGGAAAATAGGGTACTGGCTGAAGTCGTTAACACTTCGTCCTCCTGCGCAATTCAGGAAGTCCAAGTAGTGGAAATTGGATAATTTTCCTGACTGCCAGAGGTTGGTCATGCGCTGAACCTCCGTTTTCGAGGATATGGATTGCTCTGAACTTCCACGTGATGAAGAACCTGAACTTCCTCCGAAAGTAGAAAAGCCGGGAGTAGCGGAAGAGCTCCCACCTCCACCTGCTCTGGTAAAATTGTTCGTACTTGAGGATGTACCTCCAGTTGCAGAAAGTCCACCAGAAGTAGTCGTGCTGGTTGTACCATTGGTATAATTGCCTGTTATTCTATGACTCCCACCCTTCGTGCCAGATGCAGAACCGGAGCTTGGATTGTGATGGGTGATAATCTTTTCGACCGCTTGAGCTACACGATTCCTAGTTGCCTGGTCCTCGAACGCAAGGAACAAGCTACCACTATCGCTCAGCACGCCACGGTCGGAAAATGCTACGGCAACAACCTCCAAACCACAGTCGCTTAGCTTCACGACACGTTTGAACAAATGTCGTATCCGTTCTCGCGGGACTCGATGCATCGGCGTCTGCAGAAAATTTGGCACAGGCTGAAACAGCATTAGAGTGGTCGTGGACAAAACTAATTTCTTTTTCTTCTATGATGGGTTTTTTACTTACTTACAATGTAAAAACCCCTCTGGAACAAGGAGTCCATAAATAGAGCGCTTTTTCGGAGAGCTGCAGGAGTCCTCGATGTCGAAGCATAGGTTTGACTTGATGACACCAGACACCACGCGTCGGCAAGAGAAGTTGTTGACGCTCACGATGATCTAGCCTTGAGATATCGAACGCCACATCCTTGTATAAGGATGCGACAAGCTTCTGTTGCTGCAGTGCTCCGCTGGCCGCCGCGCTAGCACCCTCTACTCTACTTAGGAAATTAGAAGGATTTGAGCACAATTGTACTACATGTCCAGGAAGTAAATGGGTAGACGAACATCGATCTTCCTATCCACGACAAGATGCCGCTGAGGCAGCGCCTGCACGTGCAAGAAGAAGAACTTAATCAGAATTATATGATTTTTTACTAGCGCGCTAGCTTGTCAACATTATAGGCCGCATAACTTGTCCTCTCCCAGTAGCGGTACCCGAAAGTTGCTGTAGCACATTGCGCAGTTCGTCTAAGTTTCCGTACTGCAAGAATATGTGCCATTGCGTATCTTCCTTCTTGGTTGTAACGGCATGCGTGATTCGTGTTTCGTTGTGGAATTGATGCGTACGTATCTTAACGCTAATTTTTCACTATCCGTGGCTGAATGGGTTGCCCTTTTGTTCCCCGTTACTTTCGCCTTGACTTCCAAGGGGAACCCCCTCAGCATAGTCCACACCACGGGAAAGTGATACACTGGCCCTAAGTATCAGCGAAGACTGCGAAAATGTCACCTGAAAAACGCGCTGCCGATCGGCGTCGTGATCTCCTACGGCTGATCCACCGAAGGCTCCTGAGGCGTTGTTCTGCACGTTGTTGGAGTCGCCAGGCCACTGAATATCAGAGACATGTTTCAGTTGAACACGCACCAAGTCCTTGGAGCAGTCGTCGGCTTCAAAGATGAACGATTTCGACGCTAATCGGAGTCGTCCTGGCACATTCCCGATCTTCACACTGTAATCTGCGACATACTCCTCACCCTCGGCAAGCACCAAAGGGTTGAACGAGCGCGATATGTTGAAAAACATCTTTTAGTCTCATTGAATCATGGAAAAGTATAGTTATAGAACGAAATAAGAGTTTATATCAAGAACAGCGCTCTATGTCATTCACGCAGACAGAGAGCGCCAACGTATCCAGAAGTGTTAAGGTGGAAAGAAATGATATTATGGTACTAAGTCTAGGATATGAATGTATATGTAAAATTACCAACTTCTACAAAAAAAGTAAACTATTCCCTGCATGAAGACCGATTCATAGTTTAATCTTGTTCAAAGATGCAACTTCTCCTGCAACTTCGTATTCATGTAGGATCATCTTGGTATGTTGAAAGGCATTACTGACGCTGATCTACTCAGTGCTCTCATTCGTCCTGATACCGATCGCGTGACGCTTACTATGTATTGTACTTCCTCTTGATGTTCTCATGTCACCAAAGGGAAACTACAAGATCAACTAAGAGTGTAGTCTGAATTCCTTTTTTTCATTTTCCTGCAATGAAATCATTACGTACCAAAGATGAAACAGCCTGATCTGTAAGAGTGTGTGAACGCCTTGCCTCACGACGCACGTACACCTCTCGCGCGCTGCGTGCTTTCTTCCATATTTTGATCTTACTTTCTGAATGGCCTGAAATGTAAAGGCCTCAAAAAAAATTGTTATGCCTAAAAAGTACTAACGAGTTCGTGTCGAAGAAACACCTGTAGTTTGGGTAACCTACATTGAGGCCAAGGCGTGGGATGGAGTTTGTTAGGGACGGCGTGGGTGGGGGCAAAGGGAGGGTATATTGCGTAGTCGTGAGTGTAGCCCAATCTCGAAACCACCAAGTACAACAACGACACTCACAATGACCAGCTACAACAAGAGGAGCTGGTGCGCCACGGCAACAAGGTGAGTGAGTTTATCTGGGAAATAAAATGATGAACATGTATTGATAATGATGAACATGTAATGATCGGAATGCTCACACTAACTATCACAACCTCAACATCATCCTTCTTTACACGATTCTTTCAATTTCCGTTGCGTAGTCGATGACATTTCCGAGTGTCTCCATCACGGGAATTCGCTCTGAGCGTGATGTCGAGATCAGTTGCATTTTCTGGCCAACAATTTCCCACTTGCTCCCAGATTCCACGTCGACGTCCTGCATTAGGGAATCGCTCTCCTCACCCACCTTCTTCAAAAACGCGCCAACCTCCGCTGCGCTCTTCATATACAGCATCTTCGATACGCGGTCGACGGCAATCTGGGGAAGGATAATGTTGTACAAGGATAGATTTGATGGAGAACAACAATAATGCAGTTCTTGTTGAGAAATTGAAATTGGAACTCGGAGAAATATGTAAAAAACAAAAATCTCCACCTTGAAAAAGCAGTACAGGAAACTAAAGGTGGATACATATGTAGGAGGGATCTCATTAAGTAAAAAAAAATGAAACAAAACATCCACCGGGCCACGCCAACATTCAATCCCAAATCTATCGAAAGCAAAACATATTATCCTAGAAAATAATCCTGCTTACTGAGCTAGTGCTGCGTTCCAAGCTATCGAGAATCCGTCTTCTCATCGTTTCTTGGAGTTGCTGGAGGAACACTGGATAATGCTCTTGCGCGCTGAATTCAACGACGCTTTCGTTTATCTTCGCATAATTTCCTTCCATCAGATACCGCTGAGAGAGATTTATTTTGTGGAAAGGAGTAGAGGTTTGGGATGGCGAAGATGAACGGTAACGGATGAAAATGAACAGTTGTGAATAACACTGAAAATAAAGATCATCAAAAAATTTGTATTTTTGCATCAGACAGTGAGTCGCCGTGCCAAGTAGCACGACGACCCATCAGCTTAGTAACATGATCTGTAGAGAAAAGTAAGTAGTACCTCGAGCATAACCGGGCGCTGTATGAAATGCGAGTCGTGCTCCGGGACAAGCTCTAATTCGGTATGGAATTCTCCTATCCTGTCACTGGACAGAAGGAAAAGAAGGTAAAGCCCAAGTATTTTGTACTCGTTGCTGCTCTTCGTCTGTATCCTTTTGTCAAAGTCTCGGTAATACATCTTCAACTGCTTAACCTGCAATAAGGGTGTTGATGAGTTGCGTGATTATAACAGACCAAGCGTCACAGGGAGTCGAGAGGAAAAACCGGTGCGCTTTGATAAGCATGAGCTGATGAAAATTTACGGACATCATTCAGTGAACCCAAGAAGGTGAAGGCCACAGCCCTACTTGCTCTTATGATAGAAGTACCGTCACTAGTAACAATCAACACAAACAAGAAGATGAACTTGTAGTACATTTCTCTCGAATGCCGCTGGATCATTCTTCTTTATGCTGAGAAAAGCTCCCTTTTCGTATACCTCCCGTGCAAGCTCTAATACCTGACGCAAGTCAAGAAATACAAATTATTTCATTTCTAATTCTATTTCACTCGTCGACTGAATCAACATTTCTCAATGTGCTGCAGCGAATGATAAGTTCTAGTATCAAGTTCCGTCTTCTTCTCGAGCAAGTTGTCTCAAAAAGTCAGGTGCGTGTCTGTGCCACCATATGATCATAGAAGAGGTAGAGGAGTCTATCTTTGCCGTAGTAGTACTTTCGGTTCCTGTGTTTCTAGTAGCAATTGGTTCCCTAATTTTGCGAGCTCGACCTTCACCTTCGCAAGCAGCGGTTCTGAGTTCGGCCCATTCTTTTTGTACTCGGCATCGAACTCCTTCCACGCCGTTTGCACCTGCGCCGGGACGCCCATGATTTTGATTCCTAATTTTTACTATACAAACACAGAGTAGTTTGTGATTCTGTTGAAGAACAATGAAGATTTAGATTATCTACTGTAAAAATATAAGGTTACAATGAGTGCCGTTTTCTTCTCGTTTCGGTAGTAGGTAGATACTGTTCTACATTTCCTCCACGTGCTCACTGATCGAACAAAACCATGGCCTGCAGAAAAGAGGATCACAACAAATGCAGCAAGTAAGAACTAAGGTTCTTCTATCTTCAGGGATAGAATAGTTCATTCCGAGAGAGTTAGGGCATCCATTTCAACGCTGCGCAACATTCCTTCATGTATTCAGAACATCAACTATATTTTCTTCCAAAATTCAAGTTCTTCAACAATGAAAGGGCCAGCGAGGACACTTCTTTTAACCTCTGCTCTTTTAACCACCGATTCTTCTTGAAGAGATCATGATGAACGTCTCACTTGTATTTGGATTGTTTTGGAGCATAATTCAGATAGACAAGAGATGAGAGTAGTTCCTATTTCTTTTATGATGTCGCGGTACCAACTGTTACCAAACTTTTACTGTTACCAAACTGTTATCCGGTTCGCAAATCTGAACACATGGAAAACGCGAAAGATATTCAGGCAGGAATCGACTACTATCGCACTTGTACACGTGAGATATGAATTCTCGACGCCAAAATACAAACAGCGCGTGGAAGGGACAAAGTCGTAGAACTTTCTACTTAAATCATGCTCTTCTATTACTGTGCAGCATTTCGGAAGTGTTCGCGCAATTTTCGTTTGCGAAAGTTTTTCACTGCAAGTTTGTAGTTTGCCATCATAGAGTCCAGCAGACTTTGCGCGTCCCGTTCTCCCTTAAGCTTGGCACGACGCTCCATCTGCGTTCCTAGGAAGGATTCGAATGCCATCTCGTCAACTCGCCGCCGCGCTGCGTTTGCGCCACTACTTATAGCATCCGAAAAAAGTGCAGGATTAGCAACTCCATGGTCGTGATGAGCTAGAAGATTATCATTTTCATCATCAAACTCATCAGGAAAATCCTCCTCGTCGTACTCGTGTCGGTCGGCTGCACTGTTTCCGTCTCCGTGGTGTCCCTGTCCTGTTGCTGACTTTTTTCCTCTTTGTCCGAATATTGCTCCGTGAATTGGCTGAAGCTGCTCTCCACCGGTTGTCAGAGTGTCAAAAGCATGCGCGACTCCGTCTTCCTCTTCGAGTTCTTGGCCGATTAAGGCTTTAAAAAGCTCTCGTCTTGGAGGTTTTCCCGCTTCAGCAGCAGCCATAGTCGCCTGACGAGCACTTGGTGGCGGCAGAGGCACGACAAAAGAACTTTTTTTTTCTCTGGAAGACCAGAAAGCAAAACTTGTGGGGGATAAGGCACGAGGGCTATGAGAAGATTGTCGTGTCGCCTGGAGTTGGGAAAAATCCTGTGCCCAATCGCAAATACTGCTAAACGCTGTAATGCGACCCTCCATCTTGTTCAACGCCTTCTTAGGATCAATCTACAAAAACGATATGAAAACACTTTGTACTCCCGCCGCACCACGCACCTCGAGCGAATTCGTACCCTACTGCCACTTCCTTGCATTATTTCCAAGAAACAGAATCTGATGGATGAAAGATGACTAAGAAATCAAATATTTACTAAGGAGGTCAAAAGCTGTGGGATCCACACTGGGGATTTGAAGTATTGAGGGTCGTTAACTGCTTAGTGTGACCGATTTATTTCTTCTCTAGTAGTGCACGTGGAAGGAAGAGCCGATGATGTCTGAGTTACACTTACATCTTCGATCTCTCCGCAATGACTAATCAAAATGAGGTTGATGTAATTTTTTGTGCTCCACCGACTACTTCATCGCCTCACTCATTTTGCTGCTTCGTCGCCACACACACCACGACCAGCAAATATAAATGTGGATGTCCGATATCAAGCACATCTCTACCATATAAAAATGAATCAATCAGAAGGAGCATAAAAAAAATGCTAGTTCACCTTCTTCAAATCTGCTTTCGCGACATGAGAAATTTTCATGGAAACAAATGAGACACAACCTTGTTTCTTTGAACAATTAAGTTGTGCTGGCTCCTGTGTAGTCACGAGGATGGTCGTACTACATTTACTTTTCTCATCTTCTAGCCATGCTCTGATGGTCCTCGTAGCAAACAAGTACGAGGAAGATTTTTACGAAGGATTTATAAATATATGATCTGTGATCGTGATGTTCTTGATATTAGTGGTTAACGATCTTCACCAGGATGTAGAAGTAAGAGAAAGAGGTTGTTGTACATGGAGAATTTACTAATTCATATGGTATCGTTCTAATTCGAAGATTTCAATGCCAAGACGTATGACGTAAGAAAAATTGAAGTTCATGTCAAAATCGCCAACAACTTTCTGCTCCTTAGAAGCACAATGATCTGCACATAGGGGGCATCATGACTAGGCAATCAAATTGTCTAAGATTTTAGGAGGGTACGCATGATAAGGGCAGTAAGGTGTGTCGGTTAGGCGCAGGATATGCAGCATGGGTACCAAGGGCAACAACATGTTCTTACTGGAAAAACAGAAGTCGGGGAAGATGAACTCGAGGTGCAGACACGCTGAACAACAACAATCAACCTCTAGCGAAAAATGTGACGCTCGTAACTGTTGGTACATCAGGGGCGACGATATTTCCATTATAAATGACGAGGGCTGAGAAGGGTAAGCTCCACACTAGTGCTTGTAAATGCTCCAGCTTGTTCTGCGTTTCGTCTATCCGCTTGCTCTCCTCGTCATTCTGGGATCTCCTTCCATCTTCTCCTGTAGTTATGCGGTTCACCTGCTCGTGTCATTTTTTTGCGCCTTTCTTGTTCTTCTTTTTACTGGCTTGTTTTGCTGCTGCACTAACTTGCTTCGTAGCTGTTGTCTTTGCGGCACCAGGCTCCACAGTCTCGCTTTGCTCCTCACTAGAAGAGCTTACGGCATTTTTCCCCGACTCCACAGGATCTCGCTTGCTGCTAGTCGCAGTCGTTGTGGAAGACGGTGCCGCGTCAGGCTGGCTGCTCCCGCCACTTGATCCGGACGACGCCTGTTTAGAGCTAAATACATAGTCAACACATCAATGTAGTTGTTTATACTCTACTAATGTGAGCCTTAACTTGTGACGAACCAGAGGTCGGCACGCCTCCTCCTAGTGCCTGTCCTTCTGCTTTTGACTGAGCCATAAGCTCGGCTAATCGCCGCTGATACGCTGTCTGTGGTGGAGCAGCGCTGGTCCCATTCGCAGTGGCAGCAGATGTAGTCGTGCCGGAAAAATATTAGAAATAAAAGTGAATTTACTCAAGAATTACATCTATTTATTATTATATGACATCAGGAGCTTACTAAACATAGTACATAGAATTTGGATTTGGAAGTAGTGGAACCGGAGCAGCAATAATGAAAATATCCGTCCGGTGTCTCATAATTGTGAATTCTTCTTCTAGTACTTCTTCGAATATATTCGGTGTAAAAAACTTGTAGCAAGCAAAGGAGGTGATAAAAAACTACAGTATACTGGCCTTAATTAGAACCGCCTGCTGCAGAGGATGTGGAAGATGATGCGCCACCCGTTTTGTCAGATGTGGTCCCTGCTGGACTAGCTGTACTAGGAGAAGTTGTTGCACTAGGTTGCCCTGATGTAGTACTGGAGGTCGTTGTCTCGGCTGTTGTACTGCTTGAACTTGGAGGAGGTTGCGCTGATGAGCTTTTATTTGTGGGACTCCTATCTTGCTTCTGTCTATCAGCATTGCGCTCAGGGGATTAGAGGCTACAGAATTTTTACACTCCTCACTCCTCAGAACAAGGTCCTTGGCTTCATTTCTACTACTAGGAAAAGAGCCAAGGACGACGACGACGATGGTAGTGCGGGATGTAATTGTTCGACTTAAGGAGAGGACTCGTCTTCGTCTTCATCTGTGTAATCCTCACTATCCGTCTCCGTTTCCTCGTCCGTGTCGACGCCAACCTCTTCCGCCATTGACCCCATGCCTGGTGGTGGCTCGTGCTCGCAATACACAGGTTCGTGTCAACTATGAAGGAGAAGGAGGAACATGAGATGGAAGTACTCACAAGAGACGTAGGGGAATGTTAGTTGAAGGGGAACCATGTCGATGGCGATAGTTGTACCATACCTTATACTAGCCATGGTAGTGGTCCTCTAAAAAATCTTCAGACTAGTAAGACAAGGATGCACTAGAATCAAAAATGATATCAGCTTGCCGCAAGTAGAAAGATGTAACTTATACTTCTAGGAGAAGACAACGTGTAGGTGTATGTGTAACACGGTGACATGAGGACATCATAAAAGTCCGCTTCATTTGGATTCGGCATTGGCAGCCAAAGCAGGAAGTAGTTCTCGCCAAATATATCCTCTACAGTATCCCAGAAGTTGAGTTTTGGACCAGACTTCCCCTGATACGTCTCCACCAATGTCGAGTTGCTATCCAAACTCTCGATTTGCTCGCTCAAAAAGTCCTGAGTAATTTGAATGGTGAGATGGTAAGCAGCAGAAAGTAAAATGGACACAAAGTAGATGGTGCAGCTGTGACATGATCGCAACGCGGTTAATGCTTTCATCTTTTTGCTCAGCTACGTCAAACAATAACTCATCAAAAAAATACCACGACGAAGAAGAGGAAGAAGAAGCTCTCTGCCGTTAGGAGAACTCCGAGCAGTAGCTGCCAGTTATGGTTGCCCTGCATGATGTCTATATCCGAATAAGAGTAGGCTATAACCACCCCTACCAGCATCAGCAACGTCATGACTGAAAGCGCGGCTGCATTGATGTTTGATGGGGTTTTCTCTTGAAAAATGAAGAGCAGGCAGTGCATGTAGTGTGGCTCGCTGTCAACATGTGGCTGGTAGGGGTTTTTACAAGACTTGGATCACAAATCAAGATGAATTTCAATCAGCGCCATGTAGAAGCTGTCAATCTATCAGAAAAACTACCAAGCAAAAGAAAAGTCAAACTTTAGTACCAATGTAGACAAGAAAAAGAATGAAGAGCCGCTGATTCTTCCACCCCACGCAGTTGTTGATCCAAGGACAATGATGATCCATCCGATGAATACACCTGTTGACGTTGGTTTTGATCTTCGTGTCTGTGGTACAAAAAAAAAGTCATTCACCAAGAAATAGAAAACAGAGCAATGACGTGCTAGCCATTGAGGCTCTGCAATGTATCATTTGGCTGGTGATCATCACGTGGAAGTATCTATTTCTATTTAGCATCTCGTTGGTAAGAACTACCTATTATTTAGCATCTCGTTGGTAAGAAGTACCTATTTAGCATCTCGTTGGTAAAAAGTACCTATCGCAGACTTTGCAGTGATGTGCCCGATCCGGCTTGTACTGGTCACACCTTTTACACCACCTAGTATTCTCGGTGTCACCCGAAGCGTCCTTTTTTGGCTGAAAGTGACTAACGGAGCCAGGGTCCGTTGTCGCGGCGTTGAAATGCGCCCACAAACACAGTATCAATAATTTATTATACCTGACATATGGGAATGCAGTAGTCGAGATAGAGAAACCCTGACGCCTGGCAATCATGAAGAAATAGTCGAGATCGAGAAAGAGATGGACCATGAATTTTTATGGGAGTCGAGGAATATCGATATCAAAGTAGGTTGGACTAAATTCAAGTCAAACAAGTCTAAGGAGAGGAGTAAAGTTTTACACGAAGCCCACCAGCAAGCCCCAGTTAGTGACCGGGATGGCTTCGAAAAGACTGTTTTCGCCCTGAAACCAGGGCGCGATGATGAAGGTGTTCACTACGAAGCCAGCGAACGTGATAAAAAGCTCGCCGCCCCCTGCCATCATTTTAGCGCTAGTTTTTCACAATCCGTAGTTGAGTGCGTTGCCAATTTTTCCCTTGGTTTTCCCTCTAAATCAAGCAAGGAAGGGGCACTTCACTCAGCAGAGTCCAGATGGGATAGTGAACAACTAGCCTTAATCATTGCACCATTGCTGTCAATGATCAACCAGAGTCGCTCTTTTGCGTAGTACAACAGGCCTCCCCAACCAGCAAAAAGCGTTACAGCTACCGCTATTTGCCACTGATTAATGGCGAAAATGACGCCCAGCCACGTAAAAGCGGATACCAAACCAGGCCACATTGTCGCTATGTCGTGGCACGAATTAAAATGAATCTCCACAATAGAGGACAGAAGCCTTGCGAAGGGATAGTCGTCGATGCTGCAAGTAGTTGTGCGTCCCAAGAACAGCAGAAGTTATGAAACTAGTTCAACCTTTAAGGTTGTGCAGCACTCGTCTTCAGTTGTGGAGTGTCTCCTGTGCTTCTCTGCGTGAGACTGCAGATCACCCAATGTCCTTCTAGTCCTACTCCGATGCGGTGTAAATACGCCGATGAGATTAATAAGGCTACGAAAGGCGGACGCTGCTGCTGCTGCTGCTGCTACTATCTCTTCACTGCAGCTCGGAATAGACTATACTGCAGCCACGAAAGGTCGAAAAGGGGTCCGTGTTACTTTGAAGCACTACACGACAGGAGGGAGCGAAAGAGACTAGTGCATGGAGGAGGAGTGGAAGCACCTGGTACAGGATTCCTGCTTGTGAAACCAACGTACTATTTTTTCTTATTTTGTTTCTCGTCTCCTTCTCTTCGCCCAGATCCAGATGTTTGGCTTGTGCTACAACAGGTTGGTGGGCTTCGCTTGAGGCTAACTATTCACCATTGTGATTTTAACTCGCTTGTTGGTCGTTCTCTTCACTACTTTCTAGCCATGATACTGATTCCTACAGTCTCTTCCTCAATTCACTGGTTAAGAACTAGAAGATTCGTGTCCTGCTTTGGTGCAACTTGCTTCGGAGTCATGTGTCGTCGTCTACTGGTCAAATTTCTAGGAACTACTGCTTCAAAAAGAAGATCGTGTTGGTGGCATCAGTACTACTGTAGCGGGCGTCAGCAGAAGCGCGAAATTGCTGCACGAAGATATTCACCACAAGACATTCACCACGAGGACCTCTGCATAAGTATGCCTACTGAGCTGAAAGCTCGGGGTCTCCGAAAACGGCACTGCCAATACGATCGTCCTCTGTCACTCGGATCTTCGCTGATTAGAGGATATGGTCGTCCTCTGTCACCGTGACAAATGCGTGTCTCTGTTGTATCGACGACCTTTCAGGCCAAAAGACCCACTAAACAAGGATATCGCGATGGCCCGCAACAAATGAGGACGCCGCCACAGAGGGAGAATTCACACTCATTTTCTTGTAAAAACTCCTTCTTCCTTGTTGTAAAACCTCCTCCTCCTCCTCTGCCATAGAAAATAAGGGAATTGCTGAAACGCTGTCTGCTGGTATCAAACACAATTACTAGGGGACAGGATAATGACAGATCTACTGTACAAATAACGAGAACCTGCTCGTCTACGCCTATTCAAAACTACCTGGTGGGAGCAAATAAGGGTGCCTGTATGTTGTTGGTTGCCGGTGCATCTTCGTCCTGTTCTATGTATCTATAAGTGTGACCGACAAGAGAGCAGCAAGCATTTCGCTTAGACATGACCGATTTACTCTTGTTCTGCTCTTCGGCCGACAGCCGATACAACCTTCATTCTCGCAGATGAAGAATAGCCGCGACTCATAAAATTTGCTACTCAGTAATGAGACATCGTGACCGTATGTCTTAGAAGGTTGAAACTAGTCGGGCTCTTCAGCTGGGTGAAAGATAGGCCTTTACCTTTTTCGTTTCCTTCGACCAGTATTGTAAACGAACAAACAACATCAAGGCTGCTTCGAAATTTCGATTGCTTGAAAGTGAAACGCGATTTGTTATTTCAGACCATATTCGCCATTGTTGCTCATTCTTCTAGAAGCAGTACGCGCATGCTCAGAGTCAGTCTCTGTATGGATGAATATCCTGAAAAGGCGGACGCTGTCCGATCCACGAGAGAGGAGGGAACGAGATGTATAATTGAGGAGGAAAACGAGCCGCCGGAGTCACTGAGAATTGATGAGAGAAAAAGCATGTCGCTGCGACGTTGAGGAAAATGACATTGGTGTTTGTAGTGAGATAATATGACAACATTAGCCGAAGTGTAGGACGATGCTTCGCTGCTTTGCCTTTTAATCAGTGCTTTAAGTTATCTGCTTATAGCAAAACCTTTTTTGCATCTCTGTCACACTTTGGCATGTCAGCCGCGACTAGAATTTTTGGCAACCACATCTACAGGCTTGTTCATTTTATGCATCACCGTCACAACTAGATTGGTAGAAAATACTTTTACGAATCTTCTATCCGCCTTTCCATTTTGTAAGTGAGTTGTAAGTACATCATGTTCTTAACCAAGATTCGCCGTGGAATCCCTCCATGTAGCATGGTGCTGTGCAGAAGCCAGAAGGCGGCCCTCGTCACCGCTACTATCGAAGATCATCCACTGTGCATTAACGGCTTAGGAATAGGATTCGGCCCATCTGAGGCTCGCAACAAACTAATTTCAGTGTCTTGTACTAGCATAAGCATTCAGTGACTTGTAAGTGTATTTAGTCTTTGTCTTTGGCATTAGGTTTTGCTTGGAGTTGGACGATTACAGGTTTCGACATTGAAGTTTTAGGAAGTTTCTTCAGAAATCTAAGTCGGCGATTATCGAACGAACAAGAACAAAAAAGGCATTCACATTCAGGTACATTTTCTCTACATTAAACTTACATATGAAAAATTGTGAGCAATGCTCATGCGAAGTATGGCATTTACAACAATCGCCATCGCGTGTGACTCAGCTATCTGAAACTATGTGATCATCGCGATGATGTGGGACGAGGCTCCTCGTCCGCACAACGACTACGACAACGGAATGAATATTTTATTATAACTTCCAGGAGTACAACAACTCCAACTCCCATCTAAATCTAATTCCACGCTACGTCCTTTTGTATGTGCGAAGAACTGAGCGCCACCTTGAGATTCCGCGTTTTCACCGCTTCGTCCGCGAGTTTCGCTTTGTATGAGTCGACCTCTGTCTCCAAGAAGCGGAGGTATTCCACCGTTGGATGACTCGTCAAGTCTCGCATTACTTCTTCTCTCACCATGATTTTCTCCGCCTGTGTTAGAGCAGATCACAGATTAGTTCGTTTCCACAGGTCATCTACATCTTCATCTAAGGCTTCACTTCGTCTAAGTCTCTCGACAAGGAGAACTCTACTCCTATGGAAATGCTTTATTTGGGTACTTATCAACGGCCATAACTGCGCGTCGAACTGCATGTTACAGCGCCCCTTTAGGCATAGAACAAGCGCCTTCAACTGATCCACGTTGAGCACGCGCAAAGCGTCGACGCCGTCCTCGTCTGCTGACCGACAGAAATCCACGGTGAACTGTCTGGGGTCCCAATTCGATAATGGGTCGCCATTCTTACTACTCTGATGCTGGCCGCGGCTGCCACTTTTGTTAGAGAACAAGTAGAAGATGAAAAGGCAAAGGTGGATATTGAACTTTTACCACGACGACATCTCAACGACTTAAACTTGCTTTGTAGTAGTAATGTTCTCTTATACTCAAGCTCAAAATGTCTATTTCGACGCTTGGCAATGACATGCAATCTCGTAACGTGCAGGGGAGCCGTTGCTTGCTCGTAGGCAGCCACTGCCTGTGCTGTTGCGCTCGTATGTCCGATATTAGTACCCGGCACTGCATGATGTAAATTAGATCATGATGGGTAACTGCTAACTTGTGAGTAATGTCCTCAATAAGTGGAACAACCGAAGTTATTGACTCGAATAGGTTACATTACTTAGATGAGAAGGTATCCTTCAGCACATCGAGCCCCCTCGAGTAAAAGAACTAGAACTACACACTGGATTTCGCTTTTCCCCGTAAGACCACTGCCACCGTCGTGCGTTGACCCACTACTTCCTCCAACCTGAAGTTTGCTACCTTCAGCGTCCTGGAGTGACCTGAGATTCATCATCCTCTCGTATTTTTCCGCTTTGCGCTTCGTCTCTGCAATTGCTGCATAAAGTCGCTCAAACTTCCTTTTGGCTGGCAGTGGAGGCTTCACGCCTGGCGGCACCTGCACACATCTCATCCCAAGCTTGTAGCAAACAGGGTACTGACCTGTTGTAAGCGGTTAGAATGATAGAAGCAGGTCTAGGTCTAGGTTGCAGCTTCGTAGAATGGAAAACTAAAGAGAAAGATAAAAGTGGTACATTAGTCCTCTAGACTGACCTAGTAGAGATTGGAAAAATAAGAAGGGTGTTGAATTGTTTAGATTGTAGGTGCTTTCATTAGTTAGTCATTAATTTATTACTTCTAGTAGAGATTGGCTAAAAAAATGAATTGACATACGGAGTCACATTAACATGATGTAATGACGCTGTAATACCTCAGGTTATACTGCATGATTACAGTATTGCCGCAGCAGATCGAGGGTGTCTCCTAGTACGGCAAATGATACAGAATCTCACAATCTTTACAGTTTCTAGTTAATCTAGGTACCTGTCTCCATGTCATGGATGATTCTTGTGAGCTGTTGTATGAGCTCGTATAAAGCCAGCATTTCCTCCTCGAACTGTGCGGTTTCTCGCTTCTTTTTGTCGTAGTATTGCTGGAAATTTTTGATGAGTTCCTCGGTCTCACCCTCCTTCTCCTTGAGAAAGAATTTGTATTGCTTCACTAGTTTGTCCGTTTCCCCTTCATGCGAATCCTTCAATGCGTGCAGGTGGTGCTTGTGCCGATCGTGCATGGCTGGTTCTTAGAGGTGGAAAAAATGTTCGAAAAATCAAGTTCAGGTTGACTACCTCCTCAAAGAAGAAGGAAAGTAGAGGCTAGTGTAGTAGAAGTAGTAATAGTTAACTCATTTACGTCGCGACTCACGCATAGGCACCACGGAGCTTTACGTAACTGCTGCCAGTACCATCTTGGGTAGGTCTTGCGCATAATTATTCTTGTCTTTCCACTCTGCCTGCTTGGTATCTAGAAGAAGTGCGGAGTCCTTGAGCAACTCCGGGACGCGCATGATCAAGTCGTCTTTGCTATTCAACAGTCGCTGCACCTGGTCCTTCCACAAATCGAGCTCCGCTTTGTTTTGGTCACCAGTCTGCGAGATAAATCAGATTTTGTGAACAAGAGAAAAATGATGAGAATATTAAAGAGCTAAATTAAAAAACAACAACGACCCCGCCAAACTCTCACTCTCCCACTTCCAAACCCCAAGCCCCAAACCCTCACTCCTTCACATTTGCACCCACGAACTCCCAAACTCAGGAACTCATGGGCTTTCTTATAAACTTAAGAACTTAGGAACTTCTGAACTTATGAGCTTGCGAATCAAATCCAAGAGATTGAATTCCCGAAAAACTTGCTAAAATCAAAAATTTTGGGATCTGAGGAATTCAAATCCAAGAAATTGAGCCCACAAATCAAATCCAAGAAATTGAATTTCAGAAAAACTCGCTAAAATCAAAAATTTTGGGATTTAAGAAATTCAAATCCAGGAAAATGAGCTTCCGAACCAAATCCAAGAAATTGGGCTTCAGAATAACTTGCTAAAGCCAAAAACTTTCGGAGTTGGGGGATTCAAATCCAAGAGATTCTATCGCGGGGAAACTCGCTAAGAGCGCAAGTTTTTGACTTGAGGGATTCAAATCCAAGAAGTTGAAGCCGAGCCGGATTTACTAAAATCGGAAGTTTTTGGATTTGAGCAATTCAAACCCAAGAGATTGAAAGCCCGAGAAGCTTGCTAAAGTCGAAAGTTTTTAGATTTGAGCTCTCAAATCCACGAAATTGAATGCCAGAAGAAATTTGCTAAAGTTGTAAGTTTTTAGATTTGAGAAATTCAAATCCAAGGGATTGAATTTCAGAATAACTGTTTAAAATCGAAATTTTTGGATTTGAGCAATTCAAATCCAAGAAATTGAATCTCAAGCAAGCTTAGTGCTCCGCTGGTTACTTCGGGAGGAGGAGAATCCTAGCGCGGGGGGGTGTTGTCGGGCGCTCCAGGCGAGCGCGAGTAGATACTGACCTCGAACCTCCTTCAAGAACGCCATCCGCCTCCTCTGAATCGTTTGGATCACATCTTCAACTTACTTCTAGCACAAAGTAAGACCACAACTAGAAGTACATCCTTCAGCAGCTAGTCGTAGTTGTTGTTCTACTGAATAAATTTAGGACAAAGATCAATACATCCTTCATCAGCTTCTCGTAGTTGTTTTTCTGCTGTGTGAGGTCTTTTTCTAGCTGTAGCATTCTGTCCCTCAGGTCCAGCAACTCTCGCCGCCTCGCTTCCTCTCGGTCAGCCGTCTCCTTCCTTGCGTTTTCGAATTGGCCCGGGTTAGACTAGCGCTAGTATAATGCAGGATCTCATCAAGAAAAGACCACTAGTTGCATCTTCTACTCTGTGGGATCATGGCGCCGTCTTGTCATATTCTAAGTAGGTCTGGACATGCTACTTAGACTGGTGTTAACTGGCAGACGAGGATCCCTTCGCGAGACGACAAGAATACCATAAGTTCCATCTCAGCCGCTCTCCTTTCTGCAGCTTCTGTTTTCTTCAATTGGTCAGCTAGGTTCTTCGCAGCCTCCCTCTGTGCTCGTTCTAGCTCCACCTTTGCCTTCTTTGTTTGCTCGTCCGCCTCTGCGAGGCCGAGAATTAGAATCGCAGAGGACTTTGACTTACTTCATGATCGTGTATTTTTGAGTATCCTCGTTACAACATGGACGCCTATTCATGGCGATCGATTTCAAAAAACGTACTGCTTGTGCTTGCTACTGTAACAAATCAGGGAGCACTACTAACTACAAATCAGTAAATCTACCTGGTACTACTTACATCTCCTAGTATAACTACACGGCCGCCATCTGCTGTTCTCATCTTACGTCATTTATCATAACTTCAGGTAATCCGGCATGCCATTCGCACCCAAGTTTTCGTTCACGAAATTTACTTTCTGTTCCGCCGTGGCTCTGCTAATATCCAGCTGGCTTTTGAGGTCGGCTATCTCAGCGAGCAGCCTTCGGACCCTTCGGTCATTGTTGCTAGTCGCAGGGTCAACGTAATTCACTACAGGCCTATTTTCCATGTAGCGACACCGGTCCGCAAACATCAGCGTGTTGACCTGGGATTTGTTGGTGTTGTACTTCTTTGTCTTTCACTACGATATAGTGGTCATCAGCGTGCTGTTACTGAGCGAGTCCTAGGTAGAATCGCTATCCTGGTGTCCTAGGCTTTTCACTTCTACATATTATGGTAGTCTTCTATCCCTACACATACGAGTCAACATTACCGATTCCTCATAGTTGTCGGCGCCTGGATTGATGCATGCTAGCAAGGTCGTGAAAGAATTGCCGCCGAGCGACCCTTGAAGTATCCTCGTCAACTTGGAGTCGCGATATGGAATGAACCTGGATGATGCTGTGTGCGTGAAAGGCCAAAAAAGGTAAAGGTTGTAGACAGCACATTAGTTGTGAGCAGGTATCTTAGTCTGTCATACGGAAATAAATCTGATCACTCTACTTCATCTAGTACTACTACTCCTTTCCTTTAGTCATACTGAAATAAATCTGATCACTCTACTTCTAGTACTACTACTTCTTTCCTTTAGTTATACTGAAATAAATCTGATCATTCTACTTCTAGCACTACTTCTACTTCTTAGCCTATTCCACCTTTTAGTAGTAGTACTTCGCATCTTTCGTTTCTTGCGAAAGCGCAAGCACGACGCGGCCTAGCGCGCTGAGGGATGAATTTATCACTACTGCCTCTTGAAATCGGGCTCCTTCACTTTTTGACCGAGCTATCCTTTCGCTACCCGCAAGATCTACCAGGTTCAACACGCCTGATATAACATCGGCATCCTCGGCTCGCCTATCCTTCTGTACCACGTTGATCGTGAAAACGGTGTGACTGCGACTACTTGACGCATTCAGGGCATTAGAGAAGCGTAAAAAATCAAAATAGAGATTGACGAAAAGCGGTGATTCTTCATTAAGTCAACAATGAATTACTTAGAATTACAACAGAGCCCTGCAACCCGACCCCGAGTCGGTGTCCAAAATCAAATCATCTGCATCTGGATGAAGTAGTAATCCCACGTACCACAAGAACCAAGTGAGAAAATCAGACCTAAACTAGCATACAGCACCTCCACCACACTTTACACCATCAACACTCGAATCCCTTTCTACCTAAATGCTCACTTGTCCCCTGTTCACTAGACATAATGTGCGTTCCATGCGTTTCTCGCAAGTGCAGACCCAAGTTTACGACATCCATTACCTCCTGAATGGTCCTGACAGGTACTAGTGTTAGATCCTTGACGAAGACTTGACCTTCTGGTGTCTCGTGTATCTCTAGATCTTGATTTGCCCATCCTCGCAGGTCTAGTTGTCCGTCCCCAGCCATTCCAAAGTCTGGGCCGCTATTGGCGACGACCGCTGAGCTTGGTCGCACGGCGGACCCGGGCCTGCTCCCGTTGCGCCCGGCTGGTGTCGCGGATGTCGGCCGCTTGCCTGTAGTCATATTGCGACAGTTCAAACTGAATGAGAGACTGATAGATTTTGAAAGAAGATTTTTGATAAGCCTGTAGTCGTGATTTCTAGATTGACAGATACGACCAACATCATATCAACAAACTGAAGATAACTCAAACTTTTGAGTATATTGGTTTCTGTCACACACTGGTGAAAGTGACTCTAACTTCTTAACTAGATTTAGAACTACATGTTCAATACATATTTACTTGCTCCGCCCGTCCTGATCGGTCCCGAGGATCCTGCTGAGGCATTCGAGCCCTTTGATCGCGACCGGTCCGACATGTAGGCGCGGCCAAGGTCGCGGATTTGATCCAGATAAACCTCGAGAAAGCTGCACACCATACCTGGTTTGATTGGATCATGTATTGAAGGATCGGAATCATCTGTTTAAAGCGAGCTATTCATTGATATCTTTGTGATGAAGATGTTGATGCGAGACGAGAGTCTGTCCGTGCATCTGTGCCTGTGCCGAGAAGATGAACAGAAATCACGAAGTGTCAAAGGACATAACTGGCCTACTTAGATTCCTACCTATTTCTTTCCTTTCGGCGTTCTCCTCTATTCGCTCGAAAAGGTACTCGACTGCTCGAGGTAGGATACCCCTTCGTTCACTCGCACCCTCGCCGAAGATGCTGTAGGTCTTTCCGGAACCCGTCTGGCCATAGGCAAAGCAGCAACTGTTGAAACCCAACATGCAGTGGTTGACCAGCGGCCGCGCCACCTCCCGGTACGTGTCCTCTTGTAGCACATGGGGCAACAAGATCTTCGAATACAAGAAAGTGTGGTCGGAACGACCTGGATGATTTTTGGATTTTCAGTCCTCCTACAAAAAACAAAAATTGAGATAAAAAGAGAAATAAATACATGGTGAAAAACATTCATAAGCATGATCTTTATGAATTACACAACAGAAGTTCTTACCTTTTGACAGAGGGTCCCGGATGGTGAGGACATGAGGCTTGTCAGGCTGAAAAACGTACACGTCATCTATAGATTCAGTCGGGTCTTCAGGAGGCCGTAGCCTTACTACAACCTGCACGTTGCTCTTTTCCGCTGACATTGCCACAGGATTCTTCGGGTTGTTCTTGCTCGGTTGAGAGTGCAAGCGTCTCAACGAAGAAGAAATTCGCTCGCACGACTCAGAGCGGCGCGACGGTCCGCCTTCCTCTTATGCTCCCTTGTCCTCTCGCGAGCGCCAAGGACCAAGAATAACGAAGTAAAGAACTTGAAGTTGAACTTCTTTTTTCACTATGACGTCGTGTTATTTCACTGGCATAGGCTGTAGTCTGTGAAGATTGACTCCTGTCTTCACAAATGAAAACTGTGCTTATCGATTACATTAGCCCATGTTTTCGAAAGAAGAAGTGGAAGTGGTATGGAAATTGTGTTGCAAGTACCGATCAAATGGATGCCTCACATTCATAAAACTTGCGAAAAACAAAAGCTGTATGGTCGGATGGTCAGTCTCGGAGACGGGCTCATAGACCCCTTCCTTCGTGGTAGGAAATCGCATGGTCTTGTCTGCCGTTCCACATCACTTTTGGTCAACATAAGCAAGGTAGCCGTAGGCTATCGTGGTCGTGGGTCCGGGTAAGAAAAGGGGGCTATAGGGGCACATGGATAATAAGGTGTGGGAGGTTATCGGGTGGCTCCTGGCGGTGATAGAGGTGTGCGCATGTTCATTTGATGTCCATTGTCCCGGTGGCAGTCGCGGTCCTCATGCTATCGTCTAACTATGCTGTGTCATAGTTGTAGCCGATGCTGACTATGTCAAAATATATTATAACATTCTAATTCGCTAGATTTCTCGTTCATGCACAGATAAATGCGATTCAATTACAAATTGAGAAGTCATGAAATCGTGGTGAAGAAATGAGAAGACAAAAAGCCGTTTCTTGCTAACTAGCCCTGCGACTAAAGCAAAACTTAAAAATGCAAATTACTCAGCTATGATGTTCGAGAGACGGACTTTACTCGCTGGCGAAATAGAAAAAAAAGGATAGAAATCGTTATGCGCGATGTGTGCAAGCTCTGAGAGCTTCTTTCAAAGCCACAGTACCTCATTATCCAGCGTCACATATAGATACGTGGCAATTTTTTGAAGCAAATCCAAATTGTCTAATCTTTGTTTTCTGAGAATGCTACTAGAATCAGAAATAGCGTATTAATCAGTCACAGTATGCGTTTGCGATCGTAGCAATTATTTTAAACCAAGGCATTTCCATCAGGCATTTTTTCATCCATATCTTCAGGGTAACATCAGCTGCATAAGGCCACGTTGCATCAATATCAAATCAGTCTACTTAGTTACTTTTTGCGTACATGCGATAACAATTCCCTTCCACTATCGAGTCCCAGAGCCTGCTCATCGATTTTGTTTTTGCTTACTGATGATGAATGATCTTCATCTGATCGTCATCGTCTAACTTAAATCTAGGAAAAACACCACCCAACAAGAATCATCCTCAAGCCCCCTACCTAGTAGGCTTATTGTCCAAGTTTTCGCGTTTGGGCTTCCATCTTCGCAACTTGGATCTCGCGACGGAGCTCGTTGATCGTCTTAATCAATGCGATGTTCTCTAGCATCGCGCTCTGATTATCCTTCTTGTGGATGTCGCTGTCCTCGATGACTTTTTTGCTGAGTGAAGCGACGCTCTTCTTGAGGTACTCCCGTTGCTTCTCTTAAAGCTCAGCAGTCACTGTGGTCGCTAATGCTGAACGGAAGAGACTGACCCCCTTCAAAGAGGCTCTACTCCCCTTTCCCTTCATTTTCCCCTGTTCTCTCAAGGGGACTCTCTTCGATTTATTCAGTGACCAACCTCTACGACCAATGAAAGTTGAGCCTTAATTCTCGTACTCATCCGCGATCTCCTTATCCTCCTTCTCCTTCTCGAGGTCTTTGGCGCCTTCCTTCCTCCCGCCGTCATGTTTGGATTTCTTAGCGAAGAGAGAGGTTGATGTGGGAGAGGGGCGTATTCATGCTTACTGGGTTAAGCAACCTCAAGGTCAAAGAAGAGAGAAGACTCTAGTCACCACTTGTCGTGATTCTTTTCGAGGACCTGGAACGAAAATGTAGATTTTAAGTTGTCTAAGGTCATGGTAAAAATGAGCTTAACCGCCATATTAGCTGCATCCTTCTTATTTGCGCTGCTGTGCTTCTGATATTTGTTGATCATTTTGGAAAAAGCATCCCGAAACTCCTTTGGTTTGTTAATCAGATCTGAGCATTGGTGCAGTTCGTGCTTGATTTTCTTCGCTCTTGTTGCCGAATCCGCAAGGCGCTTTCGCTGTAGACTAATTTCGTCCTGCATTTTCTTAGACGAGTAGAATTCAATAGGAATAGCATAAAGAGCCTTCTTCATCGCGTCTTTGTCCACCAATTACACTGATGAACTTGACTCCGTAGGTAGTTTTACATCATGTGTAGTCCTTCCCTCCTGCTCCTTCATGATCTAAGTATCCAAAAAGAATCTAAAATAATGGAGCATGAGTTAGATTGTAGGTTTTATTTAACTTCACTAACCTCGCAGTTAGAAGAACTAATCTTAAACGCACACATTGAAGAAGGGAGGGGTATGTTTGGTAAGTAGTCAATTCCGTTGCTTCAACAAATAACCCAAAAAGCATAAGTGTTGTCTGCTTCTTCTCCAATGTGTTGATGTCGCTTTGCAGTTTCTTGTTCGCACGATGGTATTCCTCCAAGTCCTTATCCATGCCTTGGATGACCCGCTTCATTTGCTGTATGTCCATGTTCTTCGGTTCGATCTGCGCTTTCAGCTCCTTGATCTTGTAGTCAAGGACGAATTTGAACTTCTCTAATTCCGCGTTCTGCTTTTTCAACTCGTATATCTTCGTCTCCTTGTCGCCTGTTGAAGTGTGTTGATGTGGGAATGACGAGATTATTCATATTCAGTGTGGGGTGCGGATCGATAAGATTACATAACCAGCAGTTGCTTTCAACAGGTACGAACTGCAAAGTAATGACGCATGCACGTCGTGCTAGGAACTCGAAGAGCGGATGAGTGCAGCACCAGTCACCGTACAGGATAGTCTCGACATCTCAACTAACTACTTGTTACTTAGATGAATACTCGTACAGGCTAGTCTCGTCTCAACCATCAAGTGCTAAGATGAATACTCATTGTCCTATCGAATGAGTACCTATTGTCCTATCGCGGTCTTTGATTTCCCTCATGTTCTGTTCTCGTTCCTGAATGGCTTTATCGATTTCCCTGTCCTTTTTCCTTGCCTCTTCGCTGAAAAATCGGAACTCCTCCTCTTTCTTGGCCATCTGAAAAGGTATAGGATGAGAGCACTATGTAGATCTAGAGGTGATAGGAGGAGCAGCTGCATGGCATCAAGCACTATTTTGTTGTGTACAGGAGCTACGATTTGGTACCTGCCTCTTCAGGTCCTCGTGATGTTTTCTGTGGATACCCGCTTGACCTCGCAATCTCACCTTGTCATCGCGTTCCGCTGACAGCCTGTCTTCGTACTGGTCCTTCAATTCCTCTATTTCACGGTCCGCGTCCTGCTCTAGCTGAGAAAGCGTTTCTTTGTGAGTTAGAGTTTTGCGCAGAAGAAAGTTTCTGCGAATCCGCTTAGCGAATTATCATATTTGGATACACGCACGGATACACATTCCTACTTCCACAAAAAAAATCGCATTTGGAAACAGTAGTTGTACTATCAGGCTTTTAGTTTTACAACGACAAGCAAGACCATAAATGTATTCTGTGCGACAGGTCTTTCTCCGCAAGAATGCGACTTCTTTGCGCCTCGTCGTCGTCTTTCTGCAACGCAAATCTTCTCTGATTATCCTCGATTTCCCCACTGTGCTTCCCTAATATCCCCTTGTACTCACCTTCCCACTCAGCATGCTCTTTATCTCTCGCGGCAGACAATTTTTGGAACCGGCTCACCTCCAGCATCATCTTGTTCTGGAAACTGGCTTCTAGTTCTTGGATTTGCTTTGCGTGCCTCTCCTCGATTCCCCTAATGTTCTCCTCACACTCCATCTCCATATCGTTCTTCTCCTCACGGAGCAACTCGTATTTGGCTCGCTCCTGTGCGCGTGGATGTGGAGGTTGGTATTTCATTCATACAAACTAGAGCAAGTTAGAAGTAGGATATCAAAAGTGAAACCATCAACGAACTGGTTGCCACGTCTTTTTCATTATAACCAGAACGGACATCAACTTCCTATTGTCAAATCAAGATGCTTACTCCATGAGCAATGTCTATGTCTATCATGATCATGTCAACACCATGTGTAAAAATACCTGTTCAATCTCTTGCCCGTATTTGTCCTCAAACTCAGCGATTTTCTCCTTATGATAGAGGTCACGATGCCTAAGCTGGAACTCTATCTGGTTACTCAATTCATCCACTTGCCTCTCGAGTTCCACCAACTGACCTTGCTTCTCATCGAGGAAAGTGCGGGTGACCTGGAAAAATTCGTGCTTAGTTATTGTAGTAAGGGAAGAAGTGATAGTTAAATTACAGAAGCAGGTCATGTCTGTCTGTGGACTACAAGAAAAAATATACTGGATGAAAAGTAGAAAACACTATCTAATAAAGAGCATGAGCATCCTCGCAGTTCCTAACTGAGAGAGTCTAAAAATTATGATACGAGAATTTCGTCTGCATATGGCAGCATGTTCATGCCTCCCGGATCTTTTGGGTCCCGCCTTTTTGGTGCCTCTTTTGCTAAAGCGCATCCCGCCAATGGCAAGTTCGTCAATGCGTTGCTTCCTCGCGCTACTAGGTCGAACACGAAAACGCAGCCGTCCTCACCCACACTGAAAACGTGCGTGTCATCCAGACTGACGCGAATCCTCGTCACTGGCGCACTATGGCATGGATAGTCGGTGTAATCCTGCGCTTCGAGTGGAAATCTATAGCATCGGATGGGACCCTCAGTCATCTCCTCTGGATCTGCTATCCCTGCAAACAACGCCCGCTCGCTGTTGCAAAGCTGCAATTGGCCTAAGCAAAGACCGGTCTCAAAACACTGCTGCATCCCGCAATTGTAAACCTCCCGAAGCTGCTTGTCCGAACCGCAGATGTAGCTGTGGACGAAAGGGAGAGAATCAATGAACAAGAAACAAGAAAGAATAGCTAGTAGTACGGGGTCCGAGATGAAATCGCAAAACAAAAAAATCGAACAAGTTGCAGTCCTCTGGTAAGTCAGGAAAAGGTAAGGTACAGCTCACTCGCACACGACATAAAAGTCTTGTTCCACTACATGATGAATAAAATTAATATGTAGGATGACATGGTCACAAGAAACTCGCAACAGATCTGAAGAGGACGCATTCGCATTATTCAAAGGTACTTACATGGTATTTCCCATGCTAGCAGGGTCAGTCGAGACCGTTGCGGAGGTGAAGGCAACCGACTTCTGCACCCAATCTGACGTTCGATGCCCCCCCTCGACTAGGAGGTTGTATTCGTACACGCCGCCATCCATACCGCATGATACTAGCGCGCTGTCGTCCGCTGTCCACGCTACACTCCGTGCTTTGTTGTTGTGTCCCCTTAGCGACAGAATCAGTTCGCAGTTATAGGTCTTGTACACTTGAATCAAGTTCCCGTTGGTTGCTGCGAAATACTGACCTCCATTGCTGAAGCGTACCTCGCGACAGCTCTTGACCGGCAGATCCTTCCATGGCTTCAAATCTTCCATGATTAGGTTCATCACTCGAAGCTTATCGGAAAACCCGATTACAACCAGGAAGCCTGGAGGTCGTGATGATTGAAGGAGAGAGATGCAGATCATTTAGAAACAATCTTAGATTCTTGTCAAGAAACTCGTCAAGAAATAACTTTTTGCTGTATATCTTACAAATCATAAATATAATCAGCCCAAGAGGAACTGGGTCACTATGCTGACATCGTCAAGTTCGCTATGCTGACATCGTCAAGTCGAAACCGAAAGGGAAAGGCATCAATCTTATAAATATATACCATTTGGATGCACCGCTACTGAGTGCGGCTCTTCAGCAAATGTTTTGCATTGTTCGCAGGTCCTGTCTAGGTAGTTCCATATCCGCACTGTCTTATCGGCACCACAGGTCACAATAATGGGCTTTCGGACGCAGACATCCATGCCGTTGACAGCGCCTACGTGAAACCCTGCTAGTAGCGACTCTGGTTCCAGTGAGGAGTTTTCTAGACCCTGCGCCAGGTTCGTCGCGGATAGTGTTACTCGAAAGATTTGACCATTCGAGGTCGAAAAGACGACTGATTCTTCGTTACTGGATATCGCAAGACCGCGACAGGTGATAGGCACCGCGTCAACTGAGTAAAAAAGAGAAGTGATCAGGTCTCGGTCAACCAAGTACTTATTACCACAAGACGTTAAGATAAATGGTTGGAATTGCGAATGTGATTCATTGAAAAGGTCAAGAATTGAGTCGCTGCGTGTTTCCTCCAAAAAAACGAACTTAAAGACTTTTACTTTAACGATTGTGAACGCTATCGACTGAAGCACTTGGACTTACCTTTCTCTGCCGCGTTATCTCTTGCTTCGCCTTTGAGTACGAATGTGCCCTCCTGCTGGTAGAAAAAGTGCACTGCAGCGTCCTTGGAAGCGGCAAGGAAACCCTTTGAAAAGCGGCAGAGATAGAGGTCTTGGCACCTCTCTAATCTATCCTCCAAGATGTGGTCGAATTCCCCAGACGCATCTAGAATCATCAAAACACCGCTCTCCGTTCCAACCACTACGCGTTCGTCAGGAAGCCAGGCATGTGACAGGAAAAACTGATTGGAGGGGGTGAAGCAGGGTGAAGTAGGAGAATGAGGATGTTGTTCGTGTGTTTGGATAAACGAAAAACTGTAGTTGATCAGTGTCCCTTCTGATTCATTTGAAGAATCCACACACCACCGTGAGAGTGCCGACGTCATTCTCGTCAACTGTAGCAGATGACTCAAGAATACCTCGTTCTTGCTCTGGCTCATCGTTTTCTCGGTGCTGAAAACGCCATCGCGGTATCGCAGGAGCTTGCAGATGCCCTTTCCCAGAACCAGCGCTAAACTACTATCAGCAGGATGAAACGAGCACTCTCGTACAGGATCTGCATTCCCGAATGCTGAAACGCATCATGAAAGGCGTGCCTGTCTGCGGAGTGGAAAAAGGTTTTGAAAGTCCGATGGCGATAACTTTCTCTCCATATCTATTCCTTACTGAACCCAAATCATGGCACGACGTGTGCTCGTAAATATGCAAGAGCCAGTAGGCGGTAACTCTAGTCATTTAGGTGGATCACCAGCGGGAAGGCAAAATTTTTCATAATGCGGTCGTTCCATTCTGTGCGTTTTTTCGCATTTCTTCTGCGGCTTCTGGACTCATCAACTGCGCCATGTCGCTAGCTTCGACTTCTTGTCGCTTGATTCTTGCAGCACCCATAGCCCGTCCTTTATCCCACGCCCAGTAAACTAGCGTGTAGTCATGCTGATTCGATGGTGAGCTGCCTCCCTGTAGTTTGTTGTGTTGATCTTATAATCTCTTACTTAGTGAATGAATGAACGAATGAATGAATGTGCCTAGCATGAGGTGGTGCAGTAGTGAAAGATGTAAAATTAGGATTCTTGACACATCAGACCTGAAAGCACCTTCTTGGCCTCTTCGTGTAACGCGACAAGCAGATGAATCTACCGAAAAGTTGAAAATCATCTTCTTTTTCGGGAGAAACGAGTATAGACATTCATTTAAGTAAGTACCTGTGTAAGCAAGAATTGATTCTCGGAAGAGAACGCAAGCGAAACGTACTCTCTGGCATCCATTGCTGGGACCGCACATGTTGTCAGCTTTCTCGTCGTCAGAACGTCGCGCATATGAAGAAAAGGCGTTCTAGTTGTGATGTAACTATCTAAATGCATTTCCTTCAGACATTCAGATGTGGACCTCCGCACGAGCATCGCAACGGAAAGAAGAAGCATCTTCTACAGACTCTGAGTACTAGATTGACTGGGCTTACAATAACACGACGAGCGTTGTTCTGGAGTGACTTTGAGGCTCAGTATAGTACAGGCCACGACCACGGAGAACTTCTATCCATAAAATATGCTCACGGCTGCTGGGGCCACAGCAGTCGCCTTCTCCGCCACCGCGAGATACCGCTGGTTCGGCGATAATGCCATCGCGGAAATACCGCCATGATGCTCCGTGCCTGCACGAATTTCTCATGGCAGTGTCAAAGAGAATATTAATCAGATCAAGCTCCAACAAGAACTTTAATAAGAACTTAGGAACAACGTGTGCTAAAAACAGTATGGACCTTGGAAAAATGTTTGTTGTCTCTTCTCCACGTGCGTGAGCACAGCCGTCTGCCCTGCTGGAAACGCAACCTGATCGCCTTCGCCGTACCATATTCCCTTCCGAACGCTGCTGTTGTACCCAAAGACGTGCTTGTAGGACAAAAGATTCGACTCCGCCGCCATCTTGTCCTGCTTGTATGATCCTCGAAACGTAGACTCTTAGTCTTAGTTGTGTGTTGTGTTTGAATTTCCCTTTTCGCGATATTGCAGCTACAATCAGATGGCTGTGCGCCGTCGCTGCCTTAAAACGCGCCACAAAATACGTGAGTTTGCGCTTGTTGGGGAGGTTGCGCGAGTACAATCCTCGTAACGTTATCTCGAACAAGCACCAACTCCAAGAGGATCCACGTCTACACCCGGTCTACAGTCCAACTCCGTCTGCAGAGGTAGGTACGGTGTGGTGTCTTGATTTTTCATCGCCGGGTCGCCGAAACCGGCCGACGACATTGATAACTTGAACCATCAACAAGCGCTCTTAGCCGGCGAAGATACTAAGTATCGAACAAAAAAATTGAACTCAAATTTGTTATCCCTCTGTCTTATTGGTGTTACGACGAATGATTTTTTTTACGGATCAACATGAACGACAAAAGTACAACAGAAAATCTTGATCTTCCTTCTTCTCAGCAACATCAAGTTACTCAAAAGTCTTCAACTTGTTATTTCAACCTTTTCCACTTTGAGTGAAAAAAAGCGGCATCGTCGCTACCGGTTTTACACGTCTTTCAAGAGAGGGGCCGCAAACACACACTTCTGGGGTAAGAGGCACTACCTAACATTTATACCGATACAAGAAACCACAGACATGCCAGCACAAGTAAAAGGCGGGACTCACTTACTCTTCACCATTCTGTTTCTGTATTTTTTTTGGCACAGATTGCTGATACTCACAAGTAAACTCCACTTCTCTCGGCTGCATCTTCTGTATCTAGAATGACACCTAGGAGACTTCTCTCGATTTCCGCAGTGACAGGGACTGAACCACATACTTTGTTGATCACAGTTCCCTCCAAATTCCTTTACCTCCTTGTGTGCATGCTCCTTGCTGTGGCATGACATTCTTTAATTGGCAAGTTGGCCTGACATCAGAGAAGCCACTCTTTCCCGTCATCCGAATGGATCATATGCTCAGGCAGAGGACACCGGACAGCGAAAGACTGCAACAATTGCAATGTATTCGTGTGTCCAGGACTTGGACAATCATGTGAGAAATATCGATAATCGGGTAAAAAAAATGGGAGGACTGCAACATCGTTGTGGCTGTTGTTTGCAACAACAGGCGTATCAATCATGCCATGCACCTCTTTTTGGAATTTTAGACGAGAGTTGAGAGATATCAATGGTCACCTCAGATTTCCGATTGCGTATGCGTATGTTGCGTAGGTTGTATCTATAATTAGCTCCTCCTCATCAACATCTTCTAAGAATCATATTGCAATTCTTCTAAGCAAGTATCCTATGAGTTGCAGATACCTAGCCAGGCAACTCCTACACCGGTCCATTTTGGTGGAAACGCCGTGAATGATGAAGTTGATGTTGACCGTGACCAAATATTACTTCGACTGCTCCGCGTTTATCATGCCTTATTCTGCTTTGATACTTTTCCCATTATGAACTTGCTTCAAATATACCTAACAGCATGTTGAGCCTTGTTGAGCCTGACTATGGACCCTACTACTAGAAGCAAAAGCAGTTTATTTTCGGTCAGTCGCACTTATTCGAGCTCTTGAATGTGCGCCAGGGCGTTCAGTGCTTCCGAGACACTGTCGTTTTCTAAGTGCAAATTGCAGATGCGAGAAAATTTCTGACATTCCTCCACCGGTTTTGAGTAGGGACCATAGGCAAAAAGGGCAGCTAGATAAGCGTTCTTGAGTGCGACGAGGATTTCCGGGGCTCGCATTCGGACCAGCAACCCGATCGCTTCAAAAGATTGGCCTCCAGCAGCTGTGCTCGGGTCGCAATCTAGAACGAGGACATGCAGCATACCCATGAAGATAGACTGCCACAATTTAAATCGCATGTTCCACGGCGCATGCTGCAAAAATTCCATATGCTCGATGGCGACCACACTGTGCAACAGCTGCTGAGTCAACGTGTTCTGGGTTGCGCGCTCCTGTTCCTCCGCAAACGAAGACCGGACTCCCTGTGAGCCGTCGCCCTTGGCCAGCATGCTGATATTGACACTGTGGGACGCTGCTTGCACTTTCATGAGGAAAGTGAGAATGCAGGAGTATTCGGGACAGAACCCGCTTCGCACTGGCGCTGAAAACGCTGGAGGCAGGTTGCTCGACCAGCGCGACAGACGACCACGGCAATCACAAAGCAAGTCTGTGGTACCAGCACGCACCAGAAGCTCTGCGGCAGTGACCTTCTCCAAGTACTGCTCAAATTTTTCAATCGGTGTCAAGGTCGACTCAGAAGTCGCTTCCACTGCGGACGAAGGGGATTCCATGGTAGTCTTCCGTCTCCGTTCCTCAGCGATCTCTTTCATATCACCAACGATTTTCATGACGCCAGAAGCATCTGTCGCGTTTTCCTTTTTGTTCGACGCAGGAGCATCCTCATCTTCTTGATGTTCATTATTTTCTCCTTTAGTAGAAGTAGTAGAAGTACAGGTCGTACTAGTTGCAGATGATGTAGATTTTTCAACATCTCGTTCTTGCGATTCCTCTTCTCTTCTTAGTGCCGCTTCGCTTTCCTCATGTCTCGCCTTCTCTTCGTCGACACAGCCGCTGCACGTACAGAAGAATCCCCACGTGTCTTGCAAGCGCTTGCGACGCTGATCTACGCTATCGAAGAGAGGAATGTACGGGAAGCAGAGCTCCTCTCCCTTGCGCACATAGCGCGTGGTCCTCACACGATTGAAAGCATAGTAACCGGACATCGTCACACCCGGCTCCTCTGACGTTCGTCCCTGCGGATTTCTATCTTCACCTCCATCTTTTTGAAGGCTTCTAAACTTTCCACTCTTGTGGTTCATAAACGGATCTTGTTTCGACTGAGAAGATGATACGTTCTTGTGTTCTACTGAACTCTCGAAACCATCTGGGAAGAAAGCGTCATCCAGTTCTTCTAGAGCACAGTTAGGAGCACAGCTGTGGTTCAAGCGACTCAAGGTCAGCAGCAATCGTACACGGTTTTCGCCGGCCCCAAGTGTATTCGTCAAAATCACATCGCGAATGCGGGATTCACCTAGAGGTGTTGTTCGAAAAGTGACGACCTGGATCTTCAGCATTCAAAATTCTCAATCATATCACTGTCACATTACTATTGTTGATGATAGTCACATCAACATAGAAGTTGTAAAACGCACACGCAGTACTATGTATTACCATCACGAAGCCGAAGGATCTAAAAGAATCTAAATTTCAATGAATAAGAATACCTTCTTCCTGCTTTGCTAGTGTGAGAATGGCGTTTCTGGCCTGTGCTGGAAGATTTTTTTCGAAATTTCGGACCATCACGTCTACTGAGTCAACCTTGGTGCGTGTTTCCATAGCCATGACGGCTACATCGCGTCGAGAGGAATACAAAATTGGTCGCTCCTCGAGAATCAACTCTCCTGGCGCAAGATCGCGCTTCGCCACACATCCCATTCCTTTACCCGGAATCGGCACCACCTCGAAACTGTCATGGACGTCACCTCCATAGTACTCGTTATTCACAAACAAAATCTTCTCCGTGGATGAGTTATTCTTCGTGGTCATACTTCTAGTCTCGTCCGTTTTCTCCTTGTTCTTCTGGATATAAGGATACGAGAAAACATCAAGAGATGAACCATTCTCACTCGTTGCAGTGGCTTTGCAGCACTTGGCGTGTTCCGCAACGTGACGCACACGAGCCTCGCGATCCGCGATCACACTAGGTTTCTTGCAACAATCTTTTTGCTCACACGATGGTGACGTCGTCTCGTCCGCAAGCAAGTTCATTGAGGATGCTTTCGCCAAATTGAAGAGATCTTGAGCGAATTCCTTCCTTCGCTCCAATAAGCTCATACCACTTTTCCCGTTATTTTTCCAAGTGTCAATGCTAAATTGCATGCTGGATGTTTGGCTCTCCTTTTTGCTCGAGTTGCTGGTCTCGGTGGTCAACGACTTTTTTACTTCTGCTTTAATCGCAGCCAGATCAGCATTGACGCTAGTCGTCTTCTTTTTCCGAGGCTTTCTTTTCTTTGCTTTGACAGCGGCTTGTTCTGTCGATTCAACTGTTGCGCCAGGAGCATCACCATCAAGACCAATGGCATTCGGTGTACAACTACTAGTGCTGGCTGCGTCTTGAGAAGGCGTCTTGGCCTTTTGCTCTTCCTTCACCTTGTCTTCTGACTTTTTTTCAACTGCATCAAGAGTCGCCTCTTTTGCCTGCTTCGCGGCTGTTTTCTTCTTGCGCTTATTGTTCTTCTTTGCCGCAGTTTGCGGTTCCTCCGACGCCTCCTTATTCCCCCTAGAAGTGGATGGCTCTGGTGTTGTTTCTCTTACAACAGGTACTCGCTCTTGCGATTTTTTGGCAGCATCAACTTCCGCCTTGGTCTTGGTGCTCTCGACTGGTGCAGCTGAGATTTCCTCTTTTTCGTGATCTCCATCGCCGTCTATCGGAGTCTTCGATAGAGTCGCCAGAGTCTCCTTCATGCCATCCTGCGCAAGTAACTCTTTTAACGCTTCCGGATTACCAGAGAGTTGCTTCAGCATAGAAGCTAGAGCTGCTGTAGAAGCCGCTGTATCTACTTCCTTAGTAGAAGAAGATGCAGGAGTATTCTGCTTTTTCTTTCCCTTGTTTGACGGCATCTTTTTGCTGCAATCAATTTCAAATCTCGATCGAGCCCCAAGTTTTAATCACACGTCACAATTATTCATAGATACTAGTCCTGCGTAGCAAAGTGATTGATGGCGAGGTCATGATGGAAAAGGATGCTGCTGTGTTTTCATGTCATTCCAATTTAGCCTACTGGAACAATTTAGCCTACTGGAACAATGCTCTATAATGTTTTTTATGAAACCAACCAACCAGATTTTTAACCGATCATAGTCATCCCAACTTTTCGCGCTCACGCATCGGCTGCTCTTGATCTTCATGATGTTGATCTATAGTGCGTGCATATTCTTGATCAGATCGGAATCACAAGATCCACACTGGTGAAAACGCGCCATTGTCAGAACATATTTGCGCAATGGAACTTCCAGACTCAGACAGTTCTAAGAACTGTTCTTGGCTGGTAAAAATATCCGAAAGTGACTTGGGGTGAGAAGGACAAGCGGACTTTCACCTTAGAAGAACATGATGGTCGTTCAAACATGGCAATGTCATCAATATGAAGATGTTCTTTGGTGCAGCTATGTCGACCATGTTTGTTATACACACATCCGTGGCTCAGCGACCCTTTCTCAACCGCCACCGCATGTTGTCAAGAACTGTACAGCTAGAGATAATTCAATCTTTAGTATCGTACGATCCAAGTCCTATATTTTACAAACAGTTTTTACCGTAGGTAGATTCACATTGTAATTACCGCTCCTAAACGCCGTAACGATAATGCGGAAAGTCATCTAGTCCAATGATAATCTCAAGTAGCATGCGCAACAGTCAAGAGACACTACAACTCTATCGGAAAAACAATACATCTCTCTGAAAAATGGGGTGGTGCGGGCATTTCGGATTGTAACATGTCTTCAACAGAACTAGTAGTAGCGCCTTCTTATTCTCCTTGTGGGTAAGTACTATAAATATTTGCTCTACAAGCACTTGATCAAATGGCCTTCCGTTCTCTCCCCGCGACTATCGCGCGTAGCTCCGACTCATACATGCTGATGATGCTACTCAGAATAAAAAGGCCACCTACGCAAGTTAGCCCCCACTGGAGCTGCGAAAGCTGCGGGTAAAGAGCGTGCTCAGAACCAAATGCGCCGCGACCTTCCATAAATTTCTTGCTAACTACACCCAAAACAAGCAGCGCGAGGGAAGCGGATGTCAGGAGATACGTCACCACCGCGTAGGAAAGCTTTCCCCTGGAGTCGTGCGAGTGAAAAAGTAGGGTGTCTTCTATGTCAAAGATCAATCATATTTTTAGCAAGCAGCAACTTACTTCTACTAGGTCTAGCTTTAGTGTTGATATATTCTGAATGATATAGGAGGTAGTACAGAAGCTTCTATGCTAACCTCTCTGTGTAAGTAGATCACAGTGCTCTTACAAAGATGACCACATGCTTTCAAACTTATATAGTACTTGACACGGTCTGGCAAATTGCTGAGTTCGAGTCTGTGGTCGCTCTCGTTGAAGACGAAGACGAGCCATTGCAGGTATGCTCCACTGCCTATCATGCATACTCCCAAAGACACAAACGCAAAGTACTCACGTCTTTCCCAACCCTTGTCGCCAGAAATGCTATCACCAAGTGCTTCGAACCAACTAAGTGTCGTTGCCGGGGCAACTGGGCCGCTGTCTCCTTGACCACCTTGACCTTCAGTCGGAGAACCGGTTGCAGCAGATCCCGCTAATGCTTGTGAAAAATTAGGTGCACGCCCATGGCCACGCCCAGGCTGCATCGCATCGTAGCCCGCGCAAGCGAAGAGAAGGTAAACGCTAGTGTTCAAAAGGAAGGACAGGTTGAACAGCACAGCTCCCAACGACGTTTTTGTCTTGTCTTTGGAACTGCGTCTACTGCCAGAGCTGGGCGTATTGAGGTTCGTCTCTCCGCCTCGTCCAAAAGCATTAGTCGGTGATCCTGCTGTCGGTAAGAAGCCCTTCAGATGCTGAGTGTATTGAATAAAGGGGTCTTCCTCTTTCGCGGTCTTTTCCTCCTCGTTGACGTTCTGATCGTCCATCCGGTCATGCCAGGCAGGCGGAGGAGGAAGCACACTCTGAGACGACGACATGTTTCACTATGAACCTCCTTGTATGTAACGAATAAATGGACTTACAACGTATACGTTAACGAGAACGACTAGTCAATTAGCATTAGTGGAGTAATGCAGCTGTGACAGACATCAACTCAAGCACTATTCGAAGATCCATCAACTTCATGCGTTAATTACGTGGGATAAAGTTCAAGTTTTATAAGAAAAGATTAAGGATATCAAAAAAATGCTAGTCTAGCAGCGACTCGAATCAACAATCTCGGTACTCTTCAACTGTGACGGGCTCCGGTCTTATCTATCTATCATTTCCAACGCAAAAAAACTAACCATTGAAAAGCTAGATGCAAAGCACAAGGTCACGGGGCGGGGTAGGACAAAACTCTTCACCAATTTTTTATCCAGTATCCCATAAAAACGGAGGGTCCGTCTCGCGTAAAGCTTATCTGGAAAATACAGATGAACCATGATCATGAGTCAAAGAAAAGACGCAGAAAGTCTCTGGCTCACTCTCGCTCGATGTCAGAGGGGAGAAACAAGCTCCATTGAATGATACAGAAGATCATACACATCGCTCCAAAAGTTCAATCCTATTTAATACAGAAGGAACACCATGCAACGGCTAGCAATGAAAGTAGCTCTGATGCAACGAAAAATACAACACCCTCACTTTCAGCCGACTGATGCAGACAAGATTGAGTTTTTTTTTGGATACTTATGCTACTCGGTTGGTGGCATCTCTCTACACTCTTGCAGTCCCCCAAACACTCGTCACGCTCTTTTCTTTAGGCCAGCAACCTCGAATCTGGAGGTCGATGTCAGTTTTAAACGCTCTTGATTGTTTGATCATATTAAATCATTCGATTTATACTAGATAACTTTAGCTTTCCATTTCAATGGTGTGCATTTCTTGATGAGTGTTTTCGTTTTCGGGGTTCTAGGTCTAGCACATGAATGTTACTCAGCTCGATCGTAGTGGATGTGGTAACTACAGGCTAATGACAGAGAAGGGAGGGGCCATGACTCTGGCGTGGAGACAAATGTCCTCCTGCTTCATTTTATGGAGTGTGGAAAATGTTCACTCTTGTATGTTGTGGTTCCCAACTATGCACTATGCTTGTCATCCTCGTGGTCCATCCCCATCTATTCTCGCTAGTCTAAACGATGCGCAAAAAGAGAAATTATTCTGACATGTCTATAGAGGCTAAAAATGTTAAGTCCGCACTTTGAATTGTTACGATTCTAAAAGTTGATACTTGTCGGTCTACATCAGCGTCTGAAGCGGGGGTCCTGGGTATTCAGGGGTCATGATGGAATAAGCATATAAACTGGGGAGACCAATACTTCGAGCCTACTTCGTTAATTTCTAAGCGGGTTCGTGCCTAGGTCAACAAATCCATGTCGCAGACAAATGTTTTCGGTTATAATCAAAAGAGTTCTTGCTTGCCTTGCCTGTTGTGTACCCACACCGTCCGTAATATAGTTTGATTCTTTCTTTCAACTAAGTCGAAAAAACGATAATCAGTTTCTTACATCGACTTGCAGCCAATCTGTATTTGACTCTTTGATTTTGAACTAGTTCCAACTAAATAATGATGAATAATATTAGATTAGAGTTGTAGACCCAGGAGAAGTTGTAGCTGATTTATAGGAGAGAAAAAAAAGAAGATGGTTTTATACCACGGTATTGATATCATTTTCTGGTTACCATTAGCGTTATCCAAGAACCATACTTTCTACTGACTGCTCAGAAAAGGATTATGCAGCAGGCTGCTCGCTGAGCTCAAGAGACGTGCTCGGTGCAAGCATACCACTAGCGTCCAGCGGGTTTTCGGCCGTCGCACCATCACCCGCTGGCGGTGCAGTACCTCCTCCGCCTGCGCCTCCCGCGGCAGGGGGCAGAGCCGCTTCAGCCTCTCGCTTGTACGCGGCGAGCACCATGAAAGGCAAAAGGCAGTGGAAGGATGTAGAACAGAGATACATCAAGACTTGGGTCATGATCCTAGGAAAACTGTGTTCACCTTCACCACTAGATGGACATTCGCGATTGATAGATATAAAAGTTTGAAGTTGTTGATCAAGCCTCCATGATCGGTATTAAGAGGCTGCTAGGTCGTGTACGTTAGTGATTCGGTGGGCAGACGCAACGTATCCACATGAATCTGTTCCAAATAATAGATGTAACAGTCAGACACAACTCAGTAACAAGTTACAGCGATGCTTTAGTGGAAATGCCATAAGTTCTTTTCTGAGTGTGTTGATCTCTGCCACGAGATCCACCTGCTCTTGTAGTATCCGCATGTTGCCAACCCGATGCTTCTCGCTATCCTTCCGCAAAGCGCGTTTGAGACCGTCAATGCTCTTTTCAAGATACTCCTTCTGTCTAGTGTACTGGCCACCCTCGCCGGACACACCCGATCCGCTACCATCAGCATCTCCCAGAAGTGCGGTGTCTGAAGTGATGATTGAGATTGCGGAGATGCTGAATCACCTAGTTGACTAGGAAGTTATTTAGGTCACTCAGTGTTTCAGGCTTGATAAGTGAACAGGCGAACGCCTACACCACTAAGCCAACTGCGCAGTTAGCTTAGTGGCTTAGGCGTTGGCCTGTTCACTTATCTTCAATCAAACTAAGCCTGTTCACTTATCAAGGATCTTCATGAAGACTACATTATTCTGTTTCTGCTTAGAAGAAGGTTCTTCGTATCTATGTGCAGAAAAAAATTTGATGGAGAGCCTTACCAAATGGATCCATGTCTAGGAATTTCGTCGAGAGTTTCTGGTATGCTTCCCGGAATTTTGCATCGCCCTCTGATGATGCAACTTGTTGCAATTCCCTTAGGAACATGGTGCTGAAGCCGCGCGAAGCAATGAGCTTTTTCCTCTGTTGATGGATCTCGTCCATCAGACCACGCTGCTTGCTTTGTAACGCTGACATGAAGACGGGATGATCGTGGCCTCTAATATAGTCGCTTTGATGTCCCGTAGAAGTGGATGCGGGAAGCAGGTGTAGGAGAATGTAGCTCTAGCACAGTGCATGATGTATTATGATGCGGTTGACACCAGGTAAGATGAATTCACATTATTTATAATAACCAACCACCATCACCAGGTAAGATCAATTCACATTAAGATATAATACCATCACCAGGTAAGATGAATTCACATTAAGATATAATTATACTTAGTAAGGAATAATTGTACACTTTTCCAAAACAACACAACACACAACACAACACCAACACACACAACACCAACAACACCAACACAACACCAACACACACACAACACCAACACACACACACAACACCAACACACACACAACAC